ATCGTGGGCCGGCCCATGCCCAGGTCTAGCTGAGACCACACAAACTGAGAGTCGTTCTAGGCGGTGAAGGAGCTTGTGTGGGACTAGACCTCGCCAAAGCCCGCCCTGGGGTACCCGCCGCAGTCGTCCTATCTGCTCTGTAGTTATACCCCTACGAAAAGCAGAGATAACTGTTGTAGTATATAATTATTGAGAACAGAATGTAAAATCGGTGCGATACCTACACCACCCTCTCAGTGAAGCAAACATTCCACAGTGACACGTTCCTATAGCGCTGGCTTCTGGGACCGCCAACTATCTATTGTTCCAGTGACCGTTTCTTTCCACGCGGAGGCTTATAGCATGAATATCTTCAAGGTGGTAAGATAATTCCGCCAATGGCCCAAACTCTTGAGTGCATGCCGGGTGGCGACAATGAAAGTCGCCGAGTAGAGTTTTAGAGTGTTAACACGACGCAATAGCAGTAACAGACAATAACCACTCTACATCTATACAGCTAGGGTTTAGGTTAAACTAAATGCCCAAAACCCGCCGTTATAATCCTGAAGGAGGCTTAGAACCTAGCTTAGATTAAGTAAGATTTTGACATCCTGAAGCCAGGGAACTTCCCGGTGCGGAGGAACGTTCGGGAGGAACGTTCCGGTTAGTTAGTATAGGATCTAGGGACCCTCCGGTAGGCATCCAGGAGCCTTCCTGGATGCTCTGCAGGCATTCCTGCCTGAAGCGAAGCCTCGGGCAGTATATAGAGCCTCTACATCCTCCCTTCTAGATAGCCTCTCTTCCCCATGGGAAAATTCTTTGACTACGAGTCATAAACAAACTTGTCTTTTACTAAGCTCCTTTGTAGACCGTCACATTCGGGCTATTATTAGGAAATAGCGCCTTTTGCATTATCCAGCAGGTCAGGATGTTAATAGTGTAATTTTTGATTTAGGAAAGAATATGAATCTCCAGGTAAGTAACTTGTAACCAATTTCTAACTGCTTGATATCTAATTATGTTATTTAGGAGTATATATCAGAATTATAATCAGATTTTTATTATTTGTATTCTGAAAGACCAGGCTGAACTCCTCCATACTTTACCTTCAGTTGAGATTGATAGGTCATATAAGCGTATTCAATCTAAAGAGCTAAAGGAGTTGGTATTTGCTGCATACATGAATAATCAGAAGAAAAGTATGCAAAACTACTTTATAACTACTCGCTAAGTACTTGCTAACTACTTAAGAATAGTTATTACCCTTTGCCGTGTCTTTACAACTGAGGACACCACGGAAGGCTATCATATTATATTCAAAAGGGTTCATAGTATCGTACATAAGTTAACAGGTAAAAAGCTTACCTTTCGTGCTATACATGGTACCGGCCTGCATGCTCTAGTGATGGATATAGATAATAAACAAATTGAAGGTATTTTTTAACTACTTCTCAAGTACTTGCGAAACAGTAACTAATCATTTAGCATAGGACTATCTCAGTTTCTAATAGAGATTGATCCGGAACATCATTTACAGCTCCTAAAGAATATTCTTATTTTATGTCGATGAAAATGAATCTTTTCCCATCAACGCAATCCAACGAATCAGGAAATAAATTAACTATCTCTACATACAGGACATCTATTTCTATTATGTCCCGGGGTATTGTAATTAGAGCACGTCGGGGGGCGCCTTCTTAACGCGGAAGAAGCTTATGAAGCAGTACTACCAGGAGGTGGATTTGCAGTAATTAATTGCTGATTTCTCAACGCAATTAAATCTCTGGCTTCCTGCACTGTAGCACCATTATTAGGCGTCATCTGACGTCTAGATCGTTGCGTTTTAAGCTGCTGGCGTGTGATTTCTTGCCGTAGAAGACGATTTTCTTGAGCCATGAAATGCGTATTGTATAGCGATATTCCAAAACCTCGTTCTAACTTCTCCAGGCGAGCAATTGAAGCCTCCAGGGTACTAGTATCTGGACTCTGTATAGAGTTCCGAAGCATAGAGGTTCTCCGGCGTAGTTGACGAACTGTAAGTCCACAGCGCCGGAAAGCATTTCTTGAGCTGCAAACCACAGAGCCAAGGCTGGTACCAATCCATAATGTTCGTACACGATGAAACTCTGCCTTCTTGATGCTTGATCGAGCTCGAAAGATCCAGTAAGATATTGATCGATACTGTAATGCTTATTACCATACTCGATTCAAACTCAATCCAGAGGAGTGGCATCAGTTTGAGTATCTTTTACTACTTACAAAGCCTTTCTTTGACTTTACCAGCGTGCTATCGAAGACAAGAGATGTAACTATCCAGCATATCTTCAGTATTTACAATAAGCTATTCAACTATCTTGATCAGGCTGAAGAGAGGCTTGAGCGCAAGTCTATTGTCTGAAAAAAGAATATGCTTATAGCAATTCAGGCTCTAAAGCAAAGCTCTAGAAGTATTACGCTAAAACTGATAATTAGCCTTATAGTTCAGTTTATACTATTGTAACTATTCTGATACTATCAGACAAGCTTCGTTACTTGAATAATACAGACTGGAGAGGTCATGATAATAACGGGAGAACAGTTAACTTCATGAAACGCTATCGAAATATTCTTTAAGTGGAGTTCAATCTCTATCAACAGCTGAATTCAAAGGACGTTAAACCATTTAATGTACAGACTATATCCCAATCAACAGAGGATAAATTTGAAGAGATATATGATTTACAGACTGCTCTCCATGCTGAAGTCAATCAGCCAGAAGATAAGATTGCCCGGTATCTTGCGAAAGGTTAGTACCTACCCGAGATTATATTATATCTTTACTAACAATTGGATAGGGCTTACCAAGGGTAATCCCCGGACCTTCTGGAAGGAGCATAAGCAGGAATATCCAGTCCTTGTTCGACTTGCGCGCGATATTCTTTCAGTACCAGCAAGCGGAGCTATTATTAAATGCCTTTTTAATTATATTTGTGATATATGTCACTATTGCCGAGGGCAGTTAAAAGAGAATACGATCTGAGATCTAATGATTTATCTCTTCTCAACCAGATTTGAGCTTGAGTACAGTGAGGTTGATTTGATGAAAGAGTAACTTTCTATTAGTAAAACTACATTATCTGATCAAGCAAGTAAACCTGTTCCTATACTTGCTGAGCTTGATCCGATTAGTGAAGATGAGGAAGAAGAAGGGAATAAAGCAGATAATATTACTGATTCTGATTCAGCTTCAGATTCAGATGCTAAGGTAGCCTTAGAGCCAGTGTTACCTTTAACCCAGCCTACAGTACGTGTTAAGCAGTTATAGGTACAGAATAAACGGGCTCATAGTCAGATTGAAACTTCAAATAGTAAGAATTCCCAATCGCCTCATGTATCGCTAGATGAAGAAGAGCGACCGAAAAAGTATCAGAAACAGCCCAAACTACCAGCTGGATTTGAGATTGATAGATCTTAATGTTCATAGCCAGGACAACTAGAAATCAAGAGATAATATAATAGATTCAGCATGATACAGTATAAAGTAAAGAGTCACTTATTTGATGCTCTAAATTACTAGTCTGTAATGTCGTACATATATCAGCATACACCAAAATTACAAAAAAAACAGCATAATCTATGCATTCTCCTAATCTTGGCAGGTTTGCATTATTTACACTAGTGAGGTTAACCGCGGTTAACTGCGGTCATGCTGCAGCCTAATCCTGCCCATATGGTGTTGTGAGCAGACCATTCGTCCGGAGTTATGATGTTTCCAAGAAACAGGTGAACGGGAAAGTACTCCTGGAGAGCTGATTTGAAAATGCTGAAGAAGAGCCAGCTTTATTGCATAACTAAGACAGCAGCCAGACTGGTGTTAATAAAGGTACCTTGTTGAATAGATTTTATCTGTAACCTAGACTATCCGCGCAGAACTGGACAGTCTTTGAATGCCACAACAGGGTATGTTGCGGTAGAACCATGGTCAAACCCAAAGCACAGATCAAGTAGCAGGACAGAAAGAGTGTTATTCCTCTCGCTTGGTTGGTAAAGATGATCCATAGATGTTATAAGGATGATCAAACTGCTGAATTGCACTCTAGTCCCCCGGCTTAGGGAATGAGGGACCACCAACCTGTAGTCAAATCTGGTGAGTGAGAAGAGTTGCGAAACCAGTAATGTTACCTACTAATTCAGAAAGAAACCGAATTTGCTGACGTGGACAAACCAATATCCTTGTTCATCGTATAATCCCAACCCCTGCAAACTATAGCTTGCAGCCTAGAATATGACAAGAGATTCCCTCACCCATCGCGTATTCAATTCTTTCTCCAACATAGAAATTTGAGTGACTCGTTTGCTCGTGTCAGCGACATTGTACGTACAATGTCCAGCCTTCCATGGGGTAGGGGGGTCTAATTTACAGATCTTATGGCCTGACAGAGAATAGCATTTGGGGCGCGCTCTGTGTCGCTGTATTTGTATGGTGCAGGCCGCAGCCGACATCACTCCTTACAATAGAGAGATGCTGTACGAAACCCCATGGTACGGATCATTGTTGATTGGTTCTCTGTGACCTGTGTACGTGGTCTTGCATTAGTGTAATCCTTTGGTGTTTCGTTGCCCCTCTCCGAGGCCTGGTTGGTTCTTCCCCATCTCAGCCTTGTCAGCCCATTCTGTTCTGCACGCATGGCCTCTTCAAGGCAAAGCAATTGACCATGGAACTTACAGAAGCGTTCTCCCAGCACCACTCTATCCATCCGTCCTCGACGGGTCTCTGATTTGAAAGGATGTCAGATTTCCGATCCCACCACGTTCCCTCACTGTAAGTCAAATTCCTGCACAGCATTACTTCCGCACTGAAGTTAATCATGAATACGATTATCTGCGATAGCCACCCTCCCGTTACTATATCGCCTGCTCTTCAGTCACCAAATTCTACTGTGTCCGGGGGCACGGAGCTGCTAGAAAAAATCGATATTTACACGGGAACTTCCACTGTTCACAGAGGAGGCCCATTCCCGTCGTTATCGAGCCTGAGCAATATGTCCAGAATTGCTCCATACACAATGACCACGGGACTTGAAGGATACATGGACCACTCCTCCAGTATAAACTTTCAGCATGGTTCTGTATTGATGGACCCGGTCCAGCGCCTCCAGCCGTCCATGGCCGATGCCCCTCCATTTCACGATACCAGCATCCTTCGGCCAATTATGGCGGGAGGGCAGACCATCAAGCCAGAGATCCAGGCGAAGATCCACAAGGGATTTTTCCAAATCAACGAGAACTGGACCTGTTACCGGCGCAATTACATCTCCATCTCATGTAGCTTTTCCCTGCAACCGTGGACACACGGGCCCATGTTCCTCACGTTTCCAGACAGCACAACACAGAGGATCATTGCGTTTTCAATGTCAATATCAGCGATTGTGAATGGGCAGTACAGCGAGATCAGAGAGTTAGTCCAGCACATGCCAAAACGTGACAAGCAGTCCGAGCGAAAGCCCGCCAAGGTGGTGCTACAGCCCAGTCAACCGCCGCCGTTAATACCCGTCCCAGGCTCAAGCCCAAACAACAGTGACCACGGATTCTTCCTGGGCTCGTCAGCTGCGCGGATGGGGTTGGAGTACAGTGGCTCCTACACTGGCGCTACACAACCGTCTCAGCCTCCAACTCAGCATACATTTGAGCGGATCCAGTTCCAGAAGGCCACGGCAAACAAAGGGAAACGCCGGGGCCAACAACCGTATTACAGTCTAGTTGTGGAGCTGTACGCGGCTGTTGAGAACCCCGTCAGTGGAGCCGACACCCTATGGGTCAAAATCGCCCGGCGACTGTCGGATCCAGTGGTTGTTCGGGGTCGATGACGCCAATGGATTTATAACTCACAGATACCTGCACAGCCACTCGTATTTATATTCGACCTTCTAATAGTGTAACCAGTATGCTTCCAATCAATACAAATTTCTCGTACGGTAGGAATGTTAAGTGCCACCTGGATGTAAGTTCGACACTGATCCGGGTCCCAGGATGGATCGTCAACTTCAAAAGTTGACAAGTACGTCTGCACCCACTACATGGTCAAAGGCACCACGCTATACAAATACAGTGGCACACTTCCTGAAGGCTCCATAACGCCATCGTGGGCGTGGCGGCAGGACTAATTTGGTTTTTCAATATCTATATCAGTACACCATTGGATGGTCAAAATGCATAAATCGAGTGGTACCTCACTTCAGGGTCCTTCAACACAACTCAGTGACATTATCAGTCCATCGATGGGCCACGCCTACCACTCAATGTAATGTGTGGTAAGCCAGGACAAACAAAATGGACGAACGAAAACAAGGGGAACAAAAAAGGAACAAAACATACAACAGCAGGGATTCGCTGGTGGTCACCCACCCAACTACTAACCTGCCGGCGTGTGGCTTAAGTACGGCTGAGCGGACGGGAAGCCCTGTTCTCCACACCCTGTGGTCGTATGTACTTAACATGGAGAGGTTGTGGGCTATATGGTGAATCAATTTATAGTAGCAGCCATGAAGATCGGGGTGAGTGTGGCATTGAGAGGGTTCATCAGTAAACGCGAGCGAATACGGCAAAAATTTGAGTATCTGGATGGAATTCCAACGAAGAAGCATTTTGGACATGAGGTTCTGCACAGCAGACGAAAACGCACTGAATGGAGGAAATAACTATAAATATAGACTGCTTCAACATTGAAATCTCACCCACGCAGTCCTTTCAGCTCAAATCCGGACCCGGAAATTTAACACGTATCCAACATGTCCACCAACGCACTCTTCTCCGCGCTGGTGATGGTCAAATCATACACCGATTTGATCTTAACCCACATCTTGGCATAGGTGCAGTGGAAGGATGCTACACAGTATTAGCCACGCCATAGTTAAGAGGACAGCGGGAGGGAAGGGGAAAAATTGGAAAGCATACACGAAGACGGCTTCCAGCTCTCCGGGCCCTTATCACCCTTGGAGCGGTTAGAGCTGGCCGACACGGGCAGCAGCTGGGGGTTGGTCAAGTCGTTGGCGAAGGCTTGACGCTGGGGAGTGGTCCATTTGTTTGCACCGGACTGAGGTGGTCATGGTTAGCGTTCACAAGTACTCCCTTGGGGACACCGTCGACACAATGGCTACGGGGAGCGACATACCTTCCAGGCGTTCGACAAAGGCACGATATGATCGATATCCAGATCGCTGGAGTCGGTGAAAGTATTGCCATCGTAATCCGAAACCCAGGTTCCGCTGACGGCGGCACAAGAAGAGTCCTGCTCTACGTTCTTACCGTCGCGCGCCAGGACGACTTCGCGGGTGTTGCAGTTGCTGATGCTTTGTCAACACCTGTAAACCTTGTAGGTAGTTTTCATATTCTAGTCAACGAGAAAGAGAGGAAGGAGAGAACGTACTTCCCCTGGCTGATCCAATGCGGAAAAAGGTCCCGGTCATAGTCACTGCCGGACCCCTGCGCCGCGACGGTCAGCTTGGCCAACTCGGAGTTGGCGGTGGTGGTGGAAGGGATGCCAGGAGGAGTGGGCAGGGCCGCCACGAGAGGGAGGACCAGCAAGGCCGAAAGCAGAGCGTTAACCATGTTGTCGACTGGTATTAGAGAGATATATATCGAGTCGTCTCTAAAAGTTGCGCCCGCCCGGAGAAGCAAGAAATGGACAGAAAACAGAGGAAGCTGCCTGCCTGTCTAATACCGGAATCATCGTGACACACGGCTGATTTAAATATTTAAATATCTGGGGACAAGGAATCCAGAATGCTTATTCCCGCCGTAATCAAGCAGCGGGGTGACACCGACGACCCCCTTGCAGGTGCAGCCAGCACAGCTATCGCAGTGCACCCTGCATCGTGGCCGTCCTGCCGTGTTGGTCTTGGCCGGAGGTGTAATGCGCCCGGAATAAGGGGGAAATGAAGGGCAGTATTGGTGGAGAGAAGTTGCTATCAAGCCTATCTTCACGCGATGTACCCCTGGCGGTACCTCCACGGGAGAGTGGGCAGACGACTCCTCCACGCCGGGTCAGCACGGCACTTGATTCGCGCAGAGGCCGCGGGGAATGCCGATCGTCGGGCAGGCTGAGTGTCAGATTAATCGATATGCAGGCAGAGGTGAAGAGGCAGAGCGGAGACCGGCGGACGTCCTTGCAGAGATTAACCACAACATGGGGACGGTTGGAATGCTCATTGGACGAGATTGATTAAAACTAGAGGCTACGCTGGACCACCGGACAACAAATTAATGACTTGAAAAAAAAAAGCATACTAATTAGTGATATCCATCTTACAGACCCAACGCCGTGAGAATCGCCTTGCCCACACCCGCCGCGCTGGCCGGGTTCTGGCCCGTGATGAGCGTCGCGCCGGAGCCCGCGGTCTGCGACACCACAACCTTCTCGCCCCAGGGTTCGGCGGCCTTAACAAAGCCTCCGCCCGACACCCGCTTCAGCTCGTCCTCCAACAAGTACGGCATGACGGACGTCATGCCCGCCTGGTCCTCCTCCACGTTCGAGAAGCCGGTCACCGTGGCACCGGACAGCAAGGGGGTTCCGTCGGGGGTGACGGCGCGCACGAAGACGGTCGGGCCGTGGCAGACGGCGGCGACGGGCTTCTTGGCGGCAGCGAAGGACTGGATCAGTCCCAGGGAGGTGGCATCGTAGTGCAGGTCGTACATGGCTGTGCAGATGGGAGGTCAGCTCGTGCCAGATGGGATGAAACTGATTCGTTTGTCTGAACAGCTCGGCAGGGTGGGACGGTGGGGATTGAAATGGGTGCAACAAGAAAGGGGGAGAAAGCTTACGGCCGTGACCTCCGACGTAGAAGATGGCGTCGAATTCGCCGACACGGTCCTTAAAGTCGGACAGCTTCTCCGTCTTCTTCCACAGCGACTCCTGCTCCTTGAGGAACTTGACCGAGGCGGGGTCGCTCTCGAACATCTTCACGGAGCCGGGGTCCAGAGGGGCCTCGCCGCCGTTGGGAGAGGCGATCACCATGTCGACCTTGCCCTGTAGCTCGTCCCAGGGGTGGGCGAATTCGGGCTATCCATGCATCGCAATGGGTGAGAATGATTTCGACAGACATGAACAGGAAGCGGGACTTACCAAGAACCATCCAGTCGGGTGACCGTTGGCAGGGATCTTGTCCTGCGAGGTGAGAACGACAAGCACTTTGGGGGCCATTTTGTTGTGAACTTCTGAATTGTTTCAAGGGGATGATGAAGACAATGTGCAGTGCAGAAATGAGAGGGAGTGGGGAGAAAGCGATTTATAAGGCGATCTGGTGGGGTAAAGAAAAGAGGCACGAAGATGGATGACATCATCCATTCTGCGGTCGGAGACTTTCTCCCTGTCAGTCCACACGAGTATAGGAGGAACTCTGGACCACCGTCAAGGTCCCTGAGACAAAAAAGGGTCTCTGCTGACTCGGCGTTAGGACTTAGGAGTTACACCGTACGGAGTATGGTGGGGGAGGGGATACACCGTCTCTTCTCTCTCTTCGCTCTCTACGAACAAAAACACAGCCGATCAGTGGAGTTCGGATCAAGTAATGCTTGGTCAGCTATCTCAGGCTCTTAGTTAACTACTCTCAGTAGAACCAGATCGAAAGTCGCAACCGGCCATTGTCCCCCGCAGTCCATGTCTCGTAAATCCATTATCATCAGTTAGACCAGAAGTCCATCGTCCGTCGTGCATCGATCATCGATCATCGGCCATCTACAGGTTGGCCAGCACGGCATCGGCTCCGGACACCTACGCGAAACCCCCACGTTAGAATGGTTTGAACCCCGCCAGATCCACGCGACGGACAACTCACCTTGACGCCCTTCTCGGGCTCGAGCTGCGCATAGGTCACCTTGCCGTGGTCCACCACGATGGCATAGCGACCGGTGCGTTCACCACTGGTCCAGCCAATGCTGCTGGAGAAGCGAGCCTCGGGGTCGGTCAAGAAGAGCTTTCTCGGTCGTTAGTATCGATCGTCGTGGCATGAAATCGACCAAGGAACCGGTCAGTCAAGTGACCATGGAGAATAACGTACCAGATCGTCACCCTTCACCTCGTTCACCTTGCCCCAGGCGCTCATGACGAAGGGGTCGTTGTACGCGATGACCGCCACCACGTCGACACCCTTCTCCTTCAGCTTGGCCAGGTTCTGAATGTAGCCGGGGAGGTGGTTCTCGGAGCAGGTGGGAGTGAAGGCGCCTATCAATTGTCAGCACTGTCGATGAGAGGATTGTAGGACTGACGGTAGAGGAAGAATTGGGAACTCACCGGGCACAGAGAACAGCACGACCTTCTTGTCAGCCCACTCGGTCGAGGCGTTGTAGTTGGTGGGGATTCCGCAGACCTTCGCGTCGGCCTTGTCCTCACTCCAGGGGATGTACTGGAAGACCACGTCGGCGGGGAAGGCGTCACCGGGCTTGAGAGACATGTTGAGAGAAGTGGGGGTGATAGAATTGATGCTAGAGAAGTGGGTTGTGGAGGATGGAAGATGTAGAGAGAAGAAAGGAAAGAGGAAGTGAGAGGAAGAGAAAAGAAGAGAAGAGAGAGCGAAGAGTGCGGGGTCGAGGGAAGGGGAGTGCAGTGACTGAGGCACCCACTATTAGTACTGCTCAGCAGTGAATAACGCAAGCAGCGGTGGGTCGGTTTGTCTGTACGGTGTACACGAGTTGGGGGAATTCCCTTGGAGATCGGAGGTCGCCGGTGGATGCCCTTCTATGGTATAGACTTCAAGGTAGCTTCATGTATATTCTATCATTAGGTATGTACATCCATCCATCCATCCTACTGCGTGTCTATTGGAATGCGCGTCCGTACTGCACCGGCACGGTAACCTCCACCCCCAGAGCCTTCGCCGTCTTGATCACCCATTCAGGCTCGCGCAGGAACTGTCGCGCCAGCAGAACGGCGTCTGCGCGAGGCTCCGGTCTCGACACGATCTCCTCCGTCCCCTGCGCCTCGGCTCCTTGCACGATGTCCCGCGCCTGTTCAGCCTCGGTGACGAATCCCACGGTGCCCACGAGCGTCGACGCCCCGGCCGCCCGGATCGCCTTGCGTAGGTGGGCCGCCAGGTCGATGTGGTAGTTGGTGTGGATGTTGATCTTCTGGTTCTGGTGGTTACCCCCTGAACTTACGTCCAGCAGGTCCACGCCTAGCTCCGGCAGCAACGCCGCCAGACGGACCGAGCTCTCCAGGTCCCACGACCCGGTGTTCGCCGCGACGGGCTGCTCCTCCAACCACTCGGTCGCGCTGAGACGCAGGAAAAGCGGCATGCCGGCGGGGATGACCTCGCGGATGGCGATGGCCACCTCCCGTAGCAAACGGGTCCGGTTCTCGAACGAGCCGCCGTATTCGTCCGAGCGCGTGTTGGTGACGGGGCTCAGGAACTGGTGGATGAGGTATCCATGCGCGCCGTGAATCTCGATGACATCGACGCCGGCCTGGACGGCCGTCCTGGCGCTGTCTGCAAAGGCACGCACCACCTCCTTGACCTCCTCCGTGGTGAGCCCGCGAGGAGCCCAGTACATATCGTTATCCGTGCTCCAGGCATGTTCGGCACCGCCCGAGGGCCCCACGACGTTGTCTGGCCACCCGCCCACGCTTTCGTCGGCCTTCAAGGCCATTTTTCCGGCTGCCGCGGCGATCCACGGCGGGGAGGTACTCGCCTTGCGACCGGCGTGCGCCAATTGCACCCCGACCTTGGCGCCCTGACTGTGGGAGAACTGCACGACGCGTTTGAGGCCGTCAAACTGCGGCGAGTCGACCCCCTGCCAGAGTCCGACATCGTATGGGGAGATGCGGCCGTTCGGCTGGACGCCGGTGGCTTCGACGAAGAACAGCCCCGCGCCTTTGAGGGCGAGATGACCCAGGTGGGCAATGTGGAAGTCCGTGGGGGCGCCGACGGAGGGGGAGGAGGGGTCGTTCTCGGCGGAGTACATGCACATGGGGGACACGATGATGCGATTCTTGAGCGTCAGGTCGCGGATTTGTAGCGGGCGAAAGAGCGTGGGAGTCCTGGGGTCGTCGGGGTGGAGAGCGGCGCCGACATTGTTGGCGGGCGTGAAGAAGGGAGTCGCGCTGGACTTCACGACGGGGGGCGTGCGAAAGGCGGTGGATCCCATGGTGACGGTGGTGTTTGATCAAGGGAATTGTCGTAAGAAAAGGCCATGGTTGATGGGAGTATGGAGTATTTATAACGTGGGCGCGATGGTGTCGGAGTCCAAGTTGGAAATTGGAGAGAACAGGAAATCGCCAGGCAAGGCCCGCTGCTGACAAATTGGCCTTTCCGGGGACATTTGGAGTCGCGCCTTCGTTTTGTCTCCGAGTTGCTTCTTCTTGCACTTTCATTTGCAGATGTTGCATAGAAACACCTGGTTAATTTCTCTTCTCGTCGAATCATCCTCCCCTGCTCATGCCAGACCGATCAATTGTGTTGAAAAATGCCTCAAATGCTGAATATCCTACCTCTACGCTGTCGTGCCCAGAGCTGGCGTGATCAAAGGTGGGGGGGAATAAGCTCTTGGACTTGGGCTCGGATTTGGAATGGAATTAATCGAACCTTTCAGTCTCACCCGTAAGCCGCTGCAATCTATATCCTCGTTGCTGTCGGGCACTCGACGCCACGTACTGGGCATTTTTGGAATCAAGGCGCCTGTCTCTCTCCCATGCCGCTTATCCGTGAATATTTATATCTACATGAGAACTCGAGATGCCGATATCCGGAGTTCTTGCCTCGAAGAGACCCAGAAAGAATTCACGTAGCCATTGACTGGATATTTATTTGACATTCAAGGAGCTCGACCCAGAGGAAGAATCAAACCTGAGTTTGGCACAACCTACCGCACCCACGGATGATATATCAACTGGCCGATGTTTACCCTCTCCTCAGGATTGACTCTCATTAGCGATATTAAAAATGTCGCAAATCCAACGCGGTCTCGTTCGCCCAAACCTAGCATCCAGGAAGCATTTTCAAGCGTCGGGAGACGCAGCCGCGGTAACCCTTTGACTCGTCCCCTGTCGTCAAAGATCTGTTGCACGAGAGTATGATCACCCTTCTCACGAAGTGAATCTGGTATAGGACCGTAAGGACCTCCCGTGCGAAAACTGCCTTCAAACATCCATACACCGAAAAAGGCTTCCACCATCGTCGCGCCTAGACTCCAGAAGTCCATACTAGAACTGGGAGGACAGGGGGCAATGATAAGGGACTCTGGGGGTCGGAATCTTATTGGCCGAATCGTTTTGTTGTAATGGAGGTCGGCCCAGCTAGCTGCGCCCCAGCCTCCTAGAACAATATCGAACTCCAGGGGACGTATGCCTCGAAAGTAATGCCTTCTCAGGGTTGGCACCGAATTGCAGCTGGATCGGTCCATGTGTCGCACACCATTGGGCCATTCGGGTTGTTGGGGATATAGAGATCGGTGATGACTGATTTATTCTTGATCATCGCAAAAATGTTCTCCGGCTTGATATCTGTGATACATTAACTTCAGTCATACCGTCAGCTCCGCTGAGCACTTACCAGTATATTTGACCTCTGATCCATGAGCATACGACAGCGCCAGAAGAAGTGACCTCGTGAAGAGACGCATGACGTTGGGTGGCAGTCTATGACCAGGGAGCCATTTCCTAAATGTAGCCAATGTTTCGCCTATAATATCGAAGACAAGACATACATGCAGCCCGTAAGTACTGCGATGTGGGCGTAGCCAGGATCCTGAGGATTCGCATCGCGCAGTTGCGTGAGAGTGTTCCGCGTAGAAATGCCACGAGCCACCCCGCAGCAATCAGACGATAGGATCTTCAGGTCTCGGAAGTAGCCAGTTCTGGAGAATGCAATCAGGGTACTATTTCAAGCTGCGAACTGTTAGGGATATTCCGAGGCAGGGTAAGAACCTACCGCAGATCTCGCACCAGCCATACAGTGGAATTCTGACCGTGTCCGATCTTCCTAAGCACAAAGTGTCTTCCATTGTATGTGTCCGCAAGGAAAACAGGGAGCGGGCCACCAGGGCGGTCTTGCGCATGATGGTCGGCCATTATAGCAGAAAGCCTGAGGTTCGGGTGGATGGTTGAACTCGATATTGAGGTTGAGGTTGATACCGACTTGCCTGTCGTTGGTTACAAGTGAAATTCAACCGACGAGAAGTTCCTCTTATCTTAGAGCAATGCGGCAGTGCGAATGTCCCTGAGGTTCAGCCACGCGGCTTGAACATGTCTCTTTCACTCATGATGACCGCCCAAACGGGCATAGAAGCGTTGGCCACCGTTGTTTGTTGACGTGTGATGCTGTCAATGCTTGCAGGTTCATTGACCAGCCCCAGAGCAAGAAAAACATGAAGTGCTGGCCACAACAGCATGAGATAGCGTTGGTTATAAGAACCCGTTTACTTGTGATCATAACATGGTCCTTCATTCACATTTTACACTGTTCACGTGTACACCTTGCGAAGTCAATAAATATTCGGCAAGGCACCATCACGGCCTTCCTTCACAATCTTTGCAAATCGTCCACAGTCAAATCAGTCACCAACATATGTCCGGGCTCGTGAGCGAAGACCAAATCCTCGATCTTGCTCCCTGCAGTTTCCACTGCCATTTGTGGAGTCACCCCACAAGCCTATTAAAGTCCATTAGCAATCGACTTACTCTCCAGACAAAATACTGCATGGAGGAAACAGAAAGACGTGGATAACTCTTACCCAGAAGACTGGAACCTCGCCGTCCACAAAAACCTGCGGCTCACCAAAATCAGGCAGATTAATATCTTGTATTCCCAACTTTTGCACCGCCTCCCATCCCCAGGCCACAGGTTCTCCATGCGTCGCGAGATACGGTCTCGTTACGTCCCTGACAGCCTCGATATCCTCTGATCGGTACGGCCTCATGGACACGATGCACGACCCGCCCGTGAAAACTCCCGCCGGCAAAAGCGAGATATTACTTCTATACATGGCTACGATTCGGCCGGTCTTCTGGTGTCTTGGCTGCAGACCCGCCGACGTGAGAGCGTCCTCGAACGAGAACGAACAGCCGATGAGGAAGCCGACGTAGTCATCGCGCCAGATATCGAGCAGGTCGTCACGGGTGACGAGGTACTTGCCGCCCTGATAAACGCGATATTTGGGGAAGTCGGTCCGGATATCGAAGTCAGGGTTTTGGATGCATGAAGGTGGTTCGATGAGGTGTGGATTTCCTGGGGTAGTGGTGTGGCCGAGAAGGGGACAAGCGACGGGATTGCGACGACACAGGTCATGGAAGTCTCGAGCGTGTTTAGAGGGGAGAATTAAAAGATTGGCTTGCAGATAGCCCGGGGCGATGCCAGACGTATTCGTGATGAGATTATTTCGGCTGAGAATGCGGGCTTGGTGAGATGGCGATGGTGAAGACATTCTCACTATTGGAGATGTCTTACGATGAAGGATTTCGAAATGCAGCGTGGAATACACCATTGAAACTACTATGAGATTATGGATATGTCATTTGACTGCCTCACTTCTATCTGGAGCCTTTATCTCCCCTCGCGATGATCCTGGTCTCTCCTCTCTACCCCATATCCACATCGGAGGCCAACACCCGATACCTGGGGGACGTCGGGGACACCTTCCGCCACCGATGGGCTAGGATCGACGGTCATTGGAGAGTCTCGTACATCCCGGCAAACCCTAGACGAGGTCGAAGGTGCACAAATCCCCCTCTTTGGGGCTTATCATACCTTGGTCGGGCCGAAGGGAGGCCCACTTGTGGAGAACGACCGAGATACACGGCGTGATTGGCACAGGGAGTTTCTATTACTCAAGAAGATACCCCGATAACACGGGGAAAGCTGGTGGTATGGGGTATGATAGACCGGTGGGCAGGGGGTTGTCGTATCATGGCATGGCTGTGAGATAATGCCCTGGGGTGGCTTTAGGGTTGGGAGTTTTTAACGTTTGCCGTGGGATGGGATTTCGCTGACTCGCTTCATTCACACCAAACCTTGACAATTAACAAGGACGAAGCTATCAATTGCGGTCTCCATCGTGTATTGTCCTTTGCAATAACTCAATTCACAATTTCGCTCGAACGCACACCAACACTGGTGCGATGTCGCTTAACAAAGATATCCCCCTCGAGAGCAAACCGCCCGATGACAAGCCCTCGCTCGACGAGGCCGGCTTTGGCGATGTTGAGGACATCGTGCTTGATCCGAAAAAGGAGAGCAAGCTGCTCATGAAACTGGATTTAGCCTTCGTGCCGATTATTATGCTCACGTACCTGTCCTGCTTCCTGGATCGAACGAACATCGGTATGCCATCACCATCAACCCTCTGCGATCGTGTTACTGATTCACTACCACAGGCAATGTCAAGGTAGCCGGCATGCCCGAAGACATCGGTGCCTCGGAGACTCAGTTCTCGACCGCTGTGTCGATTTTTTACGTCACTTACGTCCTGCTCGAGGCGCCGTGGGCGGTACTAATGAAGAAGCTCACGCCGCGCAATATCCTCACGGGTCTGTGCATCGTCTGGTCCATTGCAACCGTCTTCACGGGCTTCGTGGAAAACGTGGGCGCGCTGTACGCTACGAGACTTATTCTGGGCGCCTGCGAAGCCGGACTCTTCCCCTGTCTCAACCTGTACTTGACGATGGTTTATCGCCGCGAAGAGCAAGCCAAGCGGGTTTCGTACCTGATGAGCTGCGCTGCAATCTCAGGGGCCGTGGGAGGACTGCTGGCGTATGGTTTGCTCCATATGGACGGACTTGGAGGCAAGGCCGGCTGGCGGTATGTCCTTTCCATCCACTCTCGCCAGGCCTCATAACCGCTAACATATCCTGATCAGATGGGTGTATATAATCGAAGGCCTCTTCAGCATCATCTGCGCCTTTCTCATCTGGTTCGGTCTCCCCAACGATCCCGCAAACGCCTACTTCCTCACCGACGAGGAGAAATGGATGATGCGCGTGCGCAACGAACAGCGACGCAAATACATGGGCAGTGAAGAGTTCAGCTGGGAGGAAATGCGTCTCGCCCTGCGCGACCCGAAACTGATGTTCAGTGCTGTCACGCAATTCTGTCAGGACATCTTGCTGTACGGGTTCAGCACGTTCCTGCCGACGATTCTGCAGAGCATCGGATATAATTCGCTCATGAGTAACGTGCTCACCGTGCCGGTGTATATGTGGGCGGCCATCGTGTTTATTGCGGTCGCATTTTGCGCCGATCGGTATTCCAAATTCTCCGTGGTATTTTCTCCATTCTAGTTCCTTTCTTTTGGTGCGAAAGTGCTCACACCTGGATAGTTCATGCTTGTAACCAACGTCTTCGGCATCGTCGGCTACATCATTCTGCTCTCCGTCTCCAACAACGCCGTGAAATACTTCGCCACCTACCTCTGCGGGATCGCCACATACACAGGCGTCGGACTGAACGTCGCCTGGCTGAACGTCAACGTGGCACCGCAATACCGACGCGCCCTCGCGATCGGACTCCAGCAAACGCTCGGGAACTGCGCTGGTATCGTCGCAGGCCAAGTCTACCGCGAGTCGCCATATGTGCTCGGGAATGCCTTTTCATTAGGATCTTTAGCGGTCGCACAGGGTGTCATTGTCGTACATGCATGGTATCTTCGAAGGGAGGATCGGGAGAAAGAGAGGATTCTGGAGGGTAAGGAAGATACGAGGCGAGTGAAGACGGGAGATGCGGAGCTGGACTTTAGGTACCGTTACTAGGGTCTGAAGCTAAATATACATAATTGCCCCTTGCTGAAGCTAATGCACCTGGAATGCTGGGAAGAAAGGTGGATTTAGGGTTGCATGTGGTGGAGCAAGAGATTTCGATATGACGACATGACTTCATCGCGGGTGTGCAGGTATAACTATAGTTCCTGTTGCCAATCTACCGGGATTAACGGAAACCCTACAATTTTCTATTTTTCTAGTTAATTTGCCATTCAAACTTCCAAGTTATTCCAAACCATTCTCTCCTCGGTTCATAATTCCTTACTACCGCGAACACTCCTCGGCGATCGACCACAAAGCCAAATACACCATAAACAGATCAACCACAAGATGGGACTGTGTTTAAGCTTTCTCAATCGTCGCATGGACTCGGGGCAAGGGATGGGAATGAACTCCGGCCCCGGTCATCGACCCCATCCCCAAGGCGGCGGCGGATACGGTCTCAGTTCATTTATCAGTGGCGGCGGACAACAACATCATTCCGGAATGGGGGACCTGGGAGCCTTAGGTGGGATGGGAGGTCGACAGCATCATAGCGGCATGGGAATGGGAATGGGCGGACCGCCAGGAGGCGGATTCGGCGGGCATCACGGCGGTGGAGGAGGGTTTGGTGGTCATCATGGAGGCCATGGAGGCCATGGAGGAGGCTTTGGGGGACCAGGGGGTAGTGGATTTGATGGATTTGGGGGGCCCCCTGGAGGAGGAGGAGGATTCGGGGGACACCATGGAGGCGGTGGTGGTGGTGGATTTGGGGGTCCAGGAGGAGGACGGTGGTGATTATGAGGTCTGCTTTCAATTGTTCAGAAAGACGGCGTGGAAGCCTCCACTCCAGATTCCCGGGGTATTGCATGTCACAAGGCGTTTGGTCCCCTTCTTTATGTCTTCTTTCTGCTGTCTTTGTTGTTTGTCGCCATTTCTAGAGTCGTTTTCTCTCATAGAATTGCATCCAATAACCTAAAGGCTTGTTCAATATGCAACATCAACTCTGTTTATTTGAGACCTCTTTCGCACATCGCTATGAATTCGCTAACCTCATTTAGAGGCCCTCATCCCCCATTGTAGGCTCTGTTCCTTGAATGAGACTGTCAAACAAGGCAATATCAACTCCTGCATTGTCCAATCCTCAACAGCGAATAAGAATGGAGAGGCGGTCCCCAGGGCGTCCTGTTCGAAAGGTTCACCTTCCTGGCGTAGCGCAGTCGGACGAGGTCCTTCACCTAATTCAAGAGGGATTTCTTGTAACTGTTGTGCTTCATGAAGAATATTTGCAGGTAAATGGCGGTAGAGAAGGTGGCTACTAAGACCGCGGCGGAGCGACCCCGAGTTGTTTCCGCCGCGGGCGACGTCGATCGGTCTATCCCTCTTGCGGTTAGGAGCCATCCAGGTCCGCGGTCATACTTCACATCAGATTGGTATAAGTAGAGCATGCTCGGCTGTTAATGCTTTTAGATTTCGTCAAAGCATTCCTCGATTAACTGACTTTTTCATTTCTGCCTCCAAACCAAAATTCCGCGATGGTGATACAATAGCAGGCGGCTCTGGACGTATGTATATCTTCCAACACACCAGTCAATAAGCAATGGTGACTAACTAGTTCATAGAAGTTGCCAGAGAAGTGATCGATGCCTTTCTGGCCACAGGAAAACATGAGATCACCATTTTATCTCGCAAAGTAGGCAGTCTCGACCTGTCAATGCTACACACTTCTGACCTCGTCAAGGGCGCCTCAGACCCCGATATTTCGTCCGAGATCCACTGGCGTGTTGTGAATTACAACGACAAGAACAATCTAATCGAAGCCCTGCGAGGCACTCATACAGTCATAGTCTTCTATCATTCGTTCAACTCTTGACCGACCCGGAGCAGCAATCGCAGAAAACCCTCATCAATGCGGCTATCGCTTCAGGGGTAAAATGATTTTCGTCCAGTTAATATGGAAGGTATCTTTCCCTTGATCTTTGTTATCTCTTCATATTACGAATGATGAATTCCCTTGCAGAGCAGGTACGGTCGAAATACCCTGGTGGGCTGGAAAAGAAGTTATTAGAAACTATTTGAGAAAGGTCAACCAGAATGCGAAGGCAATATACCCCCCTTTCTTATAGCCGCTACTGTTTTATCCTTCTAACAATATTCCAAGGTCCTCGAATATACTCTCTTGCAGCCCGGTCTCTGCCTGGACTATCTCGCCTCTCCGTACAGAACCGCGAAGCATGTTGAGCTTCTTGACACCGTGTTTGACTTTCAGAACTGTCGCGCCATTTTAGTCGATAGCCACGACAATGCGATCATGACTTTGACCACGGTCACAGATCTCGCTGCCGTCATCGCCCGATCAGTGGACTATGAGGGAGAGTGGCCCGAGACCGGAGGAATCAGAGGTAACAGGGTCACTATTGGTGACATTGTCAGGATTGGGGAGGCTATTCGAGGTAATCTAATTATGGGAGAAACCTTAAGCCAGGAAGCTAAGACATGCTACAGAGCGTTCGTTTACCGTTGAAAAGGTCAAAATCGAAGATCTCGAAGCAGGGATTTTGAATACCTCATGGGGGCTGGAGAAGAAACATTGAGCCGTTTCTGGCGAGCAGGCCGCTGAAATGATCAGGACTGTGCCAATAGGTATGCTACTCAATAGTATTAAAGGTGCTTGGGATGTTTCAGACGACTTCAACCGCTTGTTTCCCGAATACCAGTATGGCAAGATGCAAGACTTTCTCACAAGAGTTTGGAAGGATAAGCCATAAGCTGAGGAAGCACGATTGGTCAGTCAAGATATAATCCCAAAGGGTTTGATGCTTTCTTCTATCCTATTTCTGCACATTAGATGAAAATAAGTATAGCTATATGAACCCTTCGTATCCTAGGCCTCTGAGCTCGCCTTTTCCAAATCTCCTTCCAACTCCAGACTGTACTTAGCAAACGGACTTCGCGCCCTGATCCTCTCTCCGTAAATAATAAACAAAACCGGCACAACAATGAACACCGTCCCTAACGCTGCGACAACTGACCCTGCAACATTATAGCCCAAGCCTTCGAACATCTGTTTCGTGAAGAGCGGAAACACGCCCGACAAGAGCGCCCTCACAAACTGCACCGCGGCCGTCGCACTAGCCGAGTAGCTGAGATAGCTATCAGCCATATAGACGTACAACACCGTATCGAACTCATTCATCGCAAACCCAACTAGCAGGAGCGATAGAGTAGGCACGATCCAGTGTACCGTCACTTTAGACGGAATTGTCCACGCAAACCACCATAGCCCGATGGCGAATATTGGAGCTCCTACGGCCAGACCGGTGAGCTTGCTTTCGGGCTTGATCGGCAGGTTCCGCCGACGAAGGGAGGCAAAAATGCGATAGTCTATCAATCGACAGGGAATGCTAAAAAAGAAGCCCACTGCCAGCCCGAGAAACGGAAGGCTGGCTTGTGTCTCGCTGAAATCGAGGGCCGTGTAGACGAGTTGAAGGGCTTCGGTGAAGAGATAGAGAAGCGCGAAAGAAAAGCCGTTCATGAGGGCCGTGGCAATGACGAGAGGCTCGGTGAACAGCAACTGTACAGGTCGAAAGAGTGCGGTTCGCACGAATGTATGAAGATCGGGGACATGGTCGTGGTTGAGGGCCTCCAGACTATGGTCGCCGGTCTTTTGGCGGATGTGGCTGACCTCCTTGATCAGGATCTGAGATGGGCGGGACTCGCGGATAAAGAGGAACAGAACCATGATGATGGCAAGAGCGATGGCGTATATGTAGAAGAGCCATCTCCTACGCATATTCATCGCGTTAGTGGTATTCTCGGGCAAGGAGTAAGCGCGCATGCACATACCAAGAAAGAGCTTCAGTAATGTGCGATCCAATGATCGGTCCCATCGATAGACCAATGTTCGATGACACCGTCCAGAAGAGAAGGACCCATGTGCGAGGCCATGAAGAGAACATATCTTCCACACTGCCACAGCCAACGGTGTATGGGATGGCCGAAATAAGGCCGCCAAATAACCGACCAACGATTGTTCCCGCCAGAGAATGTACGACTCCCACAATGACACAACATATTGCGCTCAAAGCGCTGCTGAGAATGTATAGTTTCTTGCGACCGAATGACTCCGACCACGGTGGAAACACGATCGTCCCAAGCACTTGGCCGAGAAGAAATCTAATGGCAATCAGTGACTGCGTACTGGAGCGAGTTAGGGTTAACTCACACCGTCACGAAACAGAAAACCGAGAGCTCCCTCCCGATATGATAGTCATATTTGGCTTTGGCAGCTGCTGACACCTGATACAGTCAGACATGTCAATATCAGTCGAATGATGCTACTCACACCAGCAGAGCTTGTCGTGGTTCTAAAGCAGCAACGTTAGCGCCTCTAATAGTGGTCATCTGGGATCAGTATACATACACAAAGAAATCTAAGAATAAAATCATCGCGGTATCGTAAATTTTGCGTGCGCTGCGCCAGTTCCGAGGATGCTTTTTATTATCACACCCCCAGCAGACAAACCGGCCATCGGCGGTGAAATCCAGACCATGCTCGAACACACAGTTGTAAGCATAGGGGCGGACCGCCGGTTCTTGGATTTGTGCTTTCATGCTGGATGCCGAAGAGGTTGGTTAGCAGCATTCAGTGAATCCAAGCCCTTTTTAGGCATTTATTATGCGTACCCAGAACAGAATCCCCTAGCTAACGGCAACATCTCAGCCGATGACAATCAAAACTAGCTGCGTGATAATTGGCTTTGTCCCTTGCAGTTATCATCTGCAGTACAATCCTGATCGAAATTATTTTACCATTTATAATTTTGAACAGGGACCGAACCGTCCCAGAAGCACTCGCATGACACGTTCTAAATATTCCAATATAATCTTCACGATCAAGTATATCCGATATTCTTTTCTATCACGGGCTACTAGATCAAGGGATAAAAGCTTGTACAGTACTATACATGCCCTCACAAAGCGGGTCAATAAATGATCTGCATGAAGCCAATAAATCAAGTAAGCTATGATGCAAGGAGCGATGTCGCTGTTTTCCTCTGAAACGAGCGGTGACTCCTTCGGAATGAAGATATGCATGTGAACACTTCTAATAGCTTCAGAAGAAGTGATGATTAACAGTGTCTTCGGAAAAATGACTGCATCTCGTTCTGGATATTTGCCTCAATCGCTTGTCAATTTTTGTCATTTTCTGAATTCTAGCATAAATTGAAGTCTCTGATGACACAAGTTGGCCGAAGCTATGCATGATTGTATTGTTGCATGCGGTAGAAATGGAAGCACATTCATATTTGATTGTCGACCTATAGACCTTCTGACGAGATGTACGTGTAGAATGCTTGAATTGATGAAAGGTCTCGGAGACCGCTAACTAGCTAAATCCCTAGTGGGTCAAATGTGCGCTAAACCCTATCAGGCAAGCGAGGCCATAGAGTAGACAGTCTGAAACTTTCTTTCTCTTGTTTTGTCCCTGTTTGTTGACCTTGTTACAACATCTGATGTGTTTCCAAAATCAGCATCTATAGACAGTCCGGGTGCCTGAGGTGTCAACTGCCAAGCTTCGCCCGTTTGCCTCCAACGCGTCTCTGTTCTTTCCCCTCACCTTTGTCAACACTGAATCCATATCTTCGACTATGATTCGAAATGATTACACGCGTTATCAATCGTCAAAATCCGTCTTTCCCCTTACTCAGTCCTCTCCTGTTCGAGCAAAGTCGCTCTTTGAGTTAGTAGTGATATATTAGCACCCCTATATTCCCGTGCATTGTGTTCGTCATTGACACAACTTTTCAGTTTCAATATCTAACCCAGAGCTGTTCTCTTATACCTCTGGTAGATTCGTTTACAATGAAGATATTCGACTGCGTGAACGCCATGTCAAGTTCGATCCTGTTGCTCTTGTGCGAGAAGCGGAAAGCACATCGGTCTCGGCCAGGCGAAGCGTTTTACAAAGCTTGCCGAAGGAGGATTCAATCGGGTTTTCCTTTTAGTTATGGAGGATGACTTCGAGGCAATTGTGAAGATCCCATATCATGTTCCTGGCGCGAAGCATTATGTGACCGCCAGTGAAGCTGCTACTCTCCATTACCTGCATTCCAACGGCTTCCCTATGCCCAGAGTTTATGGGTACTCTTCGTCGGATAGCAATGCTGCCGGTGTGGAATATATCGTTATGGAAAAAGCACATGGTGTCGGTCTGAAGACTAAATAGTCAAGCATGAGCAAACGCGAACGATATCAACTCGCGTCGAGTTTTGTTGACATTGAGAAACGACTTTTCCAACTTCCTTTTGGGTCTAGCGGGAGTCTTTACTTCAAGAGAGATGTTCCTCCAGAGCTTCAGGCGGCATTATATAGTAATAGCCTCGAAAGCGATGGAGAGGATGAACGGCTTTGCATTGGGCCTACTGCAGATAATATGTTCTGGAATGGAAAACGAGCTGGCCTCGACCTTTACCGTGGACCATGTGGGTTCCTTTATTGTTAAAATCTGTGCGGCCTGTCTGACTACCACAGGGAAGAACCCCAACGATTATCTTGCGTCTATTGCGGAAAAGGAAATCAAATTGACTCAGCATTACGGAAGGCCTGCAGAACTGGACTTCCCACATAATGGGTTGTTTCCTGGGGAACAGTCTCCAGTGGATTACCTCCGTCTACTGAACAAATATCTCGCCTTGGCCCCATACCTACTTCCAAAAGAACCCACCTCTGCCCTGAATCAACCGACCCTTCGCCATCCAGGTATGTCATCTCTACTACTTCACGAAAGATACCTGACGAGATTAAGATCTAAATACAAATAATATCTTCATTTCCCCCGACTCCGGCGCCATCTCTTGTCTCATTGACTGGCAGCACACAACAATTGAACCACGTCTATTGGTTGCAGGCTATCCTCGGGCCTTTGAAAGCCCAGATATCGAAAAGTCTCCCAAACTCAAAGAACCGTCGCTTCCATTGAATTATGAAAGTCTGACTGGCCCGGAGAAAGCGGAAGCCACTGAAATTTACAACCGACGTCTCCTGTCTTACTATTACCGCATCCTCAACGACCACCTCAACAAACCACATCTCGAGGCTCTTCGTGACCCGATTCTTCTTCCACGTCAACATCTAGTGGATAGGGCAGGTAGGCAATGGAGTGGAAATTTAATGACTCTGAAGGGGGCTTTAGTCCGCATGGTCGAATACTAGCCTTATCTACCAGATACAAAGGGACTATCCTGCCCGGTACAGTTTGCGGAAGCCGAACTTGATGGATTTCATGAGCAGGAGCAGCTGTGGTTTGACTTGAATAAAGTCGTGAATCATTGGCGTGAGCAAATCGGTGGTGTGAGCGAGGATGGCTGGGTCAGCAATGAACAGTACGATGACACGATTCAAAAGACGGCTGAACTCAAGGCCTCCCTTATTGCTAGCGCGGAAGGTGATAAAAATGATATTCATCTATTGGAGAAAGGATGGTTATTCAGAGACCGCGAGGAACTTGCTTAATCCACCAGGACACATTGTTGATTAAAGATACATCTCATTCACGGTCTCGCTTGAAGCCCCCAAGCCGAATATGCAAGGAACTTGTATCAATACGAATATCTGGAGCTGACTCCAAACCTCCTCGTCTGTCGATCGAAAGACCTGCGATAGAACCACCACGCACAAGCCGCCACAATACCAAGGAAGAAATCCCACAGAGTCCAGAAACGCGGACTCGGGCCTCGCATGTTATTCAATAGCATATCCCCTCTCCATTCCACAGGTACATAGGTCTTGCCTTTCTCCACCCCAGTGATTATCCTCTTCGCAATGGTGCGAGCCGACGGAATCTTCTGCTCCAGTTCTGTGCGAGACAGGTTCGTTCCTTCAAGCGCCTTGGTCAAATTAGGCTTATTGTCCTGTTCATCGAAGAAGGCCTCGGTGATGAAGGGTCCCGGAAAGCTGACGTGGACTCTAAACATGTTTTCATCGTAGAGAAGGAACTCCTGGCGCAGAGTATCTGCTAATGCGCGAATCGCGACTTTAGTTGGTGTGTATGCGATGAAGCCCGGAATGCCCAAGAATGCTGCCAGGGACGACGTGAGGAGGACGTGACGCGGCGAGGCGGTGGGAGCGGCAGCAAGCCATAATTTCAGGCAGTATTGCACGATGAAGATTGTTGTATAGTAGTTGAGGTCTACACACGACGTGATGGCTTCCGGGGAGATGTCGGCGAGAAATCCGACTTGCGTGGGAGTTCCGCCTGCGGTGCAGATGAGGATATCGGGGGTATGGTAGTGATTGAGAGCAGCGTGGATCTGTACACGGTCAGCGAGTATCCCTTGCGATGAATATGCAAGCATAACTACCTCGTCGGGCTTGGTCAAGTCAACTGGGATCGCATCGACGATCTGCTTCGAGTTCGTACACGCTCTTTGGACCTCAGCCTGCGTGTGTCGGAGGGCAGCCTCAGATCGTGCAAGCAGCAGCAGATTGGCACCTATCGAAAGACTCAGTATAGATTGCGACAAGCCATTAACGACTGATTCAACCGACCCTTCGCAGCCAACTCCAGAGCGAACGCTTTCCCCAGACCCCTTGATCCGCCCGCAACAAGCACGAGCTAACAGCTGTCAGCAAGAAACTCCTTATGGGACAGGAACGGTGGAGAACAAACCTTCCCGTCGACTTCGAACTGATTGTTTGACCCGAGGAACCGTCGGAGAAACGCCATGATGATGGTGCTATGCACGCTGTAAGGGTCTATTGACTGAGGCAGACGGGGATAAATAAGACGCGTCGATGTTTGGGGAGCGAGAGGCCGCACGCAAGGGATGGAATGCAGCAGGAGCGATCTGCTACGGGCATTGTGTCACCATGGGTCATGACAGGTCATTTCCCGGCCATGATCGGCTGCACTTTTCTGACTTCCTCGCGATCCTTGGATCGATTCTGAATGCGCCCGGGTCTATTGGCTGACGTGCAGCAATCTGCCTGGTCTTCTCACTGCGCCGCCCAAACCCTAATGCCCCGTCACGAAGACTTCTGGGTTCTCTCACGTTTCACCACGGCGCCTCTGACAAATCGATGTCACCCCAAACCAAGGGAATGCGCAATCATGGCTTGTGAATAAAGCTATTGTTCGGATTAAGGCTGATGATTTTAAATCTTAGACCAAAGATCCCTACCCTGGATACTTAGTAACAGGACATTAGTGTATGTACAATCATGGCCAGGCTTGTTCCTGCTTAAGGCGTATTTCCAATATATGCAAGTTAATCCACCTTGTCATCTGTCTCGTCGACAAAGGCCTTAGCTCCGAAGAACCGCCAGATCATGGGACTGTCCATCTCTTCTTTGCCCTTCATAGAGAGACTGATCTCCGCCGATCCGTCGCTCATATACGCCACTGATTTCGTCTGCAGTTTGTTAGCACTGTACCAAGATGGCCGATAAGATACGTACCAGGCCAAGTGTCAATTTGGTTGCGCCCTCCCACCAGCTATAATGATATTCGGCCTGCTTCTTGGACCGGATGAAAGACACAATGTTGTTGGCGACATATCTTGCTTGCTCAAACGCCGAGCGCGCATTCCTAATGCAGTTCAGCTCAATCACATCGCCTGCTGCATAGATTCTATCTAATGTCGAATCGGCGAGCTGCAATGTAGGCCGAACCCGAATATGTCCTGATGCGGAGACCGACTTGGGTGACAGCGCCTCTATCAGAGCGGAATTCGGCCGTTGCCCGATGCATTTTGCCTGTCAGGGTCAGTTTTATACCGCTCAAACTCGTACAGCTCATACATACCAGATAATCGCATGGGATTGTCTCCCCAGAGTGTAATTGCACAGTTCCTGTCTCCTCGATGCCGTCGACACTTGCCCTCTCTCCCAGTTTAACACATACTCCGACATTCACCAATTCCTCAAACGCTCTCTTTGCCAGCGTCGGTCCGAAGTTGTCGTTCAACAATGTGTTTCGCGAATGCACTAACGTGACATTCTTCTCCGGATATCGCGACTTCGCATCCCCTGCCAGCTCTATCCCTGCCGGTCCACCACCCAGGACGACCACGTCTGTCGCAGCCACCAACCTGTCTTGCTCGATGGTCAACAACTCCATACCCTCTCTCTTCGTCGTCACTCCCACTCGAGACGGCAACGTCGCCGACGCCCCAGTCGCTATGACCAGATACTCAAAGTCGATGGTCTTTCCAGACCCCAACTGAACCTTTCCCCTCCCATCTTCATCCACCACGACCTGTTCCGCCGTATCCCGCACCCACTCATATGATCCCCTGGGCACTGTCGATAGATATGACCCGTAGGGGATAAACGCCTTGTGCTCATGGCCCCTAACGACGCTGAATCTCGGCAACACCCACGTCACCTGGAGATGGCTGTTTTTCTCAACGACCACCACGCGATAGCCGGTCGGTAAAGAGCTAGCCAGACACCGAGCCACATGGTATCCGGCAAACGAGGCACCGATGACGACGACGTTTCGCGGGTTTTCGACAGATCGGTAGGTCAGACGGTGGAGACGCGGCGAGAGGGCGAGACTAAGGTGGGTGTAGATTTGCTGGAAGGTGAGGCCCAGGGCCTTGCAAAACAAAAGGATTTCCGCCAGCATAATGCTCTTGACAAGGTAACATGCAAATAGCAAATAGACAGGGAGGAAAGGGGGCGTAGTGCTGATGGCAATGTTTATAAGGGAACGGACCCTCCGCGGACCCTCCTCGGCCGACGATCTTATCTGATCCGCTCCGATCGTCGGGCCTTATTCGGCCCTCTTTTGGACCGAGACCGCCGAGCGCATCCACCTTTAAAACGATCATTCGCTATCCCAGGAAATGGGATGTAAATTGTGGAATTCTCCGATCTCTCGTTGACCTTGGGTTCCTGATTTAACCGTCTCATCTCATCACGTGGATGAACCCGTCTGGTTGACAGCCACGGATAACTACAAATGCCTACCTTGTGATGACCACTGTATAGTTACACACTCCTTCCCAAGGGAGTTGGGAGCTGAGCATGCAGACTAGTCGGACTTATTCCGGATAATAGGTCGTAAGTTGAACAACCGCGCGTTCCAGAATACGAGCTGGTTGGTTTTCTCGCCTGATTTAACCTACTTTAGAAATGACTGCCTAATGTACATTATCTTTGTTCGGAATTATGCATGAGATATTCTCCCTGATGATCTGCTGATTTCATTTGTGTCATGACTCTCATTATGGGTGCTGGGTAGAGTTATTGTTATAAAAGGCATTGTGTGGGTTTTATATATTTTTGTACCGGCAAGACCCTCGAGCTTATCCTAATTAAAGACGATTCAAAGCACCGCCTTGCTCAATGACCCTCCTATAATCCATGCCACCCAACTAGAAACAATCCTTCATCAAACTCGACAGCTCCCCTCCGTAATCGACCAAGTAACCATTCCCACCCGCCATGCGACCTCCATGCTGCCATCCCAAATCCGACAAACTCTGCGGTCCAACACCCATAATTTGATCTTCTAGGTTTCCGACCGCTTCGAACCACTCCATCAACTCGCGGGTCATTTGCGCTCCGTCCAGCGGCGAATGACTATGGTTGCTGGTGGACACCGGTGCGTCGAATGACTCTATCTCTGTTTCACCATTTTCTTCAGGGTGGTATACTCCATCACCCGTATGTGACTCCTCCTGCGCAGAGTGTTGATGTTGATGTTGGGGTTGATTTCCGTGAACATGCAATCCTAACTGAGGTCCTAGTTTCCTCAAACTGCGAATAGACCTCCACAACTTCCTAGAGATGTACGAGCGAGTAGAAAACCCTTTGACGAGCTCAAGCGCCATGTAGAATTCCTCCTTACAGGATCCACTGAATTGGCTTGGCGTTTGAGCGACTGCCAGAAACAGCACCGCCAGAGCAGATACCAGGAACCAGTTGAAGGCCACTTGCTGGAGGCGATAAATATCCGACGTTTCATTGAGGCGCGCGATGAAGCGAATCGTATCCTTGGCGATATCGACAACAGTTTGCGACTCGGATGGATACCGCATAATATGTGCTGCGGAATGCAGAACCGGTCGATGGATGAGCATGCGCAGTTGGTTAGAGCGCAGGTAGAGCAGACTGCGAAGACGACGAATGCTCCGAGGTTCGTCCTGACCAGAATCGGCGACGGGGTGGTGGTCGAGACGTAGGGAGTCAGGAATCGCGCCGATCCATTGCAGAACCTGCCAGTTGAGGTAGTTCATCTCGTCTTTCCTGATCTCGTCGGTGTTGTTGAATGCTGAGATAAATTTCCACACTTTCGCGGCGATCCGACTATATCGGATCATGACGCGCAGGTAGGGCGTCTTCTCTTCCGGCTCGGGGAGCCAGGGATCGATGTCCGTGTCTTCGAGAGAGAAGGGCATGCCCGTTCCAAAACTCCAGCGTATGTCGAGGATGTAGATAGACCAGAAAAGTCGAAGCACGCGTTCGCGTCCTTCTGCCGCAAGGCCTAGTTGAGTGAGCGTTTCTCGTCGATGCAGTCCTTTTTCCAGCGACATGCGCTCGACGATACCGATTGTTCGCCAGGCCAGGGTTTCTTCGTCCATTTGGAAATAGAATATCGCCTGGAGTGGAAAATGTTAGTCGTCTCGCCTACTTCATAAAAATTAATTGGCAACTCACCACTAAGGTCAGAAATATGATACTTTTAATCGCCGGTGCCCCCCAGACACAATTATCCGCGACCTCACGGACACTGTCGAATAGACGCATTGCCAACTCACTACTCCCGCTTGCCTCAGCCGTCAAGGCGCACGCGAATACCAGGCGCAGGATATGCACATCATCACTATCCAACGCCTCAGTACTCTGCTCACCAGACCGCGAGCTATAAAGGACTTCGACCTGATGCAAAAGCTCCGAGAGGTCCAGAACGGGATACATGATTCCCATCTCTTCCTCATACACCCGACACAGCCGCAGCGCTTCAGTCTTCCCAATCATCCAGAGCGCATCACCACCTCGGAGGTTTACACTCTTGTCCGGCGCTGTGGGGGATGGCCGCGGAGATGGTTCCTGAGTCACGTATCCATCGGCATCGGCCTCTCCGTCTGCTTCATGCCGCTCAACGATCCCCCGACTCTGGAGGCTTGATTTCGCGAGGTCGAAACTAAACGCTGAGGTCGTAGGGCCTTGGAAGCAGTCCCTTCCTGCTGTCGACAAACGACTGAAGGGCCGCTGTGACGTCACGACCGATTGTTGGTTCGTCTCAGTTGACCGCGGAGGCGTGATGCCGGGATGCCCTTCGGCGAGCAGATGCACGGCGGATGAGAGCGCGGTGATCTGCTCTTGCATGCTCTGCATTTGCTCAAAGAGACGGTCGATACTGCTGGTCCAATATTAGCATACTCACGATCATTGGAGAATCGGAAACCCTACTGCTCACTCCCACCACCACCATCTTCCCTTCCTTTTTCAGCCCCCTCCACATAGATACACGCGACTCTCTGTCTTCCACACCTCTGACATGGACTCTCGCCATTGCATTTGATCTTCCGTCGCTTGCACTCATTACTGTATCCGTGGAGGTCAAGATTAGCGCAACTGGATCCAAGATGAACCGGCGCTCTGGACGCCACACCCGCGCCAACGCAACCGACATGCTTGACTCAGGGCCGGAAAGCCAGAGGAACGCGAAACAGGATAATCACATGCCATGCCTTGGAAATATACTTCCGTCGTCTCTTCCGCGGCCGGAGGGCATCGGGGTGTTCTTCCGCGTCGACGGCCGAGATGGTTCCGTGCTCGATGTACCGGTTACTGTGGCTTGCAGGGTCTTGCGAAACTAGCTGGGATGGTAGGAGAGATCGGTTCAAGGGTTCCCTGCCAGACATGTTCTCGTTCGAGGGAATTGTAATAGCCACAGGTGGTTGGCGGTTGGATAGTCCGGGGGAGGCGACGGCCCAAGGGGGATTTTAATCCGCGGGGGCGGAAGATGGCGGAATGTTCCGCGGTCGGGGTTGTGTTGCCTCAGGTGGCACTCGGTCACGAGGTCTTTTGAGTTTGGCTTTGGGGAAAAATGATGTCATTGAAATTGAATGCATGAACGGTTGTCTTGGTGTTACTATAGGTTTACTCTTATATACATAATCCGCTCTATATCAAATAAGAAAGAAAGAAAACAATTCCTCAAAGATCCTTCGTCCGCTCATCACTCTCCGCAATCCACTTCTTCAAGCTCTCCGGATCCCTCGCTTCGAATCCCACCTTGAACGGCTTCGGCTCCGTCGTCAACGCCGTCGGGATGGCATTGCAATCGATCGCGTCCAAGATAGGCTGATCGGCTCGGTCCTTCGGCGGAGACATCTTGAACGCCGTAATGAGGCGGATATACGCAGTGTAGAGTTCACGATTGGCCAGATGCGAGCCGGCACACATGCGAGAGCCGGCGCCGTAGCCGTAATGAGGCGTGCCCGCGCCCTCGGACTGCTCGAGGTATCGCTCGGGGATAAATTTGTGAGGCATTTTGAAGTGATCCTCGTCATAGTCGGCTGCCCAGGCATTCTGTATTATCGTTAGTGTGACTGTATGGCAATCTCATCGCTGGGAAGTGGTGACCGCACCATGAAAAACGTAGTCCCCGCAGGGATCTTCGCGCCGTTGTATACAATGTCCTTAGTACTCTCCCGGGGCAGACAGATGGGAATAACGGTCCAGAATCGCAGCGTCTCTTTGACCAGAGCAGTCACGTAAGGCACTTTCTCCTCCACCAGACATTTTTCCCACGCGTCGCCGTCGGGGTAGATCTCCATGATCTCGTCGTACGCCTTCTGTTGAATTTCCTGGCCTTCTTGGGAGGCCAGGTACGCGATGCCCATGATCAGGTTTCCGGGGACAGTGTCCAGCCCGGCAGAGACCATAGTCAGACAGATTGATTTCACTTCGGCTGGTCACGGTTAGCTGTGGGCATGCACATGAGTAGGGATGGGCCAAGTACCATCGTTCAGCTTCGCTTCGGGATCCTTGAGAATATTGCCTGTGATACACGGCTTATCCGTTCCCTTCTCAATCCGGTCTTTCAAGATGCCCAACAGATAGGTCAAGTATTTATCTCTCCGGGCACGGAACTCCTGCGCTTCACGGTTCATCTTGGGCAAAATTCTCAGCAAGGGGATGTAGTCCTGCCAGTTATTACTGGTACTCCGGAAATTCGACACTCCGCGTTCGACGTCCACGATTTCCCTTAGCAGCTGATCATCGACGTTCCCTTCGATGCGGAATCCATAGTTCAGCGTCAGACTGGTGTTGAGGGCGAACCGCTGGAAATAGGCCGTCGGATTGACGTCGACCGTGCCGCCCTTGCTGTCCTTAAAGAGTTCCCTGATACTGGAGGTCGCTTCTAGATCGATGATCGGCATATATGATTGCACTGCAGGTCGGTTCAGTGCCGTAGCGGCGGCCTTGCGGCGTCGTTTGCATGACTCGTCCCAGGGAGAGGTGCCGATGGTGAAACCCTGCGAGGTCGAAACGACGCTGTGGAAGGTGTGGAAGGTCGGACGCGAGACGAGAGCCGATTGGTCCTTGATCCAGAGCTGTTTAACGGAGTCGAAGCTGTTGGCGAAGATGACCCGCTGGGGAGAGATGTCAGCAGGTAACTTTACATCGCGCCTATGTGGAACTTCGGCGCTGATATTCAAACACCAATTACAAAGGTCAACGTACCCGATTCCCCATGCGCACTTGGAACACTGGACCGAATTTCTTCGCCCAAGCCCCGGCCACGGTCGCATGCTTTTCGCCCAGTTGCAGCAGGTTGCCAAACATCGGCACCCCCGGGATTTCAGGGATGCCTTTGATTTTAGGAACGTCCGTCCGATTGAGATAGCGAATGACGAAAAAGACGACCGCGACGGCGGCGATCGCAAGGGTTTGTAATGTCATGGCGATGGGGATTAGAACAGAAACACAAGTTTATCAGTCGTTGTTTGCTAAGACTTCCTGGGTATGTTTTCCAAGGGACGTGATAGTGTGCACAGGACATGCAAGGGAGCGGCCAGCACAACACCTTTATGTACCTCCTCACGTGTCCAAGGAAGTGACTTGAGAGCACACGCGGCTGAATTGCGCGCCCTTCCACGGTAGATTTCCGAGTGCCTGTGTTGCTCGGCCTTCAGAGGCAGCCAGACGCAGCCAGTCGTAGCAGAGAGGATCGACACGGATGGAGAACCGCACCCCGCATGGTGTCGAAGCCACCGACGCCTAGGGCCAGTAATCAGGGCGGGAATAAGCCTTCATGGTGCCCCATTGCCAACTGTGGCCGTTTTTATTGGCTAATCTCGTCCACGGGGCGTCGTTGTTGTGGAGAAGAACGACGAGTGCGGACGTCGGAAGGTGAGTTCCGCGTTGGCGGCTGCTCGCGGGGAGGGCGGAAGGACCCGGCGGTTCCGCGGTGGATAACAGTTTCTACTTGAAACAATCTGTATGCACGATAGGTAAAGATATCGTGAATATCGGTAAGATTTCGGCTATATACAGTAACGAATAGGATCATAAAAGGGTATCGTTATTGAGAAATGCAGTCCCGCTCCTTTGTGAGCCCATCATGACTCCACTTTTCCATGCCAATCATTATAACATAATTACACATGAACGGGAAAAATGAGAAGCCAAAGTCTCTATGCAGAGTATGGCTTCTCCGACGTACTGATATGACTGGCCCGACGGCCGGCATGCATCTGCCGGTCCGCCTCCAGCGTCTGCGCGAACTTGCTGCTCTTCCGAATCTCCGGCCCCTTCCAATAAAAAATGTAGATGGGAATGGTGACAAAGATGGCCAAGCATCCCAGGATGGTACTGGCCCACTGCAAATGGAACTTGCCGCCGATGTTGCTGTACATGGGAGTCGCGTACATCGCGGACAGTCCGGCCAGGAAGTCTCGCGCGAACCCATTGCCTCCCGTGGCCGACGCCGAGTACGGTCCGTAGGCGGCCACCATGTAGTCTATCGTGGCCATATAGATGCCGTAATTGGCGATAGCAATTAAGAAGACAAAAACCAAAGGGACGATCCAGTGCATGTAGTCCGGTCCCATCGAGGTCCAGGCGAACCCGAACAGACCGATCGTCTCCAATGGGGCAATGAAGAGCAACAGAAGCAGACGTCGCTCGGGCAGCCGGGAGGCATTGCCTTGCTTCTGTCGGACCCTCCGTTGACGCCAGATGTCGGGAAGAAAGATACCGTAGGCGACGCCGTATCCGATGATGATGGCACAGAAGCAGAGACCAATCTGGAGAGGGGTGAAGTCGTACTGTTTGAAGACAAGGTTGAACGATTCGATGCAGGTGAAGATCAGGGCATCGGAGAAACCAGAGAGCAGAGACAGGAAAAGCACGATGGGCTCCCGGAGGAACATCTCGAAGGGTCGGCGCCATACGTGGAGGACCTCCTTGGCGTCCAGTCGAGGCGTTTTCAACTCGTTGGGGCCGTACACATTGGGGTCTTCGCCGGACTTGCGACGACGCTTAGCCTCGCGGTCGATGAGAATGCTGGAGCGAGTTTCGCAGACGAGGAAGAAATGCATCAGCTGGGTCACGCCACCAAAGATGAGCTGGATCCAGAAGTTCCAGCGCCAGTCCAGCCACTGTTGGATCATTCCGCCGAAGATAGGGCCGATGGTGGTTCCGCCAACTGAAGACAAGACCACGTAGGCGACGGCGAACCCTTGTTCATCGGGCTCCCACATATCAGCCGTCATACCGAGAGTGACCGAGCCGCCGGCCGAGCTCAAGCCGCCGAGGAAGCGGCCGACCACGATGGTTCCAAAGTTGGGCGCCAATGCGCAGGGAATTTGCCAGATATTGACCAGGAACAAACTGGCCTGCATGATGGGCCATCGTCCAAACTCCTCGCTCCACGGAGCCCACAATTCGCATCCAAAGGCATATGCCACCAGGAATATCATCTGTCCCACCCTCGCGGCCTGTTCGCTGATGTCGAAATGTTCCGATAGCGGGGTGACAGCGTTCGGGTAGACACTACTGTTGAAGTTCATGGACATCTGCACGGTGAAGATGACGGTGAGGATAGACCACTTCTTGTACCAGGGAAAGCTGAAGCCGAGCTTGTCGTAGCAATCATCCTCAGTAAGCTCTCGCTTCCCATCCCCGCGAAGCTTGCCATGCTCCTCGCTATCGTTGTCGGACTGGCCGGCATGTTCGGCATGGGTGTTGGCTGGCAGACGAGAAGGACTGGTGTTATAAGCCTCCTGTTTCTTCTTCTCCGACTCAATGTCAGATGGTTTACTGGGCGTATCGTTGGCGCCCATGACAGGCGAGTGGGTCGCTGCGATTCCTTCTAGAGTAGGGGTAGAGATGATCAATTCGAACCCACGTTAGGTGGCGAAGGGAAAGGACATCAAGGGTATCAAAGGTCGGAGAGAGGAATCGGAACAAGCAGGGGAGAGATAAGAATGGGTTGGTTTATGGAGAAAAAAGAATGGGGAACTGTCCAGGAACAGAAGCAGGTATCTTTATATACCACCTGTTCCGGGCATCGAGAGTCATATCTTCCCGTTCGATGTAGGGGATGCATTAGGAAGCCCACGGCTGCATGATGTCATGGCTCAATTCTCCGGCCAGTCTCACGGGCTCTCCTCCCCCGGCCGAATCCCCACACCCTCAGTAGATCTGGCTCTGAACCGGTTGCTCTCCGCACTTTCGATCCAGGTATCAGAGACCCCACCGCCCATGCGTCAGGCATGTGTATCGAGGATTGAGACCGACCCTTGAGCGTGTTCAGCCAATGAACGCCTGCGTGATCATAGTCCAGAACAGAGAAAATCAGACTGACTCGCCGCAGATCCGCCACCGTTGCAATCGTACATCAACACGACCAGGGACGACGGATGGGCTACACAGAGTCGCGCCAATCGGCGGCTGAGCGCTTGTCGGGCGGACCGAGAAAGGCAAGCCGGCCAGTTAGCGCCCAACGCTGTTTGGCTCCTTCGCGACGGTCGCCCCCAGCGAGTGACGCAACGAAGAAGCCAAATGGGCAGTGCCAAATCCGGTTTGCATTCCAGGACTCCCGCTGCGCGCGATGGTCTGGGCAGCGGTCATGTTCGCGACATGGATATCACCATCATCCCACCAATGCGGTCCATGACATCATTGCTGGACTCGACGGGCATCTGGTGATACTGCGTACAGTGTAGCTAGTGCCAAACCGATTCACAAAAATGGCTTATCGTTGCACAACATGACATTACTGGTTTACCTTCCGTCTCAGTCCTCCCTTGCCTTGTCTGACACCCGTCGGTCGGCCAGATCTCCCCGACTGTGGTCGAGGGTTTCTACACCCTTGTGGCCCCCATGCTTTCTGTAGTTTCTGCGGCATACAGTGTACAACCTGCCAGGAGCCATATCCCGTAGGACTCGTGACGTGCATGACTATCGTGGAAAAAATAGAACCGGGGGAAACTAGTCGTTGTTAGCGATCCGGACTCCGGAGACTCCAGGCCGACCGTCGCTGCCTGCATGCCTGACCGTTCCCCGAGCCGAAAACGTCTCGGCCCGGCATTTTCCACCACCGCGTGCAGCATGCCGAGTGGACACGGTATGTGAATGGTCTGTTCACAGGATAAATCGACCTGCTCGAGTGTCGAGATGGATGCATTGGGGATAAGGCATCGTCTCAAATTAGGTCATGATGTCTTATGCCCAGTCTTGTGGTTGATCCGGGTCTCGTCAGCCAAGACACCAAGACACCCAAGAATTGCCTGACCAGGGAGATATCAAGGCTTGTCGGTCGTAAGAAATCACCGCACGGACTTGGGACGCTTGGAGAAAACCGGTTCTTTCGTGGCTCGTGAGGGAGGGAATGTCAGGGAATTCGCTGCGTGGTGTGTGTCTGCCGTCTGACTAGTCCCTCCTTCCTCCAGTCGGTCGCCCATTCCTTCCTGCGCTGATGGTCCTTGCGGCTCCCCGTTTTGCATTGGTACTCACGTGATGTCTTCTCTCTGCCATCTATCGACTTTTAGTTTCTAGTCGGTGTTACAAAATCACAGCACTTCCCCCTCCCTTCATTCCATATACCAGCCAGAAAGATTGGTACAATGCAACCCTATCAAGTCTATGAAACATCGACAGTCGGTCCCACTCGCTAACGGACTGCGACGGAGTACGGCCGAAGCAAAACGAGCACGCTAAGACCCACCGGTCTGCTCGGTTTCTTTGGAGCACGTTGCAGTTGCTCGCTTGTCTTGCGCTTGGCCATTGCTCTTGTAGGTGGTCCGAGATAAGCACTATTCACCTGCTTGTGAAGCATCCTAGCGTCCATATGATTTATGACGTAGAGTTTGATACGTGCTTCAACCTCGTTTAGTTCCGTCCATGTCTGCGGCATGATCGAACATTTGACATCTATCAATTGCCACACGGCCTATCAAAGCAACGGCTGCAACAAGGAACCGGACCCCAATTGTTGCCTGATCGACTCATCTAGTCGGGCCGTGGGATACCTTCGCAGGCTGACAACGCCGACTTAAAGGTTAAATTGCGCGACAACTTCGATGATGTTTCCTCGTTCTTCCATGGTACCCGCATTAGAAGACAATTGTGGGCTCTTGCATGCAACCAACAAGCGACAAGTTACTTCTCTAACATTCCTTGGTCGACCATTTCCTACCGTGTCGGTTCAACCATCCGATGGCAACATGGTTCTATCAAGGACACGGGACAGAAGTGATCGTCTCGGGTTTAACGGAGTGCTCATCACCGAGAGTAGACTTCCTTGCTGAACCCGAATGGAACGTCGCGTAGGATGTAACACCGGCTTTTTCGGGCAATGGGATATGACTCGGATAATGTTTGGTACCGGCCTTGCCCGTGTCTTCAGAAGCAAGGTGCTCTTACTAGCTGGTTATAAACTCTATCATTTTGTAAAGAGGGACATTCAGCCATCTGGCTAACAAACCAGCTCATATCCAACGGCCAAGTAATTGATCATCGAACTATGGACAAAGTTTCTATCCTATGCATACAAGCGCCTTTGATATCAACTGAGACTCAAACATGAGTGTCCACTCTTTTACCTGTGTCACAAGTTGACACACAATCCAACTGAGATATTTTGCCGTGTTTGTTAGGTCGCGGGTACATGTCTTAAACCAGCCGAAATATATAGCTATCTCACGCGGAACTCCAAAACCCAGCTACCACCATGTAGTAGATTTGATGAATCAGTCTTGATTTTGTGCATCGCTTTCAAGTCAATGAATCGCAAATCAACACCAAAGTGGATTCGATGTATCCTGTATCCCACAACACCTTTAATTCAGTATAAATTCGAACGCCCGATGACCTAACTCGCTCAATGTATCATGGCGAAACAAAAACAAAAGAAATCAAAAAGAGTGTAAAAGTAAGAAGACACATCGAAAGGTATACAACCAGCGTGAATGAAGAACGCAAACACCCTCCAACCCCATCCCCAAAACCCAGAAACACCGAAAAATGCACTCCCGCTAGCAAAATAACTGCGAGTCTGACCTATTTACCACCCTCCGGAACCCAATGATGAAAAGTGATCCGCTGCGTGCGCTCCCCTCCCTGCGCTGAACGGCCCCTCGTCGCACCAGTCCACGGTCTTCGGCGTTTATATGCCCGGTTCAGGAAACTGTCGTCGAGGTCGAGGCGGCGTTTCTCTGGTGGGATTGGGAGAGTATCTGTGGGAGCTGGGATGTCTGTTTAGCGTTAGTATTGCCTTGTGATTAGGTAGAACCATGAAAAAGAACACAGATGACCACGGAATCGACAATAGATAATGAAACGAATGAAAGGATAAAAGGGAGAAGATGCATACAATATACTACACCTGCCTGTTGCCCCTGCCCCTGCCCCTGCCCATGTGCTTGAGAAGAATCATGCGTCCCCAACCTCGACCCCGTCTCCAACCCATGCTGATAGATCTCTTCCCCACCGAGCCCATACCCGTCATGCCCTACCCGCTTTCTGACCGACGAATCTCTCGCTGCCAGTAGCCCCGGGATGACGGAATAGGGGACTCCTCTTCTCAAGGCATCTCGGAGAAGGGCATACTCCTGACGTCGTTGGTCGAGTTTTGCTTGTTCGAGAGACGTTTTGAGTTCTTCTGTTCGTGAGGGCGAAAAGTTGTTTTGGTGGTGGTGTGGAGAGGGTATGTAGGACGGCGGATGTTGACGTTGGTTGGATGAAGAATTGGTATTTGTATGCGAGAGGGAGAGCGAGGACGACGACGAGGGGGAAGGCGAAGGCGAAGAGGACTGGATCGGTAGGTGGTGGATGGGCGGCAACGTTGGATACGGGTTCATAGTGGTGATGGTGAGGGTTGACACTGAAGGGTCGGGGACCAGGTAAGGCTGAAGAAAAAAGCTTTCTTGGCTTGAACGGGTGTGGGTAGGGGATGGATATCAACATATAAGATATTATAAATCAATAAAGGAATAAATAACGCCTTGGGGGGAATGGTCCACCGGGGCTGAGAAGAAGGACAATCTATTTCCCTGCTATACTTGGGCTACGAGACACTACAATAACTAGTCGATTGCAGTGAGACCAATCTCCTCTTGCGGAAGGCCACGAGAGCAGTCGGTAGAATTGCAGCGGAAATGCAATAAGGCTGCAATATAACGACAGAGCAAGCTAATTGCGCAAAGTCCGGGCCGCTAATGGAGTCTTTCATCCACAGGCACAGGAGCATCTCGCGACGCTCGGTGAGAGCTAAGACACTGCAATTTGTCCTTCTCAAGTTGGCAACAATCTCAGACAAAAGAGCAACTCGACAACGAGAAACAAACTCCACTTCACGCCTCGTCTGCCGCGTCCGACTCAATACTGGCCCAATATGGGTTAATTGGAACCAGATCCTCCGTGCCCGGACAGAGGGGAAGCGATCAACGGGACGAGATTGGACCTTGACAGCACGGAGAGGGGCCTGGTTTCAGGCTGTTTCATCTGGGACGCAGTTGGCCGACGGACTGGGCCTCTCCACTTTTTGCTCGCAGCGGTGGATGCCGAAGAGGAAAGGTTGGTGCCAATAGTGGGCGACTAGCGACTTAGTTCGTTGGGACTATCTCCGTAGGGCGGAGGGATCCAAGACGGAGATTTGGGATCCGCCGCAGGGCTGAAGGGCTCGAGGCAGACTCGCTTGGGGTCCGTGGCAGGGGTTGGGATTGGTGCCAATATTTTCTTCCGTTGAATTCATCTACTAAGGAACTGTACAACTACATACATGAATCGTAAGAGATGCCTCCGCATCGCTCTTCCCACCCAAAAAGAAAACCCCGATGGTCGACGAGACAAGGCGAGGAATAAGAATGAAATCTTCGTCAGGAGAAAGTAAAATGAAAGACGGAATCGAAAGAGAATATAAATGAAAGTCGTTGTTGATTGTAAAGTACACGGAAACAATCCACATCCCACATGGTATCCACATATGCAAAATCCCAGAAAATGCAGTGAAAACACTAACAATGATGACTCTTGGATGAGAATCTATCGAGGCGGGTTTTGTGGTGTCATTGGTACGGGGAGTGACCCAGCATTTGACCCCTGACTATAAACTCGGTGGTGACCGTGACCGGGGTTGCCGCCATCGCCCAAGACACCAGGCCCGGGGCGCGTCTGCAAGGGATGAACGGCCCCAACCGCCGGGCCTGGTCCACCAGGAGCATAACTCATACCGCCCGAAGGATTCGGCTGCAAGATCGCCGGGGGTGTGTAGGAGCGACCCATTTGCATGGCCTGAGGGGGCGGTCCGGGTAAGCCTGCTACCCGAGGCGCTTGAGCCTGCGGAGGGGGGGTGCTATGACCATATTGTGCGCCCGCGTATCCAAGGGCAGACCGGTGAGTTTGCTGTTGATGCGCTCCGCTCACCATCGTTTGCACATGTTGCTGGTACGTTTGGTGGCTCCCCGGGTGCTGCTGACTTGGGATAGTCATCGGCACTGGCGTTGGCGGCGCAGGCGGCGCATACGACGCCGTTGCAGGCGTCTGACGAGACGTGACCCCAAGCAGATTGGCGGGCGACTGAATCGGAGTCGGGGGTCCTTGTCGCGTCCCATATGCAAGGTTGCTGTTACGCGACGTGGGCGACCCCATGGCCGACCGCATCATTGGATTCTGTGCAGCCATTTCACGAGAGCTGGCAGCAACTGCCTGCGCGTGTGAGGCCGGGGACGGCGCGTAGACCGAGGCGTGGTAAGACGACGGACGGTGCGAGGGGGCCGGCGAGGGGGTCGGAGCCGGAGATGGGGCTGTGAGGTTCGGCAGGGCATGGGCGGATACGGTCTGGTTGGAGGCATAGGGGGAGTAGGGTGCTTGAGGGGGGAGTGTTGAGGTAGGACGATTGTTGGCCTGTTGGTGAGGAGTGGGCTGCTGCTGCGACTGCTGGCCTCGTGGGTCAAACCGTGCCATCCAGTCGTTATTGGCCGGCCCGGCAGAGCTGCCCGGTGCAGGTGCATAGGCTTGATAATCAGAGTACGTACGAGCCGGCGGCAAGTACGGGCTCTGCTGTGGGTAGGCGGAAGCATTCTGCTGAGGCGTCGACATCATAGGTTCGTCCTGGCGGGGCGCGGGTGGTGGTTGAGAAAGGGACGGCTGCACACCCGTGTAGACGGGCCGTGACGGCGACGCAGCATTACTAGGGGTGCCCAACGCAGCTTGATCGCTGGCAAACCTCTTACGTGGCTGGGGTTCTTCGGATTCATCGTTGAGAATGCTCATGATGTTGGACCGTTTGGCGGGGATTTGACGAGGAGCCTCAGTAGGTTCCGATGGAGGAGGCCCAGCTCGAGGAATTTCCTTGGGGGGTGACAGAACCGGCGGTGGTTGCGTCATGCCCACCGAGTGACCGGGCAGAGTGTAGTACGACCGCTGGCTGATTGGATCGTGCCGGATGGTATGAATTTCTGGTTCTTGCCTCTGCAATGGTTGCACGGGAGAGGTAGGGGGCTTGGTAAAACTGGGCTGGCGAGAATGAGAAGGCGTGGGAACCATTGAAGGCTGCGGTTGAGGTGGCAGGTAGGCGGGTTGAGATGACGGCATAGCACCCTGGCTGGTGACAAGCGGTGATCCGTGTGCATCCATATTGGACGACCGGAACCCTTGCGCGTGTAACGACTCCATGCGTGCGATCTCTGGAGCGGACACCGGCGTTTGACGCGCTGTAGCTGGCGCCTCTTGGGGTCGAGTCGTGGTATGAGACATGACAGTGGCTGAAACTTCGCGCCTGTCGTCGGGAAAATAGCCCATACGAGGGCCGGGCATACGTGAAGGCACTCCGGCTTGGGGACGAGCCGTCCGTGTGGTGTCCTCGGCGAGAATTGGCCCGGGAGCAATGGGTGCACTGCTGGCCTGCGCAAGGGGTGGGTATCTGTTCACATTGCGCTCCTTCTCTGGTGGGGGACGGGCTTGCAAAGGCACTGGCTGTGCTGAAGTCGGCGGTGGAGCCACATGCTTGCTTTTCGGCGCCGGCCGCGTCTCATCCGTGTCAGATGCGTTATCAGTCTGCGGTGCCAGAGGCCGGGGAAGAATTATGGAAGATGGCGTGGCTTCATAACGGCGTTTAGATGCGAAGTTGGGCACAGGCAAAGGACCCGTGCGTTCACCGCGCGCCTTCTTACCCTCTGCATCTGCAACAACGTCCTCGAAGTCCTTCTGCCCAGAGTCAATCCGACGCTGGAAGTAGTTTTTCACCTGCCCAAAATGTCAGTCAACCCTGGGTTGGAATTGTAGGGGAGCAATTGGTATTCTCTCCTTGGTGGCCTTACCATTACAGTGGTTTTCGTCTTCATGAAGTTGGAAATGCCCTCAAAATCACGACCAAAGTGGGCCAGCAACAGGGGAAAGTCGCGCTGTTCCGGAACAGACCAGTAACTGGTCGGTTGCAACGAGCCGTAACCGACCTCTTGTTGTCGGGTGGCCGTCGGGGGCTCTTGTTCACCCGATTCAAAGACGTATACGCCTTCCTTCTGTCGACCTCGACCAGACTTTGCGCGCGGGGGGGCTTCTTGCGGCTCTCGCTCCGTCGGCTCCCGAGCTCGCATGATTGCTGCATCATGTGCACCATCCATGGATGATTCGGTCATCTCTGGCTTGGGAACTGGTCCAGCAGGGGGCGTGGCCGATGGCAGCGGTACGCCTACGTTGAGCAGCGGCTCGGGAGGTGTGGGCTGCGGCGTTTGCTGTGGCTGTTGTTGCTGCTGCGGCGGCTGCGGCGGCGGGGGCGGCTGCTGTTGTTGTTGCTGCTGCTGCTGCTGCTGTTGTTGTTGTTGTTGTTGCTGCTGCTGCTGCTGCTGCTGCAACTGTTGTTGAGCAGCTTTCCCTCTTCGACCTCGCGATCCGGGACCAGAACGACCGCGTCGACTGACTGTCCTCTCGCCTTGCTCTAGTTCCTTAGCTGCGTTTCCGCGTCGGCCGACGGTTGACGGATCCGTGTCGGCAGATGAGTCCCCGAAGGTGGGCGCGGCGGCACGACGAGGACGGCCGGTGTCTGTGACGGGAGCCGGGTCTTCCTCGCCTTCGTAATCCGGCTTGACGACGCCCAAGTCAGCCATGAGAGCGTTGGATTTGGGTCGAGCGGATCGTCGGGCACGGCCACGGCGGCTCCACCGCTTGTTCAGTTTCGCCTTGTACTTGATTTCCTCTTTCGTCAGGTAGTAATGAACAATGCACTGCTTGAAATCTCGGCCAGGCAAGGATTCGGCAATCTTGCCCCATTTCTTAGGATGAGCCATGAAAGCGTCGGTGAAGACCTCGTGCTCTTCCGGCGTGAAATCGTTGCGAGGAGGCAGAAAGCCAAAGACGGCTCTAGCATTGACCGGCTCGACGATATTATTTGTATCCTTGTAAATCCGTGCCTTGGCCTCGGCGGCTTCCAGCATTTCCGGAATGACAGCCTCCCGGGTGAGATCTGGCTGGGCGGTAGCTTTGTTGCCGCGGCGCCGCTCCAACTCCTCCTGTGCTGAGATCTCTGACGCCCGAAGAGCATTTTGAAAATCCAATTCACTGTTACCCTTGAATCGTCTGCCCTCTGCAGTTGTGGTAGGCGTGACCACGATGGGAGGAGCAGGAGGCGTAGCTGGTGCGGGAGATACCGAAGGCTTCTCCTTGGCTGAGTCCAGCTCGGAAATGGTTAATCGCCAGGGCTTGTAATAATGTAGATACTCTTCCCGGAGCGACGCGTTCTTAAGTGAGATCTCCTTGTTGCGTTTCATGAACTCAGAGCGGAAAACGTCTCTGAGTGAGTCGTATAAAGCATCATTCTCGTGACAGACTTCGAGATCGGACAGTGGAGTCGGTGGCCCGGAATGCAAAAATGGTAGATGCTCGACAGCCACGGGTTCGGCTGAGACCAGCGAATTCGGCGCAGCTTTGACTAATGACTCGGGTTCCTCCGCGTCTTTTTCGGGTTTGGGTTCCACGGGAGGAGCGACGGGAGGGACGACAGCTTCTTCGTCGACGATTTGAGATTTGGTTTCAGGAGCCGGAGGAGTTGGTGCCTTCTCGGGGACCACGTCATTGGCGATCTGTCCCAGCAATTGGATTCGCAGCAGCAGCGCCACAACGGTCGGGTCTTCCAGGGGAGGCGGAGGGAGATCAGCCCGGAACATGTTCATATCCTTCTCAAAAATCCGCTTTCGTTCTTCGAGATAGTCTTGTGTGAACACGACCTTGTCATCTTCTTCCTCATCGCTAGATCGCCCAAAGTCCGGAATAACGACGTCCGGCTTTTCTTCAGCCGGTTTCTCTTTCGGCGCCGGCGTCTCCGTGACGGCACGCGGGGGGCTTGTGTGACGCGGCTTCGGTTGCCTGGGAGAGTCGGGAGAAACGCGAGCCCTCACGGATGGTATATCATCCTCGGGTGCTATCTCCCCAGCTTCTAGATCCATCGCGTTGTCATCGATCGACATCCGATGCTCCCTTTTAGGTTCATGACTGACCGATGGAGTCCGCTCCTTTCCATCCACGGCCTCACGACCTTGGATCGATGTAGAAGTCGGGCCCGACGGGGGACGACTGTAACCAGGGCGGACCCATTGTTTGTTGCTTTTAGGCGGCCCCCGTGACACAGAAGGTCGTTGCTGTAGGGCTCGCGGTCCGGTGGGGATGTTTGATGAATTTTGCATACGGGGTGACGTATGAGGCTCGGGAGAAGATGCCAGACCCGCAGAAGACGGCTTCCTATTGCCATCCACGAGGCTAGTGACAGAACCGGCCTTGCTGGCGGGAGACGTCTCTCCGAGGGTCACAGAGGCGTCCTTACTGGCCATTGCCGCGGGCGCGGTGGGCGGTGACAGGTCCGGTTGCTTTGGGACATGAGGCGGGGCTGGAGGACGAGGTTTCGACGCGCGAGGTGTGGGTTCATGAGGTTTGTTCGAGGCGTCTAGGGTATCATCACGCCGAACCCGTTGCTCTAGCGGCAGTTGCGAAGAGGGCCTTGTGGCCTTTGGACCCGTGGGTGATTGGATGGGTCTTCGCGGAGGAATATCGTCGTGCTCCTTTTCTGTCTTTGGGAGGGAAGGAGGGGCTAGAGCCGGTTCAACGGACGGCTTATCCGCGGGCAAGTCAGGGATAGGCGCCGTGACCGACCCAAACGCAGGCACCTGCGGGGCTGGCGGAGGAGGAGATCGTTTGACAACCGGCGGCAAGTCTTTGGGAGGATCTAAATGGGGGGCAGGTGCGGGCGCGGACGCGGGAGCAGGGGCGGTAGGAGCAGTAGTGGGAGTAGTAGCCGCGATGGGGGCTGTTGCAGGAGCAGCAGGAGCAACAGCGGGAGGAGCGGCGGGAGGAGCAGCAGAAGGAGCGGCAGCAGGAGGAGGAGCGGAAACAGGAGCAGGAGCAGGAGCAGGAGCAGGAGCAGCAGGGGTCTCGGTCCGCTCAGGCTCTCGGCGAGGGTCTGTTGCAGACGGCTTGCGGGGCGGTTCGGGGCCTGCATGATCGGGAATCCGCTCGGACGGTGCGGGGCCGGCATGTCCTGCAGCCGGGACGGATGACAATACGGACGAAGTGCTCGGAATCCGATTTTCATTGCGATTAGGCGGCTGGTCTCGCTTCCAAGAATCCAAGGGCGGTCGGTCCCGATCGTCGCGCTCTATCCGTCGATCCAAGTCGTCGCGGCGGTCGAATCTATCCCGGCGATCCATGTCTCGCTCTCTTTCGCGGTCGCGTCGGTCAATCTCGCGATCCCGGTCGATAGCCCTCTCACGATCTCGCTCACGCTCTCTATCTCGGTCTAGCAGGCGATCCCGGTCGCGATCTCGATCTCGGTCCCGTTCACGATCTCGGTCGCGTTCGCGGTCACGGTCACGGTCACGCTCTCGCTCTCGCTCACGCTCACGCTCCCGGTCCCATCTACCATCTCTCGACCTACTGCGGCGGCGGAACGAATCACGATCATCGAGATAGGGAATACGGCCTCGGCCGCGCCCAATTTCCCAGTCACCCCGACCGCGACCTCGCATGGGACCACCGCGTGGGTGATGACCCGGGCCCGAAGACGGCACGTCGCCGGCGGCGGACGAAGCCGACAGAAGACTGTCCCTCGACCCACGTCGCATGCGGACTAGGTCAGGGTCGCGGCCCAACGGTTCTCTGATATCACGAAAATCACGGGGTGGTGGCGGAGGCGAACGGGAGCGGCCACGGCCAAAGCCGACTCGCGGTTCTCTGGGGTCGAAATCTCGGTCGCGGCGGCCCCAATCGCGGTCGATGTCGCGGCGGAAGGGGGGCGGACCATCGCGGAGATCTCTGAAGTCTCGATCTCGATCGCGATCTCTGTCTCGTATATCTCTGTCTCGATCTCGGAAGTCGCCGCGGCCCGTATAGCCTCGACCCCGACCGCCGAAGGGCGCGCCGCGAGGGTGGTCAATCAAGGCCTTGGGGCCCCGGGGGGGCTCTCTCGGCAGGTTCACATCGTCGGAGCCACGAGGACCGGCGGGAGGTCTGCGGTCGCCGAATCGGGGCGGTGAACGGTCACGGGAATTGAACCCAGACGACGGGGGATATCGTGAAGACATCACCAGACCATGCTAAAAGGCGCGGGAACGGAGAACCTGGCAGAGAGCCTGTGACGAATTAGTTCCGGAGGGAAGGAAGACCACACCCCAAAGAGCGAATGGGTGAACTAAGCCTAAAATGAGAACAAGAGTCTAATAGGAGGAACGAACGAGCCAAAAACCAAAAAAAGTCAGACGGCGGCGAGGACGACGGGCCAAAGGGAGACGGGCAGCGCAAAGACGAGGAACGGCAGGTGGGGACCACGTGACCTTGAAAGCGTGGAAAGCACGGGCCACGGGTGAGTGATGAGGTAAGCAGCTAGGCCCGATCGGGACGGGTGGCAGCGGGGAGGTGATTGGCCCAGACGGGCTTAGCGGCAGCCACTTGGCGCGGGCGTGTTTCAGATGGACTGACGGAGTCCCGTAGGGGAACAAGGGAGCAGGCACGGAGTAGGCACGGAGGAGGTAGGGGAAGGGTCGAGGACGGAGGGTGCAGGGCCAGACCCATCCGAGTCCAGGGGAGTGGTCAAGGCGACACAGAATTCAACATGACCCGATTCAGAGGGAAAATGGCAATGCAGACAACACCATAATAACAAGAAAGACAAAGAAAATAGAACACAATAAAGCCAAATCGAATAGAGCGAGAAAAGAGAAAATAGAAAATAGAAAGTAGAAAATCCCCGCACCTGTTGAGACGGCGCAACGTGTCACCGAGGTCGACAGACGGATAGCTGCAAGGAGGGACGCTGGGCAGCAAAGATTCAAGACCCGTGGACCTGCCAACTAACGCCTGCCGATATTAGGATTTAGGACGGACTCGAATGGGTTTCGACGGGGATGACTCGGAGATCAGAGCCGGGGTCAGACGCGGACCAGCCAAAAATAAGAAACAAAATTTAAGATAAATTAAAGATTGACCCAAAAAGACACAAAAATCAAGAAAACGAGGGAACGATCCAAAAGAGTTCTAGGGAAGATTCGTTCGAATAAACGAGAGCACGGTTGGACACACAGGGAGAAAGACAGAGAAGATGGGAGGAAAGAGACTGAGGGAGGGAGAGAGAGAGAGAGAGAGAGCCAAATGATGGACGGGGCCGCGCAACGAGAAGCGCTGCCGCTCGATTGGGTTTGGGGCCACCGGGTCGAGGGGAACTCAAAAATAAACCGGAGGAACCGTCTGCCTGACTGCCTGAACCCTGAGGCTACCACCAGAAAAAAGGTACTGGGGTCGAACTGCAGGGCGCCTTGCTTCTTGCGGTTAGCCTGCCATGCCTCGATCTGGCAGACTGCCAAACTGGCAGCCTGAGGAATCGAGGCCAGTCATGCCACCCCGCCGGGTCTTCCCCTCACCAGAGGAGAAAAGAAAAAAAAAAAAAAAAGACTTATCTACACGCACCGTCACACACGAGAATCTCAACGCAGCCACCGGATTCGATTTTGCATTCACTTTTCTATTTCTTTCCCTTCAATCTTGCATAGCTATCTGGGTGTTTCTTTCTTGACTGATTTATTATTCTTCCTCCCATCTTCCACCATGTCTCAATCACAACCCGTCGCTGAGGTTGCCCCTCCTTCCGCCGCCACCGATGCCGTCCTGATGGCCTCGGAACCCGTGCCTGAGGGCACTCAGCAGGTCCAGGGGGTGGATTTTGAAAAATTCCAGGGTCGTGACATAACCGTTGCAGAAATGGTCGACAACATGAAGTACATGGGGTTCCAAGGGAGTGCCGTGGCCGAAGCGACTGGCATCATCAACGATATGGTAGGCACAGGCCCCTCTTCCCCCTCCGTGGCAGCTCTGACTCACCCTTGCGAATCTGCGTTTTTCTAGCGAGCCTATCGAGATCCCGAGACAGGCGCAAAGACCACTATCTTCCTCGGATACACCTCCAATCTCATTTCTTCCGGCTTACGCGACACCATCCGCTACCTCGTCCGCCATCGCCATGTTTCCGCCATCGTCACGACCGCCGGTGGTGTCGAGGAAGACCTAATTAAGTGTCTGGCTCCGACCTACATGGGTTCATTCACGGCGCCGGGTGCTGGTCTGCGTGCCAAGGGTTTGAACCGAATCGGCAACCTGCTGGTCCCGAACAGCAACTACTGCGCCTTTGAAGACTGGCTGGTCCCCATCCTGGATAAAATGCTGGAGGAACAAGAGGCCGCCAAGAAGAAGGCGTTGGAGACGGGCGACGAGGAGGACGAGCTGCACTGGACCCCGAGTCGCGTCATCAAGCGGTTGGGGCAGGAAATCGACAACGAGGACTCCGTGCTCTACTGGGCCGCCCGCAACGACATCCCCATCTTCTGCCCGGCCCTCACCGACGGCTCGCTCGGAGACATGCTCTACTTCCACACCTTCCGTTCCTCTCCACAGCGACTGCGGATTGATATTGTGGATGACGTACGGCGCATCAACACCATGGCCGTCCGGGCCGCTCGTGCGGGGATGATCATTCTCGGGGGCGGAGTGATCAAGCACCACATTGCCAACGCGTGCCTGATGCGAAACGGTGCCGAACACGCCGTGTACGTGAACACGGCCCAAGAGTTCGACGGCAGCGATGCGGGAGCTCGACCGGACGAGGCCATTAGCTGGGGGAAAATCAAGGCGGGCGCCAAGTCGGTCAAGGTGTATGCGGAAGCCACCGTCGTCTTTCCCTTGATGGTGGCAGCTTCCTTTGCCCGCGCCGACCAGCCTGCCTCGAATGCGGACGACGCGGCTCGCAACTGAACGCAGCCCGGGCGGTTCGAACGGCAGCTCCTGACCAGAAACCCGCACTCCAGGGGACAATTGGCGGTGGATTCACCGAGCATTTTCCATGAGGCTTTCTCCCGATCGGCCCTTCTGGACAAGATAATCCTCGTTTCCACCGCCCCCACCCCACGCTTTCTGTATCGAATGATCACCTCCCGACGGTGCACAACTACCTATCAGATTCCATCGGCTGGGGATTTTCCGAGGGGAGAGAGAATTCTCGAAGGGTGGCAAATGGGACGGGAGGCATGAAAGGGGGCGGGTGGAAACGACCGGGGATGCGGGAGACCACGACACTGGACGACCAGGCGGTCCCATTGTCGATTAGTGGGATCTGATTTGAGAAAGGTGGAAAGAGTTTTTCCCGACCATCCGGGTCGACAGGAGGGAGTTGAATTTTGGGGGGAGGAGGCAAAAGTTCCTGGGGAGAAGGGAAAGAAAAAGTGGAGCGAGTCGAGACGTTCCACCGGTCGATCCCTGCGACCTTCCAGAGTACGGCCTAAGAGCTTGTCCGGGTGTCGTTCCGCGGGGGGCGAACACCGGACACAGGGAGGGTAGATACTAGGATACTAGGTAGACAGTTCCCAGAGCGAAGAACGAACAATAAAGAGATCAGAAAGAGAGCGAGAGAGGAAATATCAGAAGAAGGAAAGGATAAAAGAACAGAAGAATGAGCCCAGACCATTCACGGATCAGTCCATTGATGAACAAAAGGACCGGTGAATGGCTCCAGCAGTGGCAAAGCGATGAAGTGTTTGGGATTCGCGGCGGCCAATCACCCGGGGGAATAAGCAGCGGTGAGCGGGCCCGTGATCGCTCAGCGGTGCCTTGGGGCCTCAATTGCCGCCTCATCTTTCGTGCTTTCCTTTCTTTTTCTTCCTCTTCTCTTCCCTCCCGTCTCTCTCTCTCTGTCGTTTCTTCCCTCCTTCCGTGCTCTGGTCTTCGCGATCCTTCGTTCATCATCTTTGAACTATTTATTTCATCCGTCAATCCACTTCAATCCACAACTCTCTTTTCCAAGTCGTGTCACTTCCCAGCCGGGCTTAGTCCGTTGTTTCCCCCGTGTTTTGCTGATAAGCCCTCGTCTTATCGGGCTGTCTAGACTCTTAGCGCCCCCTCCTTCTCTCGTCGGCCTCACTCAGCCTTTCCATCTTTTGACTCATCCGACGGGGTATTTGACCCTTGGGACACGACCTGACAAGCTTTCTCTTGTTCAGTTCCTAGCATTGTGCGCTTGTGGTCGTTTCTATTGATTTGGTGTTTGCGTTCACACTCCGTTCCACTCTTTTTCAGCCTTGTAGGACTGAGTTGTCCTCGCTATCTTATCTTTTACTGGGTCTAGTCATCGGGGGATTCCCTTCTCACACCTAGCTTTGTTTTCTTTCTTTCTTTCCCGGCCATCATTGTCAATTCGACATCATGGATACGGCCCTTGAAACCTCGGTTACCGTGGAGCAGCTGCCTCCCCCGATCACCCTGAGCACCGACTCTGCCTCTCTCCAGGTCGCCGGGGAGCCGACCGTCACCATCGACGTGACCCACGGCGATATCCCAGAACCCCCCACAGATAACGGTCAACCTCACGACCGATTAGAAGTCGAGTCACATGCTCCCGCAGATGTCTCTCCGCCCGCTCGTCCCCCGCCACCAGAAGAACATGCCTACTGGGCCGAAATCGAGGAAGACACTTCGCTTCCCGATGAGGCCGAAATGAAGGAGATTGAATCCTCAGCGGATGTCAGTTCGTGTGATTGTAAGTCATATATATATCCGATGTTTGCCTTTGTCAGTCAGGTGTCCCGGGCTAACTCGGCCTGTCAGATGAGTATTGGGAGAAGAACTTCCACCCAGAGCTGGACGACCCGGAATACCACCCAGCGGAGAAGGCCCGCCTCACGTGGAAGATTAAAGGCGTTCGGGGTACGAAGGAGTCGCCGAACTATGCCAAAATCATTCGGTCTCCGCCCGCATACGTTGGTGGCTACTGGTGGACGATCAAGTTCTTCCCACGCGGCAACAACGTGAACTCGCTGAGCATTTATCTTGAATGCTCTGCCACCATGCCGGTCCCCGATAAGACTCACCCGGAGACCGAATTTGCCGTCGTCCAGGGTCCTGCCGACAGTGATCTCCAAAGCACTACCCCAGCTTTGAATGTCAAATATCCTCGATCAGAGGACTCCACGGCGTGGCTCGACCATTACAATTCACACTACCTGCCCACTGTAGAGCAGGCGGACCCTCCTACCGATACATGGCGAGTCTCCGCCCAAATCGGCGTCATACTATACAACCCGGACGAGCCTCGCACCGCATGGCAGCAGGCCTCTTGCCACCAGTTCAACCCGCATAACTTGGACTGGGGTTGGACCAACTTCCACGCCCCCTGGGACGAAATTCATCGTCGCCAGCGTGGCCAACGCCAGCCATTGCTTCGTAACGACACGCTGGCTTTCGATGCCTACATTCGTGTTATCGACGACCCAACTCGGTCCCTGTGGTGGCATTGCAGCGACTCCGAGCCTACCTGGGACAGCTTGAGTCTCACCGGGTATCGCCCCTTGGGTGACTCGGTCATCAACCACAGCGCCGAGGTCGCCGGTTTGGCCACCTGGCTGCACATCGCCCCTTTCTGCAAGATCATCCAGAACGTAAATGTGCTAGAGCACCTGACCAATTGCGACGTCAAGCCGAAGCCATTATGTGATGCGTTGCAAAAGTTCTTGTGGCACTTGCGCTCGCGCGGCAAGTCCCTACAATACGTCGACACCGACACCATCACCTCAACCCTTCGTAACCTGCACGAGTACTCGGGTGATGTTTGTGAATTTTGGGAGCGATTGCGGCGGACCCTTGAGCTGGAACTTGCAGGCACCGATGCTGTGAAAGACCTCGCTGCCATCTTCGACAGCCCAACTCCGCAGCTACCTTCCGCCCCTGCAGACGGCGAGGACGTGATCAACACCATTCCCAAGGACTTTAACTCACGCATCTGTGTGCCCGCTGATCAGGCCGGCACCATGCATGAAGCTCTCGATTGGTATTTAGGACAGAAGCCGGGTCGCTGGGCGCTGCCACCTATCCTTCACGTGGAGTTGGGGCGTCAGAAACTCGACAAGGCGGCCCGACAATGGCGCCTACTCTACAACCGAGTCGAGCTAGATGAGGAACTCGATCTCGCCCCCCGGATTGTCGATGGACAAAGTGGAAAATATGTCCTTTATGGCTACATTGTCCACCGTGGTCGACGAACCTCGGGCAAGTTTTTCAGCATCCTCCGCCCCGGAGGGCCTGGCTCCAAATGGCTGGCCTTTGACGATGGCAGCGACAACCGCGTGGAATGTTTAACGCGCAAAACAGCCTTGGGTCCTCACGTCGGTCTGGATTCATCTCAGAATGTGGACCACAAAACGGGGCATGACGTCGCAATCGCCGCTATGTACATCCGGGACGATGCCGTGCAGGAGTATCTCCCCGGACCACAAGGACCCTGGGAAGTCAACGCGGCATTGAAGGGATACTACGAGAACGGGGTGTATCCTTTGTCCCAGTCTCCAGATGAGAAGCTCGCCGATGACATCCAAGTTGAGATTTATTCGGTCCCGCAGTATGATAAGCTGGACAGTCTCTTCGATACATACGATCTGATGTCGCAGGCTAAGACGGCCAACAACGTCATGTACCTCACCGTTCCTCGCTCAACCAATCTCATTGATCTGCGAAAGAAAATTGCCCAGTGGGCTTCGGCAGGCGCCGAGAGCACCACCATCCCGGAACATGTCCGCCTGTGGCAAATTGGTCACACTCTTGATCGGTTCGGACCGACCCTTGCCTTTTCGCGGGTGTCGGACCTAAAGACAACATTGGATCTTCCCTTGAAGGTTGCTCGTTTCTGGATGCAGGTTGTCTCAGAAGGTTTGTTCTGTGTATGTTATTCGCCATGAATATCTAGCTAACCCAGCGACAGTGGATGCGAAGTACTTCGCCATGAAGGACCCTCAAGACGCAATCACAACTGAGAGCAACAAGCCCGAGGAGGCAATCCTTGAGCGGGAGGATTCGGACTCTGCGGACGACCACACGCCAGCACGCGAAGGGGATGCCGCTCAGGCCAGTTCGTCTGGCACCTCGCCCGCAGCTGATCTCGGCGACGGTCCCGGTACTGCTCCAGTGGCCACTGAAGCGTCAACATCCGAGGATCATTCCGAGGGCCGAGCCCAAACTCCCGTTCCTGCTGCACCCGAACCTGATTCCAACGGGACCGCCAATGGCGAGGCGGTCGCCGAAAATACCGACAATGATGCCGTTATTGCAGCCATCATTGCGGATGACGTTCAGCAGATGGACACGGAGGGACCCTCCAATACTGAACCCACGCCGGAACAAGCTCCTCAGCTAGCTCCCGCCGAGCCCGAACCGCCCACGGCCGATGCCACGCCTACCATCCCAACCGAGCCGGAGATTATACTCCCGGTGGATCACGTCTACTACTTCATCCAGATGTTCGACGTTGATACGCAATCTCTGCGAACGGTGGGCTCTTTCTTTTCCCAGAAAGAGGACAACATCAAGTCCGCCGTGCGAAAGCACCTCAAATGGCCCGCAAGAAAGGACTTTCTGATCTGGCAGCGTCTTGATGGGACCACGGTCACCACCATGTCTTCGGCGGAGACCTTCGAAGGCTTTGTGCCGGATGGTACTTGCTTTATCGTGGGTGACCGCCTCAACAAGGATAGGTAATTCTCCCTTCAAATCTTCTTAGTTCTCCGTGCTGCATTACAAGTTTTTGAACAATGTGCTAATTCAACAAATCCAGACGCGCTGAACTCAACGTCACTGGCCTCTTTGCCAATCCTGATCAACTCGTCCGCTACCTATGGGCTTCCGCTCGCAGCCATCCGACCAAAGCATTCACGGGAACCAAGACCATCAACGCCACGTTCACCAATGATTATTATAGCGGCGACTTCAAGAATGGCTACTTCCACGGCAAAGGTACGCATGTTACTGACTCCGCCGCCACCTACGCCGGCGACCACGTGTTCGGCAAACGCCACGGCAAAGGCTACATGGAGTACCCAACCGGTGACACCTACGATGGAGACTGGTTCGAGAACCAGTGCCACGGACAAGGCGCCTTCGTTGAGAAGAAGACCGGTAACAAGTACGTCGGCGGCTACAAGGATGGCAAACGCCACGGCAAAGGCATCAGCTACTGGGAAGTCGCCGACGAGGAGATAAATCTCTGCCAGATTTGCTACAGCGAGGAGCAGGACGCCTTGTTCTACGATTGCGGGCATGTCTGCGCCTGCGTGACCTGCGCTCGACAAGTCGATATCTGTCCGATCTGCCGCAAGAACATCATCAGCGTGGTAAAAATCTACAGAACTTAACACGCCATGAGACGTATGCGTCTCGATTTAACAAATTATCAGATTGTTTGAAACAACGGTGGGATAAAAAGGGAAAGGAGTACAAATTTGACATTTGTCAGCCAGCTTAAGTTTTGGGTTTTTTTGGGGATTTTTGTTGGTTCATCATTTTTCATTCTATTCGATTTCATATTTACTGGAGAAATACGGCATGGCAACACGGCATACCCTGGAAATTTTCACGGAAGAGACACGAACCCATCTTCCACCTCTGCACTCAGATTTGATTGATTCCAAGAACAACTCACCATACATACACCTCATACAGTATTCTAGATCAGAGCATACCCTCACTCATTTTGGAATTTGACTTTCAATTAATTTACTTTGGATTCAGTACTGTACACTACGTTTACTTCAACGTATATTGGATTGTGTTCATGGGTTCGGTAGATTCAACCATTTATCTGCCGTTTCACGAGCTACTCGTAAATTGAAGCAACTAAAATCCCTATCCTGGAAAGAGAGATATGAGATCAAACTCGGAATTGGTATCTATTGAATTGGATTGATTTCGACAGCTACCTACAGTTCGGTCTGTCAAACTAGATCGATGAAAATGATGCGCATGCGCCGCCCATACCAGAAAACATTCGTTGAAAGTAAGTCACACGGAAACAGAAGGACATAGTGCTTTTTATCTCAGAAAAAGAACAACTCATGACAAGAAGAAAAGAAGAAATCAATGATATAAAGAGATTATACAGGAGGGATAAGAAGAAAAAGAAACGACAGACGATGTGAAATCATCTATTTAGACGACTTCTTCTTGGTCTTTTTCTTCTCGCTTGACTCCTGCGATTTCTTCTCAGTGGGCTTCTTGGAGGGCTTTTCGGCGGCCTTGGGCTTCGACTCGGGCTTCGAGGACTTCGACTCGGGCTCAGGCGCGGCGGCGGGCTTCTTGGTCTTCTTTTCGGGAGTAGGTTCTTCGGTCTTCTTGCTCTTCTTCTTTTCGGCTTGCTTGGGGGATGGGGCGGCGGCGGCGGCGGCGGTAGGTTTAGGTGCTTCCTCGGGTGTCGAGGCTTCGGGCTTAGACTCGGACTTAGGCTTCTTGGGCTTGTTCAGGACACCCTTGGGGTTGAGACCCTTGCGACGGAGACGGTTACGTTCCGCGCGCAGGATGCGCTCCTGATCGGCCTCTTCGTCTTCGAAGGAAGCGAAGGCACCGCCCTCGGTGTCCACAACCATGCCATCCTCATCAGCAATCGGGGTCTTGTCGACGGTCTCGTCGTCCGAGGTGGCGGAGCGAGCGTCGGAGGGCTTGGAGTCGGCACCGGCGGCGGCGCCATCACCAGAAGCAGCCGTCTCGGCGGGGCTAGGGCCGGTCTTCTTGAGCTTGCAGACGAAGAAACCATCGACGTTCTCACGGTGGGGGAAATAACGGCGGGTCATCGGCATCTTAGCATCGAAGTGCTTGCCCATGTAGTTGGAGAAACCGGGGCTACCGAACGAGCCGAGGCCGGTGTCGACGATCTTGACGTTGGGGCGCTTGCGCAGGACGTACTGCACGACGGCTTCGTTCTCCTCGACGGTGACGGAACAGGTGGAGTAGACGAGGTAGCCGCCGGTCTTGGAGGAGTGGTCGACGGAGTCGATGGCGGCGAGGAGAAGCTGGCGCTGCATATGGGGGATGGCGAGGAAGTCACGCTCATTCTTGGAGGTCTTCACGCTGGGATCCTTCGAGATAACGCCGGTACCGGTACAGGGGGCATCGAGGAGCACGCGATCGAAACCGCCGAGCGCCTTGGGGAACGCAGTACGTGCATCCAGGTTGGTAACAACGGTGTTCTTGCATCCGAGACGGTGAATGTTACCGATCAGACCCTTGGCACGGGGCTTGCTGGCATCGTTGGCGATCACGCAACCAGTGTTGCGCATCAGGGCGGAGATGTATGTAGTTTTACCACCGGGGGCAGAGGCCATATCCAGAACGCGCTCGTTGGGTTGCGGGGCCAGAGCCATGACGGGGAGGAAGGAAGACGCGGCCTGCAGGATGTAGTGGCCAGCCAGGTATTCGGGCGTAGCACCAAGGGGGACGGCAGACTCGAAGACCTGGAGACCGACCTTAGACCACTTGCCGACGGGCTCGAGAACAACACCACGGTTGATCAGGGCCTGGGCCAGGGACCGACGGTTTGTGCGCAAAGTGTTCGTTCGGATAACAACGGGACGAGGGGTTTCGTTGGCTTCGAAGAAGGCGAACGCCTCCATGGGGGTGAAGAGGTTGAAAAGCTTTTCCGCGAGGAACGGGGTGTATCCGTAGTAGGTCGAGATGTCGGACAGAAGCAACTGGAGGTAGTCGGCACGCGACTTGCCGGGCTGGCCCAGGGTCTTCAGGTCACCCAGGATTCGGATGGTGTCTGTGATTCTCGTGCGGAGCAGCTGGAGATCGGGGGCCAACCCGTGGCCAGCACCACCGTCCTCGAAAACATCCGGTCGGTCACCGGCGATGTTGGTCTGCAAGGCGGCTTCTTGCAATTCTTGCTCGGCCTCCTCCGCTTCAGCTTGCTTCTCTAGGTCAAGTTTCCGAGACAGTCCCTCGATGTTAGCCGCCGTCAGCTGCTCCTCGGCGTCGGATTCGTCGTCAGAGAACATGGTCTCCCGGGGGTGATCTTCGTCGTCGTCCGAGTTCATGACCGAGTCGTCGTCATCCGAGCCAATCTCCTCCTGGCTATCGATCGAGCCTTCGCTGATACCGTCCAAATCACCGAATTCGTCATCACCTCCCTCGATGCTTTCCATGTCGTCGGCCGAAGCCTCTTCGTCGTCCGAGTCCATGAAATCCATCTTCTTCGCAGCGGTCTTCTTCGTCGGCTCGGGGGTCTTAGCGGGCTTGCCATTAGCAGCGCCATTGGCCTTCTTCTGCACATTTTTCTTCTTCACCGGCGCCTCCTCTTCGACATCGTCTCTTCTCCGCTTCTGGCCCGGCTTCGACTGAGCCTCGGCGGCCTTGCGGTTCTTGAGCATCGAGATTTTAGACTCATCCAGCGGAGCCGGAGGGCCTTGCTTCTTCATGCGACGACCTTTACCCATTGCGACAGATGGTTGGAAGTGTGGTGGAAATCGAGTGTTTTTCCGTTGACTGCGGAAAGATCTCAACTTTTTTTTTTCTCTCGTCTTTTTTTTTTCTTCATCCGCTGCGGGCGGTCAGTGCTGGCAGAAGAAGATGCTTCAAAGGCGGTGAACCACCCAGAGCCTGAGGTGTCAATTAGCTCGTGCGGCCTCAGGCCAACCCCGATTGGGTAATGCAGATTGTCAGCTTGCGCTCCCCGCGGTGTCTCAGCAACTTCTCCCCTCCTCCAACCGCTCAACCGTTCATCGTCTCACCGCACGTCTACTGCAGACACACACATACACACCATGTCTGAACTCACCTTCATCAAATCCTTCCTCTCCTCGCTGGACTCCCGTCCGATCAAACTCCCCGCCGACTATGTCTTCGACCCCGAGCGAGTCGGACTCAAGGTCCCTGTACGTGAACCCCCACGGGACACCTAGTATCCAAGTGATCTATCTCTAACCAAATTACTCAAAAATTCAGTACCTCCTTCCCCGCCTCTCAGCCCCTCGTCCGGAAATGCCCAAGAAAGTGAAATCCACCGCGGCTCCGGGCTCTTCGAAATCGATAAGCGTACACCTCAAATCCGCCCGAAACCCGGCGCTCGAATTTACGATCTCGAACACCCCGATCTCCGCGACTTCCGTATCGGACCTGAAAGACGCTGTGCGCGAGCGGGTCGTCGACACCCAGAACGAGAAAGTCGGGCTCGACAAGATCAAGATCCTATACAAGCGCAAACCGGTATCGGGCAAGACGATTGCGGAGCTGCTCGAAGATGAGCCGGAGTTGCTGGCGGGTGGCAAGACGGTCGAGTTCGGGGTGATGATCATGGGAGGTGCGAAGGCTGTTGAGGAGGCCGGGAATAATAATGCGACTTCGTCTTCGTCTCCGAAGCCGGCGATTGGGCCCAGCGGAAAGACTTTGGTGGAGACGGATGCGTTCTGGAGTGATTTGGAAGGGTACCTGGAGCAGAGGTTGAAGGATGTCGATGAGGCGCAGAAGTTGACGACGTTGTTCAAGGGGGCTTGGACGGCGAGTCGATCGTAAAAGGGTTCTTGGTTGAGGTTGTGGTAATCGACTGAATGCGTGATACCTTTTGTGTCGCTATGGCAAAATATCGAATGGCTCCTGTGTAAAGAGTAAAGAGGGCTGTCGAGTCTAGCCTAGGTCTACGACAATTAAAATATTGTGGATGTGTGCATGCCTGTGAAGATTGCTCTGGACTGGTGGGCCATCTATTGACATGACCCAAGTTACTCTATTTTCTACCCGATTTAGATTTGCGAGTAATATCGAGAAAGGAAAAGCTCGAATGGAAATTTCGACGTGGCATTGTTGTACAACGTTGGGTTAGTGGCTTGTGCCATCAGCCTAAACAGAGGGAGCAATAAAACCAAGACGGGCTAACAAAACGAAGTCAAAATGGGTCGGGATATGCAAGTAGAGCGGATGTCAAGAATCGCAGAAATGAACAGCAGGCGTACTCATAATATTTGGTTGTTTCACGCGAAACTTTGCAAGGTGGGTAACGAGCATGAAGGCGAGGTAGCGTTAATATAAAAAGGAATAAAAGAGAAAAGAAAATAGTCTGTCATCACGCGAAGAAGGTAAGGGTGATTATGAATCACATAGAAACGCAAAGAATAGGAGAAAGAAGAAAAATAAAGAAACTATAACCACACGAGTAGAAAGGAACATATGCCAGGACCGTTTGCAAATGCTCAAGAATTGGCCAAGCGCTCATCCATGTCATGCGTCCAAAGAAATTTATAAGACAAAAAATCATACATCACCAGTAAAGGCTCTCATCTCATTGTCTCGAGAAGACCTTGACTGCTCCATCACCACCACCACTAACGACCCAGCGGCCATCACGGCTCCAGACGGCGGAACACACCCCTTCTCCACGCATCACCCGATGGCTAGTGATTTCTTGGGTGCAATTCCGTTTCTCGAGGTTCCAAAATCGCAAGCTAGCATCGTGGCCAGCGGACACCAATTCACGTCCATCTGGCGACAGCGAGAGTGAAGCAATCGCCGATGGATGAGCCAACATCGTGTACGTACATTGTCCTGGGAAAGGCAAAGATGTCAGTCAATTTAGTCACTAAACGGGGCAGGAGAGTACATACCACTGTTGGCGTCAAAGAAGCGAATATACTTGTCTTCGTAGCCACTAATGACCACTCCTTCCACGCCACTCGAACCCGTGGCGCCATGGACGACCTCTTCTTCGACCATTGCTCGGTTCGGATCCAGGCCAGCAGACCCGTCAAACCCGACAGTGGATGCCACGACGGCGTTGACACCGGTGGAGGGTGTTCCGTCGTACGTCTCCAGGCTGGCCATTCCAACAATTTCCTCGCCGGTTCGTGTATCATAGACAAGGATTGAAGCGTCGGAGAATGAAACAACAAAGTTCACGCCGGCGAGAGACAAGGGACTGATGCAGGTCGGGGATGGGGAGTCCTGTCGGGCGATTTTGTGGACAAGGCTGTAGTGGAATGGCGTAGCCGTTGCCATACTGGGTTGTGGCGACTGGGGAAAGTTGGATCCGGATGAGATAGAATTGGCCCGGCGACTGCCTCCAGCTCTTCGAGAGCCAGCCTGCGGTGACGACATTTGTGGAGGGGCACTGACAGCCCAGATCAGAATGTGTCCATCTGCTCCGCCTGATGCCAACAGGATTCGGTCGGTGCCTCCATAATTACTGCATGAATCTCCAAATACAGACCCGGTCGTTCCTGGAAGGACGCACAGGCCCCACACGGCATCGGTATGGCCATCCAGAGTGGCTTTGGGGTCAACTCGGCCTCGCTCCCAAACACGCACGCTCGCATCTTGCCCACCAGAAAACACCCAACCATCACCCAGAGCGCGACCACCGTTGGAAATGTTTTGCGACGGAGAGCAAGCGGCCAGTGCGGTCACGGCGCCAACGTGTCCTCGGTGGGTGAAATAACTGGTAATGTCCAGGTCATTGCTTGAGCCAGGTCCAAGGCTGCCATACGAGGCCGGGATGATCCATCTCTTGATCGTCCCATCGTCGCTACACGTGCAAATTTCGGGTTCAGAAGGGCTGCCGCCGCCTGTGAATATCACGGAGCGGACGACATCGAGATGTCCGCGCAGAGCGAACCGAACCTTGAAGGAGGAATCTTGTTTGGCGCCCACATTCGAGCTCAGCTCGATGGCCCCGTCGCTCTTGCGCCTAGCGCCGGAACTCTTTCGCCGATGTGACATTGATCCGGGCCTCGAGGGGGACTTCGGTCGGACAAAGTTCGCATTGGGGAAAACGTCGACATCGGGGCGATGAGGCGGCATCGGTTCCGTGGGCGGTTCCTGGTCCGACGGCTCATCAAAGTTCCAGCCGTCCGGGTCTTCAACGCTGTCCTCAATCTGCTGCGGTTTTGTCTCTTCTTTCACCGACACCTGGGGACCATAGTTATCATACCCCCCGGCCGTGCGTTCATCAATCATTGTAGAGTCATGGGCCTGCCTCCGGTTGTCAATCGCAGTCACCGGTGTCTGTTGTGGCTCTAAGGGCCTTCGCTCCAGTGCCTCCCTTGCAGGGCCCGGCAGGCCGAATTGGTTTGTTGGTCGCGGGAGTCCCGTGTTTTCGGGGTAATGGGTCACGATCGGCTGGTGGTTCTGGAGGGAGACCTCGCGTGCCATCATATGGTTGGCCTGCTGTTGTTGTTGTTGTTGTTGTTGTTGTTGTTGTTGTTGTTGTTGGTGTTGGTGGTGCTGCTTCTGCCTTTGCTGCTGAAGATATGCTTCTTCCAGACTATGCTGCGACAGCTGCTGATTACCATACATGGGATTGGCGAGGTCCGGATCACTGAGGTCTGGGGGCGGGTGGGAGGTAGGTATGACATGATATGTGATTTCTTGTGAGCATTTCGTCAAGTACAGGCGCGACTTGTCTCGCTCGTTCTCTTGCTGCAACTCGTGTTGGTGTTCGGAGTTAGGATCGGAATCGCCGAGACCTATGTGCGACTTGGGGCGTTGAGCTAGTGAAAAAAACGAATCGGTCAGTATCCCATGGTTTGGGCTAGCAGTAAATAACCACGCTTACATTTGAGAGCGCTCAGACTTTCCCGAGCGATTTCCTTGGGGTCCCTGGTATCATCGATCTTCTCGTTGTTGCTGAGCTTTTTGACCTTCTCACGCTCCTTTTTCAGCGCAGCCTCCAGTAGCCTGACGTGCTTGCCTAGCGACTCATGTAAACGCTTGCTCGTCCGGGCATCGCCTTCCAGTCTTCCAATGCGGGATTTCATCTCCGCGCGCTCGATCTCCCACGCATTGCGGTCTCGTTCATGGCGGTGCCATTCGGTCTGCAGAAAGCGCATCACACCTGAAAACGGAAAAACGACGTTAGTCTCGTATGTATGGGTTACTGGCCCAAGGCCATTGCGGAGAAGCGCACCTTGCAACGTATACTCCGTCCCCTGAGGTTGTCCGTTTGACGACCCATCACCCCCGGGTCCAAGATACCCTCCACCCCCCATTATTGAAGGAGACTGCCAAGCCATATGATTTTAGCGAGCGAAATGATCCCAACGGCGAAATCCGAGAACACAGGAGCTCTCGGGCTCAGCGTGGTGGGGGAGTGCGTGGACAGGGTGGGAGGACTCGTGTCCGCAACGGTGAAGTCTGTTGATGTAAGCCAACAATCGGCACACACGGGCGACAACGGCAGGAAACACGGTTCCTGGCCGTGTCAGCACCGGTTTTAGGAGGAACAGGGAGGTAAATGGAGACGAAAACTCGGTCGGAGCAATGGAAAAGGAGACGAACGGGGGGGATGTTTTGCGGCCAAGGGAAATCGGGCTGAAGACTGGTGCGCGTTTCTCCTCGCTGAAGGTCGGGGAAAGCCACCGCTGCGGGTTGCGCTTTCGTTGGCTCCCCTAAACGCCCACGCGGCCTTAACCGCCGTTAGCGCTGGGAGAGTATCTGCCTGAGGCAAGCAAGTCAAATTACACGGAGTCAGTGCCTCGGTGCCTTGCGTCTTGCGTGTAGCAGACTTCTCATCGCCATTATAACCATTATTTCAATCCTTCCGCAGGCCAGGCCTGGGTTCCGATGCTGCCTCAGGTTGCAGAGCCACTAAAGGCACAGGCCACCAATCACCGCCAGGAACTGACGTGTAAAGACTCCAGGGACTGCCTTAGGTACAGACTAGCCGGAGGAAAACGTGTGGTTATTTTTATTTAATTACTTTCCCAGGGCCTTTGTGATCAGTAGAGTATCTTAATCTGCGCTCTCCGGTCGGGCTGCATGGGACTGCGTCAGGCGGGGATTCATGGGCTGATCAGTATACAACTCTTACCCTCCGAGCGCGACAAACGTCCTGGACTAATTCACCGTCAAAAGAATTTCTTGCAGTCAATTTTCGCTTCGCTGTTTACTTCCGGAATCATGGAAGTTGATGTGTGTTGGGATGTTTTGCTACCACTTCCCGCTTGGGATGGATGCCTGATGGCCTGAGGTGGCAATCTGCCAAGCATTTCACCTTTGGCTCATGCAGACCTCTTGTCTTCAACCAAGTTGATCATCTCAATTTATTGGGATCTTATTGTGATCATCTTGATGGTATCTGCATTTAATCCCCACGTAACCCTTCTTGATGACGTATGGGTATCTCTATTTCACCTGACAATACCAAAAACAGAGTCTCATTACAAGAATTCATCAAAATATATACCTCTGCCCTACCCTAGATCACTAGTCAACAACAAAAGCACCAGGTGGCTACTGCAGTGATCAAACAGATCCCATAATAAATGGAATGGGTTTCTTGACCAAAATTATGAAGTGGATTTATTGCCCATATGAGAAAAAGAGGTTCTCCTTTGTGTTGTCTATAAAAAAGGCGATGGCTTGGCAATTACACCTCAGGCATCTGCATCCACACCTACAGAATATACCGCACGGACGGACCCATTCATGATTTCCATGCATGCCCGACAATGGGACTCAGTGTACCCCATTTGTCTCAGTATGCTTGATATGGGGCTGCTCTGGAGCATTATCTAGCGTCCCATACAAGGATCGAATGATCTCCTTCTGTTCTTTATAGTGCAGGATCGCCGATTGGCTTTCAGTGGCTGGCTTATCCAACGCCGCAAATGCCTGCCGGAAGTCATCCTTGATATCTTCAATATGCTCGATACCAACGGAGAGACGAATGTGATCTTCGGTTACTCCGGCAGCAAATCTTTCCGCATCGGTAAGCTGCTGGTGCGTGGTGGTCCACGGATGGACGACGAGGGTCTTGGAATCTCCCAGACTAGACACCGTCAGCACAGAACGATCATAGACGTCCAGGAGGAAGAAACACGAACTTGGTGGTGTTGATGACCATTTCAAGATTATCACAGAGCCGGAATCCCGCCTGCTTGCCACCTTTTATACCGAAGCTGAACACAGCCCCGTACCCGCGCTGCAAGTACCGATTCGCATTGCGGTGGCACGGATGATCTTCCTGGCCTAGATGACGCACCCATGAGACCTGCGGTTGCTCAGCGAGCCACTGGGAAAGAGCCTCCGTGTTTGAGGCGTGCCGATCGCATCGCACAGCCAGCGACTCTAGCCCGATCAGCAACTGTTGAGCAGCCTGCGGGCTGAGCGTGCCACCAAGGTCTCGCAGGACCTCGAACTGGCATCGTATGGCGAATGCGCGTCGACCGAACTGCTTCCACAGGCTGACTTCGCCGCTTCCTTCCGAGGAGCCATCTGCGTGGAACTGAGGATATTTGTCTCGATGCTGGCCCCAATCGAAGTTACCGGCATCGACAATAACGCCGCCGAGGGTGGTTCCGTGACCGCCGATCCATTTTGTGGCCGAGTGAAGCACGATATCCACGCCATGATCGATTGGGCGGCAGAAATATCCAGCACATCCGAAAGTGTTGTCGCACTTTAGATAGATTCAACATTAGAACATGCTTGAGAGTCAACCAGGAGATCAGACGAGACTCATACAATCAGCACAATTCCATTACTATGTGCGATCTCTGCCAGGGCCTCAAAGTCCGGCACCTCATACTTCGGGTTACTGATACTCTCGACAAAAAGGAACTTCGTTCGGCTATCGATCTGAGCGCGGAATTCTTCCGGATCGTTGGACGACACGAAGCGGCATTCGATTCCGAGCTGGGGTGCTAGGACCTTGAACTGGTGGAATGTACCACCATGGACTGTTGAAGAAGCAACAATGTTATCGCCGACGCCGGCAAGAGCCATAAGTGTCATCGAGACAGCCGCTGTACCGGAGGCCGTGGCGCATGCTGCTACGCCTCCTTCTAAGGCAGCCATGCGGTTCTGGAAGACGCTGACTGTGGGCTGTTCGGATGTTAGGTGATTTTGGGTGTTTAGCTGGTGAGGGACAGATGAGCTCACATTTGTGATACGGCTGTAGATGTTTCCAAACTCGCTGAGTTCAAGTAATCGAACGCCATGCTCCGAGTTGTTGAAAGCAAAAGCCTGTGGGATCCTATCAGTCTTCGCACGCCAAGTTGATGGACGTTCTACTAACCGCCGAAGTGTAGATGGGGGTGGCACAGCTGTTTAGGGAATCTGGGAAGCGCCTGGAGATATATCTATTAGCTTCTTTGAATGATGGATAGTGTACGCAATCATGAATTACCTACCCAGCATGAAGCTGTAACGTCTCAAAGCGTTGAGCGCCGGGCTGGATAGGATGCTCTAACATGGTGAAAGAGTTTTTTTCCCTGAAATTCGAGCGTAATTTTCAGAGCGTAATGATTTTTTTTTATTCATAAAATCTGTGAAATCAGAATCGTGCCTCTTTTTCTGTCTTTAAAAGTTCGCATAGTGAATATAAGTATGGCCATCCCGTAAGAGATGCTCTATCTTCAATACGTATGGCAAATATTGAATGACTGTGCAGGTACATGATATTTTGTTTTGTTACTCATTTATAGACTGGCATGAGGATTCAAAAGGCGAATAAAGCAAAAAGCCAAAGGACCCGAATGACGGGATTCTGGAGCCAAATCACTGACACTGCAGCTGCACCGTAATCCCGAACTCCGAAACGTCGCCCATTTTCCTTGGAAGGAACGCCGAACGCCGTATACTAAGAAGGGTACTCCGAGATGACGCATCATTTCTGCTATCTGTCTTTCTTTTGGATCCTGCAATCTCTATTCATTGAGAATTCACCCTCAATCCCAAGAAGATACCACGGCTGTAAACCACCATGTCACCGGTCGCCGTCATCTCCAGCACGGTGGGCTGGATCTACGTGCTTCTCTGGTCCATTTCCTTCTACCCGCAAGTCCTCACCAACCTGAATCGTAAATCGAGCTCCGGCCTATCCATAGACTTCACGCTACTCAATGCTCTGGGTCTGACAGCCTACACCGTATTCAATGCCGTGCTCCTATATTCGCCCGTTGTTCGCGCCCAATATGCCAGTCGGTTACCGGGAAGCCCGACGCCCCCGGTGCAATTCAATGATCTAGTCTACGCGGCGCATGGGGCAGGAATCTGCCTGATCATGTTTAGCCAGACGCAATGGCCGCAAATGTGGGGGTTTCGTGGATCAAAGGCGGCTCTTAGCATGGGTGCGATAGGGGTGTTCTGGGCCTGCATTGGTGTCATCTTTGCTGGTGTTGGTAGCGTTCTGGTTGGGGTTTTCGAACGGTGGGAGTGGCTTGATGTGGTCAGTATAAACCCTTTAACCATGCCCTTCTAAGAGTGCATTGACATACTGACATCCTCCGAAGGTGTACACGATAGGAAATATAAAGCTCTTCCTCACGGTCGGGAAATACGCACCCCAAGTGGTCCACAATTACCGTCGCCAGTCAACTGAGGGATTCAGCATCTATGCCATTCTTTTCGATTTCACGGGCGGCTTGCTCTCAGTGCTACAATTGCTCTTGGATATTAGTGAGCAAGGGAGCTGGTCTCAGATGAGCACAGGAAATGGTGCGAAGTTCGCACTGGGAAATGTTTCAATGGTGTTTGATATCACGTTCATGGTGCAGCATTATATCCTGTATCGGCATCGGAGTAAGGGCAAGGCAAGGCGGGATGAAAGAGTTCCGTCAGAGGAGGATCCATTGCTGGAAAATCAGGAGACATGATCTATTCTGTCTATAGAGTTTGATGCAATTACAATGTACATGAAAAATAGAGCAACAATATATCTACCTTTCATGATCGAAGACTTCACTTCCAGTGCCGATATGCGAATCGAAAAGCACAAGCAGTCAAGAACATCATGCCTGCCACGACACTCCACAAAACCACCAACAATGGATCCTTAGCAAGGGGCGAGAAGGCCATGCCAAGGGCATAACCCAGGCCTGAAGTTCCGATATAGCACGCCTGAAGGACAGACTTCATGCTTTTCGGCGCATGACTGTACGTATATTCCGATCCCGTGGGCCAGCAAAACACCTCAGCCAGAGCGATGATCACAAACGTGGGCAGCTGAATCAGTACATGAATTCTGTTCGGGGTCCGTCCGTCCGACGCCGCGCATTCAAGTGGGTGATTGTAACAGGGGCCGGCACCGTAGATGAGGGACTGGACGATAGCCGAGTAGGCCATGGCGATGGACATGATGAAGAAGCCCAGTGTGATGCGGTTGATGGGGCTGAAGCGGATCTTGCGCCGATTGAGGAACGGGTATAACCCTTTCTGGATAACGAGGCCGAAGAAAACGTATGCGAGGGGGTTGGACGACTTTATCAGATCATTGGGAATACCGTGGGTTTCCATTTGACCTGCTTGTGAGATGGCGACTTGGGCGCCCTCGCCCATGCAGAGCCAAAATATAGGCCATCCAATACTGAAGCCCACCAGTCAGTGGCAAATAACCTCGCAGATGTTGAAAAGCACCTACCAGATTTTAAACGCGGAGAGTCCGTCACGCAGTTCTGCGATGAACTCCTTCTCCCAAGGGACAATCCTTCCATGTTTCTTTTCCTGATTTTCGGGCAAAGAAGCGTCGAGGTCAAAACCGTCTCGTGCTCCGTACCATAGGCAGCGAAAAGCCTTGGGCAGAATAGATCCCTGCGCCGGTGGGTGTACTGGTCTGCGTTAATCGGTGTGGCCTGGAATTAGATTCAAATGAAAAAGCTTCGCTTACCGAATATCCGTCCTGCAACCTGCACCAGTATGACACATAGAACGACTGAACATAAGTCAAGCAGATAAGCCGACCAGAAGCCGATGTATTTCTCCATCATGGTCGTAGCAATACTGCCTAGGGACCCGGCATTGACCATCCTAAGAAAATGAGTGCATGTTTACGACAAGGAACCTTAAGATCTCATACCAGTAATAGAGGTTATAGATGTACTGGATAGTCAACTCGCGATCAACAACCACGCGCTTGCCGTTCTTCGTTGTTTTAATTCGCAATTCATGCTCGGTGTATTGATCCGCTGTGCATCATTAGAGTATGATCGAGGGATCGAAGAAGAACACTTACCGATAAAAGGCTGCAGGGAGGCCTGTACTCCTCCAAGGCCAATCGCGATCAAGATTGCCCCGGGAATGAATCCAGCTACCGCTATGCCGTCGCGCATCATCCACGGAAATGAAGTCGCCAATAACACTGCGGAGCCAAGCATGTATATTCTGCAGTTGCATGAGCGAGCCTGAAAAATAAATTGGGAGCCGGGAGAGCGCACACTGTGAATATTTGCAAAGACCGATATCGCCCTAGCCATCCATCTACTAAAATCGAGCATGGCAAGGGTAGGATGTTGACGAGTACGGTAAATGCGAGATTGACTGTGGTAGCTTGCGATTTTCCGAGACCAAGCGCTCCAGGAATGAGATCCGAGGGTTCATTTTGGAGATAATTCTCTAAGAAGCGAGCTGGGTCAGCTTTTGCTTCATTTCCTTGAGTTTGCCAGGAACATACGAAAAACGCTTTGGGTTCCGTAGTATGCGAACCGCTCGGCCATTCCAATGAACGCTGCCACCCATACTCGGAGAGGAAGCGAGTCCGCCACATGTTCTAATTCTCGAATTTCGTCTTCTGTCGCAAGTTCCCCGTCTGGCATGGGGTTCGAGCTCAAAGGAACCGATTGCGATTCGGCTTTCGCGGCGTCGAGCTCGTGCATGGTGTCGCGATATGCGTAGGATGCTGGGTAGATGGGTCACAACAAGAGGACAAACGAGAAACAAAGATAATTTAAGAGCTAAATTGAGTTCCAATTTTTCACTTCTTATCATGCGGCGAATTTGAGCCCAATAATAATTGGGCAAGTGGTTCGGAGTTGGAACGGAGTTCGGTGCTCAAGGCTAACGTCGGATGGTTCTAGATCGTGATGGATGACATAGTCTGGGCCACGAGTGACAGACCAAGGAAAAGGGATATATAGAAGTCTCCTCGTTATCCACCCTTGAAGTGCAAAGCAGCTTGGCACCATGGCAGGCTCCTGCATTCTTATCGACCCAGTGTCAACCAGTGAGTTCCAACCACGGGTGCTACCTGACCGCATTGCTGACATGCTTACCCCAGATCGATTCTATTTGGATTGGCAAATTCTTGATGTTCTGCCCGTCGTCGAAGGAGCGAGGTTTAAATTAGTCCATGTTGTTCTGAAAGCCACTCAGGATGAAATACCGGAACAGATTCGACAGCCGCTTAAGCAGAGCTCAGACCTATTGGCCGTAGATCTGAGCTCCGGAAATTCTGCTGAGGTGGAATCGACAGATAATGAGTCGCTGTTTATCTGGCTGCATCAGTTGCTTAGCACCAGGAAGACAACTGAGAGTCGGACCTCCGTGATTCTGGTGGTTCCTCAGCAAGAAGGGTATATCATCCGCAGTGACTTCGTGGAGGAGCGTCTCCGAGGATCCAAAGGCGTGCATCAAGCTATCGGATTTGTCCAGCCTGGGCAACTAGTACGGCCGCCGACCTTAAATGAGAATTCAGCGACACATCAAATCACAAATTATTTATCCTCAGTCGTGGGCGGCATCGTCCTGGAAGATGAAAGCAAATTCCCCGCCAACAAGCAAACGCAACACGAACTGCACGAGAGACTGGCATTTCCATGGCTCTCCACAACTCCGATCCCTCGTCGACGAATTGCACTGGTCGGAGAAGTGCGCCCCTATCATCTCTGCGCGAGGCTTTTTCACGCTGCGCGCACTCTTGGAATTGATCTGGTTGTCGTGGATTCCGCTGGTCACTGGTTACAAGACGGGAATTCTACCCATTCAAACCTCCGAGAGGCATTCATAGAAGTGGATATGGAAGTAACCCCAGATCTACCGAAACGCATAGCCGAGGCAATCCGCAACTATCCTCGCCCCATAGATGGCGTCACGACCGTCACAGAATTTCTCCTAATCCCAGTAGCTCGGGCTGCGGAGATACTAGGTCTCCCTACGTCGCCATCGACGGCTTTTGCTAAGTCGGTGGATAAATATGAGACTCGTCGAACACAGGGATCGGATGCTTGTCTTCTTCTCTCAGGCCCAGAGGAGCTTAACAGGTTCCTAGCTAACGGCGGAGAAGGATTTCCACCAGCACCTTGGATCGTAAAGCCTTGCAACGGATGGCATAGCTTGAACGTTATGAAGGCCACAACCACGGAGTCACTGAAAGCGGCAGTTGAAGTTGTCTCGAGACACACAGCTTACTCACGAAGTGGTGCTTCCGATGAATCCAAGTGGCAATCCAACGTCCTCGTTGAGGAGTACTGCGATGGGCCCGAAGTCGACGCGAACTTCGTGCTTTGGCGCAGCGAGATCTTATTCTTCGAAGTTGTGGACAATTTCCCTTGCACAGCCGATAGCGGTACCGGAGACGTTAACGCGGATTTCAAAGAAACACAATTGGTGTTTCCCACTGCGTTACCCGACGCCGAAAAGCTGCAATTGCGCCAGTCGTTGTACGAGTCCATTCGACGCCTGGGCTACGAATCTGGAATTTTCCACGTTGAAGCACGAATGCGCAATTCCACCTATGAGTACCGGCTAGACGAAGCTTCTGGTAGTCTTGACCTTCGTCCGAAATTGACTGCTCCTTTGAAGGACCCCGGCGTATTTCTAGTTGAAGTCAATGCTCGGCCACCCGGGTATGTCGATGCCAGCGCCAGCGCCTTCACCAATGGTGTGGACATGTTCGCACTACAACTGCTGCTTGCTTTGCAAGACGAGTCGCGGATCCGAGCACTTTCGACTCCGTTCCAGTCAAGACCTCATGTGGTCATTAGTGCCATCCAGGCAGACAAGTCGGGAACTATCGTATCCGAAGACCCGTGGCAGGACTTCCATCAGAGGAACCCAGAGCTATCTAATCGAGTATTTGAGAGCCCGATGAACTTCAAGAAGGGGGATTGGGTGGCTGACCCTAAACTAAGCACCACACCCTGGCTTTCGGGGTTTGCTGTTCACTCATATGAGGGTCGTACCGGTGTTTTAAAGGCAGCTGAGCAAGTGAGAAAGGGATTTGAGTGTGTCATCGAGGAGTAAACAGGAATCCAAATCTAACTAGTTAACTTTGTTTTCGTATGACAAAGAAGGGTCTCGAAGCTCGGCGTTCGGAATTCACTTTCGGCACAGTCCATTCCCTTCTGGGTTTAGCGTCAGAATTGTTTACTCCTTCCCTTTTTAGCTCGTAACTACTCTATCCAACTCGGATGGAATCCATAAAACTATCAAATGCCACGTCTACGCTCGAAGTAACGGCGACTAATGACCTCGTGGCTCCATCAGACCTGCCATTATTTATCGCGTATTGTTTCATGCCGGCCACCGCTAGAGCACTGTCCAAATCCACAACCACACGTGTCTCTCCAAACACGTCGGCAATCGCCTTCAGCACGTCACGGGTGTCCACCAACACTGTATTGCTCAATGCTTCTATGAAATGGCTAGTTGCTGCGATCTCCCTCAGGATGGCGGGCAGAGGTTTGAAAGGCCCTTGATCGCATGGCTCTGAGCTTTGTCGTAGGCCTACCCCGATGACTTTCACCTGGGGCGCAAACCGATTCAAATATATTCCAATTGCCTCCAAAGTAGCTCTATCTTGGAGACTGCAGAAGATAGCCTCGAGCGGGGGGCCCTCTTTGGTTTGCTGCAGGATCTCTAAACCCACGGTCCCAATGCCGGCAAGGTAATAAGGATCGGCCAGAGGCTCCACATGAGGTACTTGCTCTTGAACTGATGAAAGAGTAGCACCTATCTGGCTGCCATTTATCTTATGAAATGCTTGGACGACCGCGCACCCCAAGGAGCGTAGCTCTTTTATGTCTTGGGCGCTCATAGCTTGGGAGACAGCGATTGTAACTTGCATCTGCAGCAGTCGCGATGCCCAAGCAATCGCTTTTGCATATTTTTCTTTGCAACGAGAACGAAAATCAATATTGCGAGTCTTTGGGAAATGAAAACCGCAGAGACATACCATAACCAACGGCGGAGAAAACAATCCCTCGCCAACGCTCTTCTGGCGGGATCTGGCTCATTCGATTATAGGCACCTCGAACATGGGCGCTGAAGCTGAGCTGTTGCTCTTCGCGCTTCAGAAAAAACTTGTAATTAACCGGTGGATCCACCCCTGCAATTTGAGTCAATGGCGTTTTGACAATGCGACCATTCACGGCAGACGTAATGATCAGCAGGGGATACTGAGAGAATCGGTCAGTTTGGACAAAATGGCTTGATCCAGTGATCTGAGATACCGACATCGGGTGAAGAGCATGAGACACCGGAAGCGCCAACTTCGTGACATGTCTTTGGACTTTCTTTCGAGATATCGAGTTCGATCATCTTGTGGAGACAAATGGAAGGAACGACGGTCGGGGAATTGTGCGGGAATGTTGCTATACACTGTTTGATTCTCATAGATGACAAGCGAAGGAAGGAAGTGACTGTTGACCGATGCACAGTCAGTTCGGCGTTAATTCCGACCACTCAGATTGCTCGCCTTGTTGCCACGCTCCTGCTTACCGTGAATTTTCATTTGAATATCTGGATAGTTCTGACGCCTTTGACGTGTGATCAACCTGCCTTTCTGAATTAGATTCTCCTGCCTCATGCAGCGCAAACCCCGAAACACATTGGATATGACCCCGACAATTTTGCAGTATGGTTTATGGGAAAGCCCAGTGACTTTGGATTCCATATGTCGAGAGAGCTCTTCAGGTAGTGTGCGAGTTGATGTGCGTGTCTGTTGAACCCGTTCACATTCCGATGAGCACTGACTCGCAATCTCAATTTAGGAGACAAGCGGAAGTGTGTATGGTCTACGAAGTGATCCAGATGATAGGACGAAGATCATCTCCATAGGCAAACCCTCAACCGACTCGTCAGGAATCCTCCCTGCTCCGTACAGTGTTGGAACACGAGTGTACGAGTATGGCGGTGGTGCATTCGCTATAAGCAAGAAGGATGGCAACATCGTATTTTCTGATGGCCCGAGTAATGCCGTTTGTGTCCTCGACCCGCGTACTTCAACAGTCTGGAGAATCATTGAAGACCCGCACTTACGCTTCGCGGATTTCGACGTGCACCCGAGTTCCTCTCATTTGGTCATTGCCATTCAAGAAAACCAAAAGAGGCCGATATTGGAGCATCCCAAACATTCGTTGGCTCTGATTGATACACACGAGAAGAGGGTGATAAGTCTAGATGAATCAGAAGACTTCTACTCGCAGATGCGATTCTCTCCTGACGGCCACCATATCAGTTGGCTATCCTGGAACTATCCTCACATGCCTTTCACCGGGGCTGTGTTATATAAGGCGACTTTTGACGGCGATAAAATCACCCAAAAGACACGGATCGCGGGAGAGCCGGGTGCCCGAGGAATAAGTCAGCCTCGATGGAGCAGCGACGGTACACTATATTATCTAGATGACATCTCTGGATTCTGGCAGCTGTGGGCATCTGACTCTGCACAGCGCCGTCCTGTTCCCATTAATATTCGTGGGCTGGAAGCTTGCGATTTTGGAAACGCCGAGTTCAGCTTGGGAAGGTGAGCTTTCTGGCACGATAACTATCGTCGATAGTGGGCATTTGCTAATGAGTGCTGTCAGTTGTTCCTATCAGTTTCTTAGAAACGACGTCATAGTGTGCGCAATCACAATACACGCCGTGAGCCAGGTTGTCATAATTGATCTGAAGTCCAAGACTGCCAACCAGTTAGAACTGCCTTTGATGCATGTCATAACTGATGGAGTCCGCCGTGTGAACGATCAACAATTCGTTTTGGTTGGAAGCACACCTTCGACTCCAACGTCCGTGTTTTCAGTGAGCATTGAGCAAGAAGGATTTCACTGGAAGCAGGATCAATCTTTGCCGACTGTGGCCTTATCGAGTGGCCTTATATCTAAGTCTCAACCAATCTCTTTTCCTCGTACTCACGGGCCAGACCAGAGTGGACTCGGTCACGGATTTCTCCTTCTCCCTCGCAACCCAGCATACAAGGCGCCCCTGGATGAAAAGCCACCTCTTCTAGTGTGGGCACATGGCGGGCCAACGAACCATTTCAATCCAGGATTCTCGTTACAGCAACAGTACTGGACCAGCCGTGGCTACGCGATCCTGCTTCTGAATTATGCCGGTTCTACCGGTTATGGAAGAAGCTATCGACGTCTTTTGGACAGGCACTGGGGAGTAATAGACTCTGCTGATGCAGCTAGCGCAGCTAGTTACCTGGCCTCAGCGAACTTGGTCAATCCCAAAAGAATTGGTATCGTGGGACCGAGCGCCGGAGGCTACCTTGTACTAAAAACTGCCTGCGACTTCCCTCATCTTTGGGCCGCCGGAGTTTCGGTGTTCGGTATTTCAGACACAAAGCGGTTTGCGGAGACGACTCACAAGTTTGAAAGCGGCTATGCAGAACAATTGCTCCCAGTGAAGCTTTCTGGTCCCGACGAAGAGCACTACCAGGTGCATCATGACCGAAGCCCTGTGGCTCACGTGGACTGCATCGAAGCACCAATACTTCTACTGCAGGGAACAGAGGATCGAGTGGTAATTTCTGAGCAATCTGTGATTATGCACAATGCTTTGACACAACAACACAAGGTATCAGAGCTCTTGCTCTTAAGGGGAGAAGGGCATAGCTATTGGGCAGGCCAGGCATTGAGGCGCAGCGTTACAGCTCAGGAAAGATGGTGGAGAAAATACTTGCTCGGTGTAAAACCGGTTCCCTGAAAACATGCGGATATTCAATCTTTGTTGGCTTCAATTATCAACTTCTTTGCCATAGAATAACTTTTGGATGCGCTTTTATTGAAGACCTCCAACTAGTTAGATTGTGCCTTCCAGATTAGGTAGTCAGCTCTTCAGACTTTTGAGCAACTTCGGTGTCTTCGTCTCTTCAATAATCTTCAGCATATTTCATCAAATCGTCACTTCCATCTATGGAGCATCACTTCTAGCTGGTACAAAATCCCAAACTGGATATAGCCTGATGTACTTTTGATTTCGTTTCCACTTCTTGATGTGGTGTATGCTGACTGCAAGCCTCTATCGAGCGAGCATCGATCGGCGTTGGTCTCCGCTCAAACTCCTGCCATGGATTTATTCCGAAATGAATTCTCCCGGTCAAAACTAAATTGGGCCACTGGCTGAGAGATTGACGAATTTCAGAACCCATTTACAGCAGAATGAGCAACATTTCGGATTCCGCCCCTTACAATTTTCGGAGTACTTTTCGGAGTTCAGATAACGCTGCACAGTCAGCCCTTTATAACAGGATGGTTACAGCCATTTTTGGGACAAACTGATCCCAAAGACTAACAATAACATACAGTAATTAGGAAAATATGAGATGTATCCAGCAAGTACAAGAATGGAGGGGTCCGCGAACCCAGATCTGGGTAGTAGAACACCAGCTATTCTTGTCTACAAATCGATACTGACATCATGCCCGACACAAACTCGCTGAACCCCTCTCCACAAGCCACATGGAGAGTTATACCCATTCAAATTACAAGCGAAGAAGGTGGTACTGAGAATGAGTTTGGAAATGGTATTTCCTTGCCCTTCTTGCTACAGCTCGCCTGGGGAACTCTGTTGCGAGTATATACGGGCCAGGACGAGGTGAAGTTTGACTACCAGTGCCTCATCTCGTCTTCCTTTGAAAGCATCGAAAAGACTGGATACGAGGAAGTCTTTATTCCACAAACTCGCTCTGTCCTTATACCCGGGAATCGACCTTTTAATAAAATCACGCCTTCACCATCAACGGGAGATCTGGTCGGCAACTACAAACAAGAAATTGGACAGGATAGCATGATCCAAATATGGGGAGCTCCAAAAGGTACAATGGCCACGGAGGCTTATGCAAGGCTATTGGTGGACTCAACGCCGCAGGAGGTATGCAAGAGTATATTAATCGATTTGGAGGATGCACTGACACAGAGCAGCGGAGTATCCTAATTACTGGCGTGGTCTCCCACGATGAATGCTGTGTGTTCCTCAGTCTTCGTCAGGGCCAAACCTTCTTTCATTTAGCAGACCACATTGCGGACACGTTTCGACACCTTCTTCAAAAAATAAGAGAGTATCCTTTATCGACCTTCAATGAGTTGAGACTTGTGGGGCCCAATAACCTTCGGCAGATTGAAGAGTGGACCGCTGGCACTGCTGTCATTCGAGACGACGACAAGTGCCCTTACGAAGCCATAGAAACATGGCCAAAACCTTCTCCAGCTATAGACGCGTGGGATGAAAGAATTTCGTATGGTGACTTAACTCATCTCTCAAACGCATTGGCTGGCAACCTTGTTTCCATCCATGGAGCACAACGCGGAGAATATATCCCTGTTTGTTTCGAAAAGTCGGCATGGGCCATCGTTGCTATGCTTGGGATTCATAAAGCTGGTGCTGCCTTTGTTCCTATTGATCCAGCCTGTCCACCATTGAGGTTGGCCGAGATTTTGCAGCAGACTAAAGCACGTTTGCTTCTAACATCGCCCACCATAGCTGACACTACTAGCTGTGTATCGAAACTCAAAGAGGATTCGTCCACAGTACTGAGCATCGTACACGTTGACAGTGAGCTATTGGAACAGGAAATCACACGGGATGTCATAAATCATCGACCGGCTCCAACGGACGTCGCCTATTGTCTTTTTACCTCTGGCAGTACCGGCAAGCCCAAAGGGGTTGTGGTTGACCACCGGGCTTTGAACGCGAGTCTTCGTGCTCATGGCAAATATTTTGGTTTGAGTGCAACTTCGCGTGTTTTACAAGGCACCTCTTACACCTTCGATGTTTCCTTGACCGAATGTCTAGGCACCCTGTATCATGGAGGCTGCGTGTGCGTTCCCAAAGCAACAGACCATCTACACGACACTGTTGGTTGCATCAATAATATGGATGTCAATTGGGCATTTTTCACGCCATCGTTCGCCCAAATTTTATCATCAAACGACGTCCCCGGGCTAAAAGCCCTCGCCCTCGGTGGAGAGGAAGTTCCAACTGCATGTGTCGAGCAATGGACGGCACCTGGCCGTCGTCTTATCAACGCATACGGGCCTACAGAATGCAGCATTTTCTCCATGAGTGGAAACATCAAACTCGATGTTCATTCTTCAGGAAACATTGGAAGGGCTGTCGGAGGCCTTTCGTTTGTCACTGACCCAACCGACCCGAGTCGATTGATGCCCATAGGGGCTCCTGGCGAGCTTCTTCTTTGTGGGCCAATACTGGCTCAAGGTTATCTCAACGACAACGGGAAGACCGCAAAGGCGTTTATCGATCCACCAGAATGGTTCAAGAATGTCGTCGGGTGGAAAAATGAAAATCGCCTCTATAGAACTGGGGATCTTGTTCGCTATTGTGCTGATGGCACGGTGGAGTATCTGGGCCGCATCGATCGACAGGTCAAGATCCATGGCCAACGCATTGAGCTCGGGGAAATAGAAAGAGCAATAATCAGCAGCAAGGAATCAACAATTGCTGTTGTGGATGTTGTATCCCGACCTAACATGCCCAACGACCAAGTTTTGGTGGCTTTCGTTGCTGACGAAGATGGAAAGAACTATGGTCCTCTGCATGCTCTCGATACCTACGAACATGCAGTCTCTATAAAAGACCTGAAAGCCCGTCTGGCATCCCTTCTTCCTCGTTATATGCTCCCGTCCGATATTATTTATCTTTCGCATGTTCCCTTATCAAGCTCTGGGAAGTTGGACCGCGCTGCACTTCGTAATTTAGCGGCGGATATACTGGGAAATCATCCATCCGGGCAACTAAAGGAGGACAGACTCCTGACGGAGACAGAGGAGCTCATCCAGCTTACTTGGAGTCACGTCCTCTCCATACCACAACACGCCATTCGTGTGGATGATAGTTTTTTTCGCTGGGGCAACTCGCTGGCCGCAATCAAACTGACAAAGCGACTCCAAGAATGTGGGCTACAGATTAGCGTCGCGGACATTTTCCAGGGCCCAAGCATACTGGATATGGCAGCGAAGGTACGACAGACGAGCAAATCGCAAGGAAAGATGGATCTGATTCCGTTTGGTCTCATCGAGCCGAATGCTCTCCCTGAGGTTTTGGAAAATGCAGCACAACAATGCTCAGTGAAAGCGGATGCAATTCATGATATTTACCCGTGCACCTCGACACAAGAGGCACTGCTATCACTCACCGTACACAACCACGAGGCATACAACGCACAATATGTGTACCATCTCCCCCATGGTACCGACATCGACCGGTTTCAGAAAGCATGGGATAGCGTTTTCCGATCAACACCGATTCTGCGAACGCGCATTATCTCCGGTTCTCGCTCATTTTATCAAGTCGTTCTTAGTGAAAATATTGAATGGCTAAAGAGTTCTAACCTGGAGGAGTATGTGCAGAATGACCAGTTGATTCCTGTCGCATTTGGCCGCGAGCTCACGCGGTTTGCCCTCATTCCAGATCCCAATGGGATTGGGATCTGCTTTGTGTGGACCATCCATCATTCGCTCTACGACGGTCACTCAATGTCTTTAGTACTAGGAGATGTTCAACATGCCTATGACTTAGGGTATCATCCTCAGAGGCCTCTCTTCAGCAGCTACATCCAGTCATTGACCGATGACTCTCGGGACCTTGCTGCCTTTTGGCGTGGATCTCTCGATGGTTTCTCGTCACAGACATTTCCACTAAAGAGCCATCCGGAATATCATCCAGTTGCAGATCGAACGATAACGCTTTATCCCTCGACTCAAAATAGGGCCTCGATGGAAGTATCTCATTCGGTAGTACTTCAAGCAGCGTGGGCGATCGTCTTCGCTCGCTATGTGGAATCCACTGATGTGGCTTTCGGCGTGACATTGAGTGGTCGATACGGCTCCCTACCCTCCATTGACGAGATCTCGGGGCCTACCTTGAGTACCGTCCCGTTGAGGGCTAGAATAGATCGTGAAAAGCCCGTGGATTTGTTCTTGAGAGAATTACAGACTCACCTAGCGCATATCATGGAGTGCGAAACCATCGGGCTTCAGAATCTCAGGAAATTGACTGCAGCTACGCAGCGTGCTTGTGATTTCCAGACCTTGTTTGTTATCCAGCCATCTCTTACCCCAAATGATGATGATGGATTGTTCAGTATAGGTCATCTGGCTTTCTCCCATGAGACAATAACAGGGTATGGACTTACTGTTGAAGCCCAATTGGATGAAGATGGATTGTCAGAGGTCAGGGCACACTTTGATTCTTCTTTGATTGACGAGCAACAAGTGGAACGCATTCTGAAACAATGGGAGTATGTTGTGAACCAATTGTACACCACCACCAGCCCAGGCCGGCAGTTACGAGAGATATCGCCTGTGAGTCCAGAGGAGGTGCGGCAATTGTCGCAGTGGAATGCACCAATCCCAAAGACAGCAAATGTGACTCTCCATGGACTCATTAAGCAGCGCGTTACCGAGAACCCTGACAAAGAAGCGCTTGTGGGATGGGATGGATCATATACCTACCAGGGTCTATGGAATGCCAGCGATCGGCTGGCTGCACACCTGAAGGGATTGGGCATCCGGAATGACGATCTCATCCCACTGTGTTTGGAGAAATCGTCATATGCCATTGTGTGCATGCTGGCCATCCTCAAAGCTGGAGCTGCATTTGTTCCTTTGGATTCTAGACATCCTCCTGAGCGCCTTGCAGGTATTGTCGACCAGATTAAGCCTCGCCTGCTAATTACCTCTCCTCAGTATCAGAGCTTGTGGGATAACATAAACCATCTTGCACTTGATGCTGATATCATTGCCGTGCTCCCTCGCCTTTCGGCTGACTCCGATACCTCTATTTCAGCGACGGAAACAAATTTGGCATACTGCATTTTCACATCCGGCTCCACAGGGCAGCCAAAAGGAGTACTGATCGAGCATCAGGCGATATGTACTAGCATTCTCAGCTACTCACGTCGTTTGCAAATCCATGAAAATGTGAGAACACTCCAGTTCGCCTCCTATTCATTTGATGCTTCGCTTCTCGAGCTTCTGAGTGCACTTGTGAATGGAGCCACAGTCTGTACGCCGTCTCTCGATGAATGCATGGATTCTATTAGCCAGACGATTCAACACTACGGGCCAACATGGGTGTTTCTCACCCCATCCGTCGCCCAAATGCTATCTCCGGCGAGCGCGCCATCGATTCAAACTCTCGTTTTGGGTGGAGAGGCCATTACGCGATCGGTGATCGCGACTTGGGATGGAAAGGTCCGGCTTTTCAACGCATATGGTCCTACCGAATGTTCCATCGTCTGCGCTGTCAATGAAGTCCGGAGCGAGGACGATGTGGGCGTGATCGGGTACCCGAGTGGATGCGCCTTGTGGGTCGTCGATCCTGATGATCCCAACGAACTAGTTCCCATCGGTACTGTTGGTGAGATGCTTGTTGAGGGATCCATTGAGGCGCGCGGGTATCTCAACGATGCCATCAAGACAGAAGGAGCATTCATCCCAATTCCACAGTGGCGAAAAACTATCAAAGATCTATCGACCGAGTCAACACGGATGTACAAGACAGGCGACTTGGTTCGCTGGAACGAAGACGGGACTCTATACTACTTTGGACGCAAGGATCTCCAGGTCAAAGTTCGAGGACAGCGGGTCGAGCTGGAAGAGATTGAGTCCTGTATTGTGCATCCGGATATCATTCGAAGCGCAGTGATTCAACCTCGTCGAGGACCATACTCTAAGAGGCTGGTTGGGATTTTCACGCTGAGAGCGAGCCAGCCAGCCACTGATGACTCTTTCAGGTTGATACCCACGCATCTGCAGAAGACTGCATCAAAAGTAGTCTCCTCAATTCGAGAGAAGCTGTTGAGCGAGCTCCCTTCCTATATGGTCCCGGATGATTGGATTGCGATCGAAAATATTCCGCTTACGGCAGCGGCCAAAACAAATACCAAGTTTCTTATTCAGAATGTCGAAGAGATCACAGCAGAACACTATACCTTGGCTTCAAAGATAAGCGAGGGCGAGGATGAGTCGACCTCTAAGCCCGCATTGACTCCAATGGGAGAGGTGCTCCGAGATCTTTTAGCAAGCCTTCTGCAAGTCCCTGGAGACAGTATTCATGGCGAGACCTCCTTCTTCCGAATTGGAGGCGACAGTGTTTCCGCGATGCAACTAGTCTCTCAATGCCGTGCCCAAGGACTGACAATCAGTGTTACTGACGTGCTCAAATACAAGACTGTCTCCAAAATTGCGGAACGGCTTAGAAAGAAAGCCCTACCTACATCAGCGCCAGCAGTACAAGACTCGGAACCAATTGAGACAGCTTTCTCTCTCTCTCCGATACAGCAGCTGTGGATGGATTCCGTTCCGACAGATAAGGTTCCTGTCTTCACTCAGAGTTTTCTACTACGTTTACGACATGATGTTTCTCCAGTCGCCCTTGAACGCGCCCTTGTCGCAGTGGTCGAACGACACTCTATGTTGCGGGCTCGATTCTCCCGGGAAGTCGATGGACATTGGACACAGCGCATCACGACAGACTCTCGAGGATCATACAAACTTATAGAGCACAAGGCCGCCGTTCCCGAAACCGAAATCCCTGGGCTAACCGCATCCGCAAGAGCAAAGCTTGACGTTGTCTGTGGCCCGACAATAGTAATAGAGCGCTTTGATTCCATGAGTGGTGACTCTCTTCTATTCGTCGCCGCGCATCACCTGGTTGTCGATTTGGTGTCTTGGAGAATCATTCTTCGGGATTTGGAAGCCCTGCTCGAATCGAAAGTTTTGTCGCAGCCATTTTCGGTTACCTTCCAGCAATGGTGCCTGGAGCAATCAAGATGGCAGCTATCCAATGCGTCTTCCAATCCGGCGTCTCCCTTGAGCATCCCACCGTCCGACCACGACTTCTGGGGTATGTCAGGCAAGACAAACCATTACGGATCGGTAGAACGCCTGGAAGCGAAGGTTGAAACCAAAATATCGACGAGCCTTCTTAGCCGATCCGCCGATGTTCTAGGAGCCGAACCCCAAGATGTCTTCCTCACGGCATTGTTGATTGCCTTTTGCGAGATCTTTCCTGACCGCGCAGAACCAGCTATTTTCAACGAAAGCCACGGCAGACAAACATCCGATTCCGATATCGATATCACTGAGACTGTTGGATGGTTCACTAGCCTCTCTCCAATCTTACTTCCGGGTATTCCAGAGAAGAAGTCCATTATCGAGGTTCTGCGTCGGGTGAAGGATAACCGTCACAGGCTCCTAGAAACTGGCAATCAAACTAACCATACGGCGAATATGATTCAGCGCGACCAACGAAGAGCGACAACAACGCCAGAAATCCTTTTCAATTACGAGGGCATCTTTCAGCAACTTGAAAAGCCCGATGGATTGTTCCACTTTGTACCACAACACAACGGTGACCTGGCGGATATGGCAGACGACGTACCTCGATTGGCTCTCATTGAGGTTGCAGTACAAATTCACGAGGGCCAGATTGCCATCAGCAGCCTTCACAACCGAGAGATGTCTCACCAGGGTCGTATCCAAGGATTCGTCCGGCAATACCGAAAAGTCCTGTTGGAAATGAACCACGCCCTGGAGCAGCAGGTGCAGCCCGTGCACTCTCTGAGTGACTTTCCGCTGGCTTCTCTGACGTATCAAGAGCTGGACGAAGTAACCAAGGCAGTTGAAGAGGGTGGGGTGCAAGGAATCTATCCCCTGCTGCCAACACAACAAGTGATGTTGAGTCGCCAATCTAAATTTCCTGCCCTATACAGCCCCCGATTCGTGCTTAGGCTGCAATCGAACGCTGGAATTTCACCCAATGGAGTGGCCGACGCTTGGAAGTCGACTGTCCTTCGCCACGCGATCCTTCGAACGGTCTTTCTTGGCACTAGCTCCGACGGAGATCCGCTCCAAGTGGTGCTTGAGAGGCTTGAACCGCTCATTTCCTACCTTCCCCATCCGGCAAAAGACGTTAATCTCCTCGACCTACCCATTTCACCATGGGAGGAGCGCGAAGCTCATCACCGGCTCATCATCTACGAGCAGGATGCAGGATCAGTGGAGATGCTGCTCCTCGAAATCAGTCACGCCCTAGTCGACTTCCCGACGATGGAGGTAGTCTTTGAGGACTTTCACAATGCTCTCAGAGATACACCTGTCCAATCAGGGGGCTCTTCGTACCAAGATCTGATTGCATATGCAGTCGACCCCTCACGCAGGAGTCTCGCAGAGGCATTCTGGACCGCCAGATTGGCAAATGCCCCGGCCAGTCATGTTTCGACCCAAGGTTCGAGGAGCGGCAGCGATCATTTCTTCGGAAAACATCGGTATTCAGACGTGCAATTGGGGCCGGTCACTCCGTCAGTGCGCGCAGTCTGCCAGGACCATGAAATATCCCTTGCCAGCGTGGTCCGGCTCGCGTGGGCGCAGGCTCTGCGGGAGTGGCTGGCGGCCGACGACGTTACCTTCGGCGTGGTGCTCAGCGGTCGAGATATCGAGCTGCCGGACGTGCACCAGATCGCAGGGCCATTCCTCAACTTCGTCCCATGTCGAATCTCCTTCGATTCAAATTCCCCTACCACTACTAGGGTCCCTAGTCTGTTGAGAAGCTTAGATGAGGCTTATCTCGAGTCCCTAGCTCATCAGATTCGGGGATCGACGGCGGGGTCAATTCTGTATGACACCATCGTGAATTACCGCAAACACAATAATAGCAGAGATGGCGACAGCATTGGCACTAAAATCGAGGGTCGAGAACACGAATTGGTGATTCAAGAGGCGGTCGATCCTTTCCATGTGAGTCCCTCTTCCCCTGCTAGTGCTTTATTCCTTTTACACGTTTTTTCCATCGAAGGAGGAGGGGATTCTCCAAAATGGGCAGATCCTTGCAGGATAAGACGAGACGTAACTGACACCAATCCTTCATTCCAGTTCTCGATGGTGCTCGAAATTGACGAAATCGATGGCGCGCTAAACGCAAGGATTGCGTACTGGACCGGCCGGGTGTCAGAGAAGGTTGTAGCGCACTTTACGAAAACGATCCCTGTCGTGATGCTGAGGATTGTTGAAGCATTTCAACTACGTGAAAATCCGTAGCGGAGAAAGTCCAGACCAATGTGATTGCTGAATATTATTTGGTTTCTTTAGCGACCGACTTCTAGCCCGGAAGGAGATGGGCTAGATAGCACGGTACTCCGTACTCCGTATCTACGACTGAGAAGGTGAAAGAATTTTTGATTTTTCGCTCAGTGCGAAAATGAAATTTAGCGTCATAACACTTCTCTCATAGAATGGTGTTTTTTTTTTTTAAAAAAAAAATCTACGAATGTCGAACGCTCGTTTAAGCTCGGTCAGCGGCGGATACAAGTCCGCCTTAAAATGGCCATATCCTGATTGTGCCTGACATGAGTAAAGGAGCCTGAACCAGGCTATAACCAACTTATTAACAAAATCTAATATCTTTCAGAGCCGACATGTTTATGCATGATCTCCTAGCTCTGGTCTATTCTAACCAGGTACTAAATGCCGACTTTCCGGGAATGTCTTGGATTGCCCGAACAGTTATGGACCTACGGAGGACATGAATGAAGAGTTAAATTTAGCTCCGCAGAATGGATGTTTACTTTAAATAATGGGTGGCATTGAAGGGACTCTTTTGAGGAAATGCCCACAGCCCATTCTGAAGACAGAATGTCGTTATCTATTAGTAGAGCAGTTAGTGCTTACGGGGGACCGTTAACTACGGAATAGACTGCATACGTTGCAGTGTTACATCATGGGCTCTCAACAAGAGTCCTGCCTATGTCGAATCATGTTTTTCTTTGCCTCATGGGTCAATATGTTTGCAAATGAAAGATCCTCAGGATGAGTCGGGCTGTACGTGGCTCCGTCTTTGGAATTTAGCCACTTAAGCTACATAGACCTAGCTCGATATAAATCCTCGGCGAAAAGGCAAAACCTTCATAGCGAGCCCCGAACAAAGTCATTTGCGGCGAAAATGGTCATGCAAAGGACGAAATTCCCCGATCTTCCGGGATCCAGCCCATCAGATTTGCCTTCGAGGATACATTCGTCCAAGGAAGATCAGCGACGGGCGCGCAATCGACAGGCACAACGCAATCACCGTGAGGTTCCTTGTTTCTCTTATCACTTGCCGAAGCCAGGCACGCTAATTGACGGCTGTGCAATAGGTAAATCTGTGAAAGAGAAGTTGCAGGAGTATGAACGACTGCGAGGAGAAAACCAAGTCGACAAGCACCCTGTCAATGTGTCGGAACAAGGATCTGAGCACGCAGTACATCCGACGTCGACACTGTCCACACCGCCTCTTAACCAGGAGTACAATGAGCCCGCGACAGATCTCAGATCCTCCGTCACTCTAGAGCCAACGATTCACTTCCTGGAAGATGAAGGGCCCTTGCTATCAGTGGACGATATTGACCCGCTCAGCTGGGAGTGGAACTACCTCTCACCGGAGTGTGAGATGCCACATAAAAATGCAACACAAGATCAGAATGTAAACCACCCCTTTACCTATCAGCCTTCTCGATCTAACATAAGCAGCCACCCACTCGTAGTATCGGCTCGAGAGCACTCTCGGAACACTCATCCGAGGTACCCGGCAGAACCCTTCTACATCAAGCCGTACTTGGTGATAACGTGGGCATGATCTCTGCTTTGCTGGAACACGGGGCAAATGTAATGGCGCAGGATGGGGATGGCTTCACCCCGCTCCATCTAGCCGCTTTTCGAGGAAACGAACAATCGGCTAGCATCCTGTTGAGGAATGGTGCTGCAGCAAGTGTTTGCATCCCTTCCGGGGCCGGTTTAACACCAATCCATTTAGCCGTACAGAACGGACACGTCCCATTAGTGCAGCTATTAATCAAACATGGAGCGGATGTGAATGCTCGGTATTGAAGCCCGATTTTAGGGATTCGCGCACTGTCCAGCCTTGCATGGTCTTGGTGTGATGAACGTGACTGGTTGCTTTCATCGTTCGTTTCTCTGCTGGTCAAGAAACAGAATACCTTTTGAATAAAAGAATAGACCAATGAGCCATGGCTGATGTTAACAAGACTCATATGAACAATTATCTCAGGGGGCGCAAGGCAAGTCTTTGCTCCCACGAGCGCAAACTTTGATCTCGAAATCACGAGACAAAGACTCTGATAGGAAGCAAACGGCAGCGTCACGAAAATATAAGTCGAGAACGAGCCGAGATCCAAGAAGCTCAGGAAAATCATTCGTGTTCCAAACCGTTCGTGCCAACGCCGGAGACTTCATCGTAGATTTCGTCGTCATCCCTCTCTTGTCCGTAGAGAACCTCACATACACCGCCGACTGGAACATCTAATACCGCATCAGTACCTTCGCCCCATATCTCCTTCCAATTCACTTTCCGATTCTGCGGGCCCATGATTTGAAAGGAGGTTGCGCCCGGTCTCATCTTTGTGGCGCCACCAGGGCGTCGTCGCCCTTTACCATCAATGACAGCTACATTGGCCACTTCATCGACAATATTCTCAACACTGTTCATGGGCAGTGTCAGGTACCCCGTGTTGTACGATGCCAGGGCAATGTAAATGTAGATGATAGACATGACCAGCCAGGACGGGAAGGCCAACGACCACCATCGATTAGGATAGTAATAGATGCCCAGCTGATGTAAAAACGGGGACGGGAGATAGGACCAAAGGATATACATCACTAAAACCCCACGTTAGACAACTCTCCGACTGCTGCATTACCAAGATCGACTATCACTTACAGAAGGCCAGTGACGAGGCAAGATATAACACAAATCCATAGTATTCATACGTCGGAACCTTTGGACTCGCTCGGGGAACGGTCGTGGCGCGCCGTGCCGACTTCGCGACCGCAGCTTCGGTGTCGTTCGGGGTTTCCACGTCCGAGCTATCAGGGGTGGTAGGTCGAGACGTGGTTGTAGAGAAAGGAGGGCGCAACAGGGAGGTCAGAGACGGGGAAGGCGGTAGAGGCGTTGGAGGCCGATTATAGAACGGCGGAGCAAAGGCATTAGGGCCATGTAGCGAGCTCGATGACTGTCGAAACGGGTGATGCATCGCGATGCCATCCTCAGGTGATTGTTCCTCTGAATCCGTGGATGCGTCCGAAAAGTGCTGATTGTTCGAGGAATATTGGGTCTGAAAATCAGCCTCGTCCTCTTCAGCCTCAGAGTCCGCATGTAGAGGAGATGTTATAATGTCTCGGTCATCCTCGGGATAGCAATCGTGTTGCGCGTCGTAGGAAGGAGTGGTTGCGGCGAGATCGTCGGGCGCGAGGGGAGGGAATGGCTGTTTTGAATCGAACGAGGAAAGTGCGGAGGGAGTGTCTGAGTCATTGGACAGACATTCGGGCTTTTTCCTCGAGCTGCTGGTGGATCTGGACATGGCGATGTGAGCAAAAGCAGAGAAGTCGAGTTGAGGCTGGTCGTCGCGAAGCGTCCTCAGGCACCGCAGCTATACTGCCACACCTCACCGCCCTGTGGCAGGCAATTACGAAGTCATTATTTCGTGCGACTCCTTCCAGTAAACAACCACAACAACCACTCCGGGGAATTGGTTCTGAAACGGATTCAGACGAACAAGATCGATGAGTATCTCCATACATCTATTTGCATCCAATACTCGATAAGCTTATTCTGGACATATGTACATACGGTACTCCGTAGACGTTGGCCTGATCCACGACGCCACCCTTGACTGTCTCACCGCAGCTTGACCAGTCCAAAAGGCTGAGTGTACCGAGTGATGCTTGCATGAACCGGCTTGGAGAAAGGCAGCCACATCATGCCTTGCTAGGAGGGATGGATGATGACACGCACACGTTGCTTCTGTTTAGCTTCAATCTGTTCTTTTGGCCTGATATCGGCCGCTCCGAGTCTACAGTAACATTGAGGAATGAAACCACCGACAAAGCAGACTATGGACTGCCAACGGACAGTAGTACAAAAATGGCGAGCATGTCATGGGAATGTCAGAGCTTCTCATTCTGCGATCTCCCGCCGCCCCCTTGGAACGACTTTCTCACCCGCCACTCTGCACAGGGTATTACTTCATTGGGCGCTCAGCAGCAACTCAAATGCCTACCCCCGCCTCTTCGAAATAGGCCGATCATTCAGCTGGATCACTCTTGTAGTGGGCTCTGGGCGCATATTCGAAAGTACACCCTCGTTTAGGGCGAAGATCTCGCTGAATTGCACTACTATAACTAAATACATAGGCCGAGCTTAAGCTCCCCTGTTCAATATCCAATATCCATAGTTTAGGTATATTTTGAATCATCCATCGTCTTTAATCCAGTCCCTCACTGGCGGAAAGTACATTGCCTATCGTGATCAAAAAATTTGGGCCATTTGCAATAACACGGTCCTGCCTCCCGCCTAGGACCGGCTTACCCAAAAAAAGATGATATCCCTTGCATTAGTGCGTTCTATGCCTGACATTTGCATTGTCTGGGAGCGCTCAGGATTGGTTGAACAAAGTACATACTTGCTTGCCAGCCCTCGAGCAGCGGAAGCCATCCCCGTTGGCACATCAAAGGCCCAAATCGTGCATTCAGCTGCAAGGATGACGCTAACGGGATCGTGGGCTGATAGTTCGAGTCCTCCCCTTTGCTTTCTTTTGCGCGATTTAACCTACCAAACATCAAGTGAATGGTAACTGCTGGGGCAACATAATTCCTAGGCATCATCTGTACAAAATGGGCTTATTGATTCAGTACTGGCGACTGAACTTACTGACCGAGGATGATTTGATCGTTCAGAACTGTGATGAGACTGCCCCTACTCCCTAGCCCCCGGGCATTCCTGGCTGAAAGAGTACGATGCACTATGTATTGATCGGCGGTCTCCATAGGCCCAATGTGGGCCACTAGTGATTACTAGCCACGACGGTTTCTCTCCAAAGGCCGATCTCCATGCATGTTCCTGTGGAAAATGGAAATCGGGCCCTGGCTGACACGCGGACTTACAGAGCAGACAACCCACAACGCGGCCTTATCAATGTGTTTGTCCATTGTTGTGGGCCAATTGAAAAACCTAGATTGGAGAATCCAAGCTCGCATTACCGAATACATTCCAGCCTCGGATTTTGGGTCGCGGTTCGGCCGGTGGTCCACTCCTGTCACCCTCCATTAGCTGCGTGCTTGGACTAGATGCCGACCATCCCCTCTTGAGTGACAGGTCTAACCTGCTGAGCAGGCTGAGCTGCATGCCATGACGGCTTCATGTCCTTTATGGTGGCAATGCCCATCCCAGGGGTAGCCCTAGAACAAGGAAATCCCTATCTAATGTCCCTACCTGCTATTGTGGTTAAGTTCCAGCCACTATTGTTTGTCGCCCAACAATACAGACCAGAGGCCGGGTTCTCCAGCGTTCACTATGGTCAACTCAGTCTTATTCAATCTGATCCTCAAGCGAGCCGACATCCTTGTAAGCAGCAGTTGACATTAGCATGATTAACGGCAAGTTGTTGATGGATTCAATCTAGGACCCCAGCAATGATCCCAATGTGGGGTCATCCCGAGGAAATGCCTCCTCGACAACTTCTGAAGCCATGGAAAACATGGGCGTAGAAGACTCGACCTCCCTTTCGGCTTTCCTGACAACTCTCGTTCCGGCGTTGGTGGTTGCGGTGTTTTGGTTTGGGCTGTTCTTGATCTGTCGAAGGACCCAGCTCCGGTGGTACGCGCCTAGAACACACCTTCCATGTTGGCACAAACAGTAAGATTGTTCCTTTCGGTACGCATGAGCGGTGTTTTTGCTTACAGATAGTGTAGTGAACGAAGCCCTGAGCTCCCGTCGGGTTTTTTCAACTGGTTCGGGCATTTCCTCAACATCTCGGATACTCACGTCCTGCACCATTCGTCCATGGATGGCTATTTATTTCTTCGGTTTCTAAGGGTTTTGTGTTCAATCTGCTTTACGGGATGTGTGATCACATGGCCTGTATTGCTCCCCATTCATGCGACAGGCGGTGCCGGGAATACACAATTGGATGCGCTGAGCTTCAGCAATGTTAAAGACAAAAAGAGATATTATGCACATGCTGCCATGGCATGTATCTTCTTCAGTAAGAAGCTTCATTGACAGCAAACGCGGTGAATACATGCTTACTCATAGCAGCACTTGTGTTTTATACAGTCACACGCGAAAGTATTTTCTATGCCAACTTGCGCCAGGCATATCTGCACTCCCCCGCATACGTTAATCGCATATCTTCTCGGACCGTGCTTTTCATGTCAGTTCCTGATGAATACAAGAACGAAATGACGTTGCGCCAGGTCTTCGGCGAATCCATTCGACGTATCTGGATCACTTCTAACTGCAAGGAGTTGGAGAAAAAGGTCCAAAAAAGAGAGAAGCTGTCGTACAAGTTGGAGAAAGCTGAGACGAGGCTTATTCGACGGGCTAACTCGCTGCGCTTGAAAGCCCTCAGGAAAGGGGGTCTTTCTGATGCCTTTCAAGACTGCGAAAAGACTTCCTCTTGGTACCATGGGATCCGGAGGCCAACCCACCGTCCCAAGCTATTTAACAAGAAAGTTGATACCATTAATTGGCTTCGAAAACAACTCGTCGAAGTCTCAGAAGAAGTGGAGACTCTACAGCGGAAACATAAAGACGGAGAAATGAAGAATCTGTCTGCTGTTTTCATTGAATTCAATACACAGTCTGATGCTCAGATTGCCTTGCAAACTCTGTCTCATCACCAACCCCTTCATATGACCCCTCGGTTCATCGGTATCTCCCCAAGAGAAGTGGTGTGGTCTGCCCTGAATCTCAGTTGGTGGCAGCGCATCGTGCGCAAGTTTCTGATTAAAGGCGGCATCGCGGCGCTGGTTGTTTTCTGGTCAATCCCATCGGCGCTTGTCGGGACTATTTCCAATATCACATACCTCACTAAGATGCTTCCGCCCCTTAAATTTATTGATAAGCTCCCAGACACGATCAAAGGTGTCATTGCAGGGTTATTGCCGTCAGCCGCCCTCGTTCTCCTGATGTCCTTGGTTCCTATCATCTGCCGATGTACGATCTGCATATTTCCTGATTAAATGTGCTAGACAGGCTGACGAATCTCTTTAGTTTGTGCTCGACGTGCCGGTGTCCCCTCAACGTCGCGAGTGGAGCTGTTCACTCAAAGCGCGCACTTTTGTTTTCAGGTAGTCCAGGTGTTCCTGGTCACGACTTTGACTTCGGCTGCCTCGGCTGCAACTGCGCAAATCATCCAAGATCCCTTGTCAGCCAAGGATCTTCTTGCTGAAAACCTGCCTAAGGCGACCAACTTCTATATCTCGTACTTCCTGCTCCAGGGCCTGACCATGAGCTCGATGGCAGTCGTGCAGGTGGCCGGAGTCTTGGTCTTCAAGTTCATGACAACCTTCTTCGATCGTTCGCCCCGACATTTATACCAACGATGGTCAGCACTCAGCGGAATCAGCTGGGGAAACGTCTTCCCTGTCTTCACCAACATGGGCGTCATAGGTACTTGCAGTCCTTGTCTTTTTTACCTACCAATTACTTTCCACTAATCTCCTTCGCCCAGCCCTAACCTACTCCTGCATTGCCCCCTTAATCCTCGGGTTCGCTTTCATCGGCCTCTACCTCGTCTATCAAGCTTATCGCTACAACTTCCTTTTCGTCTACGACCTCGAAACTGATACCAAGGGACTCGTCTACCCACGAGCCCTCCAACATCTCCTCACTGGTCTCTATCTCGCCGACATCTGCATGATCGGCCTCTTCGCCATCCGCGGCGCCATCGGTCCGCTCATCATAATGGCGTTCTTCACTCTCCTTACCATCCTCGCACACATGTCCCTCAACGAGGCTCTAGCGCCCCTCAACTCCTTCCTTCCGCGAACCCTCGACACCGAAGAAGAATCCCAACAAGCTAAAGAAGAAGCCTACACATTGGCGCACCCCCCTCGCCAACACCGTTTACACGCCATCTGGAAATGGTTCCATCCGAACCTCTACCGCGACTACGCGGCGCTGCGACGCAAGGTCCGTCGCAACCACGTCGAGATCACGTACTCGGAAGAAGAGCGCTTCAACGCCTACTACGAGCCATGCATCACGGCGCGCTCCCCTAATCTGTGGATTCCCCGCGACAAGTGGGGGTTCAGTCAGCAGGAGATTCTGGAGACAGATCCAATCATTCGGATCACGGATGAGGGGGCGCATCTCGATGAGAAGAATAATATTGTTTGGGATAAATACGATCCGAATCTTCCGCTTTGGGAGAGGAAGATATTGTATTAGTTATAAGGGTGATGAGATATGAGGTAGACGGAGTAGAGTAGGGTTGGGAAGAGAGTACAGAGTACGTCGGTTTCGATCCGGTATGAGTTCATGGGTTATGGTCATAGTTTAAGCGGTGATTTCTAGCTGCCAAAATTGTTTGATATGCTGTTTTTATGTGAAAATAAACTAGCAACGAAAAATGAGTTGCGTGTTTACTTGACTTGTAGATGTGTAAAAGTCTGTTCTTCCTACTAACGATTTCCTCAAAAATAATTCACGTTGACGTATCAGGTACTGCGAGAACTGACCATTTGCCCAGCTGAGGCTTTTTCTCCAGTTAGAAGTACACTACCTTTCAACAATTCAATCTTACATATAATTGTGACCAATGGCCTACCATTACACCTGATGCGATATATAAATTAACCGATGAAAATTTTCATTTAATAAACTAACTGAAATAAAAATAGGCACAAGACAAATCAAACAGTCAGTTTGAACTCAACCGTATTAGCCGTGCCATTAACCCTAGGATAAAACTCGAACGTGAACGTCGTAGTCTCACCAGCCGACACAACAGCAGCGATAGCAGAAGACGTAAGAATAACGTTCTTGTCATCCCAGTTCCACTGACCGGAGTATGTCTGCAGTAGCAGAAAACAAATCGATTAGCATAATATTCATGGAACAACCATATCCTTGGAGATGTTGGACCAAAGGGAAGAATGGATTGCACTTACTGTTCTAGCCTGCTGCAAGGGACCCAGGTATTGGGTCCAGTCGTCGAACAGGTACTTTCCGCTTGACGTGAGGGCCTTGACGGTGGCTATTTTGGAAAGTCCTTTCCAAGTGACAGGGATCGAGAGATCGGAGCCGGAGACCGAGGACGCAGAGGCGGAGGTAGATGAGAGGGTGGGTTTATCCCACTGAACGAGCTGGATAGTAGGGGAGGCGGCGCCGCCGGAGAACTGGAGTGTTAGGGTAGCCACGACACCGGGGTTCGTGGATGAGGAGAAGTGTTTGGACAGATAAGTGGCAGAGAAGATGATGTTGGATCCCGAAACGCTGTAGTCGGATCCCTTTGACAGAGTGCTGCCGCTGGAGGCTTTGATCGATTGGAGGGTGTTGCCGTTCAGGATGAAAGGCAGGGTCTGGGCGGCGACCTGCGTGCCGGATTTGTGGAAGATATAAGCCGAGGAGGATTGGCTAGTGGCGGAGCCATCCTCGGTGCTATCGGGAAGACTGTTGGAGGTTGACTCGGTCGTTTTGGTCAGAATGTCAATGGAGACTTTATCGCGCCAGCTGGCCGCATCACGGTTCAGGTGGTCCAATCCATTGTCCCAGAGGATGGTGGCGATGTCGAATTGAGCAGCGGCTTTGGCGAGCTGGTTGTGATACTTCCACCGAGCGGCGGGCTCGGTGTTTGTGGGGGATGCGTCATATTCACCAAGGACCAAGGGCACATCGGTGAAGTTGTTGCGGATCAGTTCGAAGTCAGTGGTCAGGGTGTCCTTCTCAGCATCGGATCCCCAGATGGTTTTGCCCCACGCGCCGAAGATAAAGTCATCTAGGTTATTAATCAGCTTAGCAATTGTATCTTGCGAATAGAACCCCTCAGAAAAGCTTACATGGGCTGTAGTAGTGGAACTGGATGGCGTATGGGTTGGGAATGTCGGCAGGAGCCTTAAACCATTGGGATGTCTTGACACTGTCTGAGCTGCCTCCAGCAAGGTTGACGACACGCTTCTTATTATAACCCCCGGAATCACCGATCGCCTGGATGAAGATCTCATTCAACTTGTTGATTTCCGTCGCATGAGCTTCGGTCTCAACTGGAGGCTCGTTAATAGACTCGAAGGCAACCAAACTAGATGTGCAAGCCAGCTTTGTGCCAATTTGGTACCACAGTCGGTAGAATTTCTCCTCGATCTCAGTGATGTTAGCGCCGGATTGGGTGACATCGGCCCATTCCCACGAATCTATCACAGTCAGCTTTTCAACTCGTGTCAATAAACGGAACGGCAATCCCACCGTGGTGAACATTGACAAGAGTATAGAAACCACGAGCGGTGATCTGGTCAACGACGTCGGCCACTCTCTGCAGCCACTTTGGATCAACCGTCCAGTCAGGCGAACTTCCAGTAAAGTGATGCGTCCATGTTACTGTTTAGTGTCAGCAACTCTCCCCCAACTGATATATAAGTGGATCTCACCTGGAAGTCGAACACTCTTAAAGCCAGCAGACTTTACAGTGTCAAACACCGACTCTTTAACAGGAGCATTGTTCCATGATCCCTCGTCCGGAATAGCATCAAGGGTATTCCCCAGGTTCCATCCGGGGTGGAGTTTGGCTACGTAGTCTTTGGCTGAGATAGCATTGAACGACCCGTTACAAGTGACGGCCGCCCAGGCGCTTTCAAAAAGGGCCGCAAGAGCAGCAGCTCGCAGGACTTGCATGGCTTCTGATGGTATGGAAACAACTGTCCAAAGTCTTGCCTTCCAATTCACCGGCTACGTCCTGAAGGATCAGCACTGATCGGCCACTTTATATGTTCAAAGCAGACCGAGACCATATAGATTAATCAACATGGCAACTCGGCCAAGACGAGAAATATTGAGCGGAGATGACTCCGAAACGTGGGTCACCATTGGAGACATGCCACTGGGGCTTGCTGACTGACTAGTGAGCAGTTCTCGCGCAATGGAGGGGGTGTGCTCCTGCTAATATCTCATGACAGTTCCTGCGGGACATCACCTTCTGTGCCGGTCTTCATAAATGAAAGGTATTCATCCAAATAATCAACCACGTCATTGAAGTAGCATTAGCCCAACTTAGCCGGCGGACCGGCGGACCGAACGATGCGAGTCAGAAACTATGAGGGACAGAAGACACGATGACGGGATGCATCTTCTCGGTAGGGTCCTTGATCTCAGGAAATCCCAGGTGTTCGAGGGGTGAATCAGTCTGCAGACTGAAGAATCCAGGGGTAGGAAGTTTGAGAGTATTCCCTCCAATCGAATAAAAATACTACGGGAACAGGGATCCTGCAAACCTCCGATGGAGTGTCACAGCTTCCGAGGGCAGCGCCTGCATATTGAAAATAGAGCTGCTTGGCCGCAGACTCCAACGTCCTGCCAAGAAAGGATTAATGAACGACCATAATCGACGACAGGTATTGAGCGATCCAGGGAAATTAATCCCCACATCTCGGCAGGATTAGTGTGAGGGGAAGCTCCGTGATGCTTCTGCTGGCCGTGGAGAATTGGGAAAGGAAGAAGGATTAAAGAAGGAAGAGGATGGCGTGAGCTCCGCTCTTAATCAGGCCATCACATGACTTTTGTAGCAAGGAGAGAAACAAAACTGATATTTGAGGTTTCACTATTATTATTACACATAAGTCATACATATCGTTGCCTCATCATGAATCCGTGCATTTAACAACCGAAATAAGCAAAAATCGTGGACAGCATCTAGCAAGGGTCGTGTTCACATGATAATGCAGTCCTTGTTTCGTTCCCTAATGCGTTCTGACGGCCCTACCGAGATCGAGCCCCCAGGGTGTCGTCGTCCCAGCGGACTTCTAGGATATTGATTTGGGTAAGGGGATTCCGAGGCATTCGGACCGCTTGAAGGGCCCGTATAGATTGGGCTATGGGCAGATTGCTCATATGTAGGAGGGGGAGCGTCATCGGCGTCATCATTCGTCATGCGGTGGTTTCCAGGTCGATACTGCGAGTCTCGCCTAGGAGGAGGCAGGCTTTGGCGGGAGGACCGGTTTCCCGAATAGGAGGTATATGGAGTATCATTGGTGAATCCGGAGGAACGATTGTTTGCAGACGATCGTTGCGATTGGCTGAGAGCGGGGGTTGAACCTGAGCTCCGGGGGTTGCGGTCTTGATTGTTCCCGGCGCTTTCTCGTCGCTCTTCCTCCTGGTACTGGAGAGACAGTGCGTAGGCGTAGTCCGCATCGGCTTGTTCTTGAGCGGATAGTGTGGTGTTTGGACGGTCGCTTGGGGCTGAGGAGCCTTGGACATTGCTGGATGTTCTTGGGCCGGATGGATCTGAGGTTTCAGGAGCAGAAGTGTGCCCGACAGGTCGGAAGTCGCCTGCAAAAAAGCCAGCACTGGATCCATTGACGTCAACCAGACTTTCCCACACAACTTCTGCGTAGTTGGAGTAGCCCGCATCCGTCACCAGGGTAAACAGCTGGTTGGACTGCGGATGTTTGTAAAGAGTAGTAAAATGATCGTTTCGAAATAGGATCGAAAACGAGCCTGGAGGTAGCTTTTCCGCTAAATGAACCAGTCCAAATGAGCTCAGTTGAGTTGCATTATCGATGTCCGTGAATTGTTGGATAGCTTGAATATCCTTCATTTCCTGCTCCTCCTGTGCCGACAAAGATCCTCCTTGAATAACCCGGTCTTCGAGATCTTGCTTACGGAAATGAAGTAATTGAATATCTTCGTGATATGGGGCCACACGAGCCAATGCAGCATCGGCATCACTCATTGGGGCAGCAATCCAGCCATGAACCAATGGCACACCAAAAGTGCCATAAAGTTTGATATCATCGGTCCGCAAAAATGTACCAACTGAGTGTTGTGATTCCTAGGCACGATTAGCAACAATTCAAGACGAACAGCAGGGACAATTCTCGTACCAATGTCAGGCGTGGGTTGACATTCATGCCTGTGTGCAACATAGTCAAAAAACGACTAAGTGCCTCGATGTCCGGGAGCTCATCATCAGGGCCCAAACATGTGGTCAATTCGTCAAACAATGCTTCGATCAGTAGTCCTAAAGATATTTGTTCTCTTGTTTGGAGCGCTCTAACGATAGGTGGTTGGGTTTCTGGGTTTGCGCGGAGTACCAAGGCATTGACCAGTGCAAGTAACGGACAAGGGCCATTTTTATTTTGAGACAACACCGGGGAATCTCGCAGCTTCCCCGTAATATCTGTCCAATCAACATGTCTTATCGCATAGGTCTCCAACTTCTGTTCTTGTTGTCGGTTGGATTCCGGTTCGGTGGTGGGTTGAGACACGGCAGCACGAACAGCATCCGCAACATTAGAACGGTCTGGCAAGGGCGGGGGATTTCCAGGTGGTACGAAATCTGGTTTCGGGGCCTCCTGCGCATGATTCACTGTATCTGGATGACCTTCCTTGCTTGGATCCGTATCAGCATGTGACTGAGGGTTCTCGTCGAAGTCAATGAGCGCATGAGAGGAACCACTGGTTGCCGTGGAGATGGTGGCTGGCGTATGAATTCCATTGTCCGGTGCCAACATTCCATATTGCTGTTGCTGCTGAAAAGGCTGGGGTGCGTGAGGAGGCTGCGCATCGTTGTAAAGGGGGTAAGACTTTTGAAACTGGTTAGGCGCGAATTGATTTGTAGAGTCGCCGGTATAATTGCGATGAGGAATGGCAGCTGGTTGTTGATTTTGATGCCAGGCTGGCGGCTGCATTGCAGCATTGGATTGCTCTTCGGCCCACGGAGACTCGGATACCGGCTGGTCAAGAAGAGAAAGACGAGCTGTCATTGGAATATAACCCTCGTCTGCGAAATGTTAGCATTCAATTCCCAATCCAGATTTATGGAATTGTTCTACCTTGACCGAGTCGCGTACTGGCGCCATCCTGCGATAAAGAAGCCGTGTCCTCGGAATGGGGCCGGGAACTCCGATCCTCCCATGGATTTTGCTCAGGCTGTTTGGGTTTCAAGAATGGGTTGTTTGAGCGTAGAGCTGAAGGACTACTCAAATGCTCCCAGTCGGAACCATCGCCAGGCGCTTGGCTCTGTTGCCATTCGTTGGCAGCCGTCCTCCTTTCCGTGCCCGCAACGAGAACAGACGGAACCCGATTGGGCCCATTTCCATTTGAATGTCCATCTCCCTGCAAGCCATTACCACCGGGTGGAAGCTCCGGACGAATATATTCCTGGAGGCTATGGTCCGGCCTCTCCACCAATTCGTCGGCCCACGGATTGGGCGCATCACCGGCGGATGACCGGACAGGAGACTTCTGGGCCTGTTCTAGGGGCATCAGGTCGAAGGCTGGCGACGTGTTGAGATCAGGGGAGTATATCGATTCCTGCGATTCGAGATGCCGAGGCTGAGGAGAGCTCTGAGCTCGACGAGGGCGGGTCAGACGTTTTGGGGATAGAGATGCAGTAGATTTCGCGGTCGGGGATGTTTGTGCAGCTGTAGCGCGAGGTGCGAAACGAGCATTCCCTTGACTGAGGCTATAAAGATGTGGCGGAGCTCGTTTTCGCAAGACCATGAAAGGCAGATTTATTTATTTCGGTTTGGGGGCAACCGGGTTCGCCAGTATCAACCTGGAACGACTGAACCGGGGGGCAACGGCCAATGAGAACACAAAGGATTAAGAGAATAGGCCCCAGGAGCCAATGTTATTGAACCGTCGTGGGCGAATGAGTAAGACTGTCCGATGCACGAGTAATTCGAGACTTCCCTTGAGGGTGGTCCAGGCAGATTTGCAACCGTTGGCTCAGACAAGAGGTGAGATCAGGCTATGCCAACGAAACACGCTACTGTGAAGTTAAAGCAAGCGCAGGAGGCGATCAGCCATGCCTTTGCCCCAGTCAGCCTCTCTAAACTAGTGAGTGTATAGCCAGTAAAGGAAGGAAAGAAAGGGGCAACAAAAAAAAATAACAGAGGATTTAATGCAACGGGAAAAAAGAGAGATGAACAAGGACAACAGGCATCCAAGTTCCCAGGGAGAGTCAGCCAGTCAACATAATTAAGAATGGAGATAAAGCATCATCGGTGGATCCTCCGTCTGGCGATGGCGAATTCCGGCCGACCAGCCACACGCCTTCCCGCGTCCGTCCATAACGGCACATGACCCGCCCTGGGGCGTATTGCGCCCGGTCACGTGGGTACACTACGTATCTTTTGTACGGTACGGTCACCCCCGCGGTGGCAGCCACGGCACAGCCACAGACCAGGTAAACTTTCTCCACGAGAGCATCAGCCATATTACGCCAGCCGACGGATGACGGATCAACAGTTGCCCCGGATGCTAGATTATGTAATCTTCTATCGTCGTGCTCCGCAGGGTCCGTGCGCTATCGCAAAAAAAGATGGAAGTCCTCATGCTTCACGAGGACCGGAGTTGACCTCAGATTCTGCTCCATTCTTCGTTTATTTCTGGCATTGGTTACTAGGGAGGAATTAATCTTGGTCACTGGAGCCATCCCTTCTTCCGACACCATGCATTCCTACATCCGTCCTCATCAGCATGTCGCTTTGCGACTTCCCTCCGATTCAACCAAAATCGTGAAAGTCGTGCCGAATACGTATGTGCCTGCTCAGCCAGGTGGAAGACTGTCGCTTTTGATTTTAGTCCCGCTAACTCTATTATTTTCATAGTATGATCTTTCTGGGAAAATATGGCAGCTTTCCTTCCAACCAAATCATCGGCCGACCCTTCTACCTAACCTTCGAGATCCTGAGCAATTCGGGCGAAACCGATAACTGCAGCCTGCGCATCATCTCAGCAGCCGAAATCCATGCCGAATCATTGATTACCGAAGGTGAAGGGTTTGGGGATGCGGAGGGCGACGACGACGTGGCCGAAATGAACATGGATCAACCCCCCGTGCGCACCAATCGCGAAATCCAAGACGACAACTCGGCTCAAAGCATGACAGTGGAGGAGATCGAGGCCTTGAAGAAGGAATCTAGCGGTGCGGGACGGGAGATTATCGCCAAACTTCTAGAATCGCATTCGGCTCTGGACCAGAAAACCGCGTTCTCGCTCGCGAAATACACCCTGCGCAAGCGAAAGAAGTACATGAAGCGTTTCACTGTGCTACCCTTGGACGTCAGTCTCCTGACAAACTATATGCTGTTCGAGAAAGATGCCTCCAAGACGTTGGAGCTACGCGACGAATTGCTGGGTCTCCTGGGATGTTGGGGAAACGTACACCACGGATCGGATTCTTCTCTAGATGCGACTCTCACCTCCACGAAACCCAATGGACGCTACCTCGTTATTGACGATACGGGTGGCTTGGTGGTTGCTGCCATGGCCGAGCGAATGGGCATCCTCTACCCCCATGATGGAGAGGACGAAGAGGAGCAGACCTCGGCAAATGAGCCACTTCCGCCCAAGACGGAGGAGGAAACTGAGGCCACCGAGGAGGCCCAATCTACTGCAAACAACGCTACTCCTAAGCGTCCGAATCGCCGAGCTCATATGTCCGCGCGAGACAACACGATCACGCTTGTCCACGCAAACATGCAAGCCAACCTTTCCCTTCTCAAGCATTTTGGATACGAGCAAGACAACCCCGACCCGACACACCCTCTCTATGCGCACCTAAAAACCGTGTCTTGGCTGCAATTAATAGACCCGAGTGCCGACAGCCTCTATTCCCAGGAGCCTCCCGTGGTTTCAGATTCTGAGTTAGCCACGCTCAAACCCAACAAACGCAGTACTTACTACCGAAAGCGGAATCGATGGATGCGAGTTCAGAAGGTCGTGGACGAAGTTCGAGCCGGTGGATATGATGGACTAGTTGTTGCCAGTCTCAGTGATCCCGACAGCTTGTTGAAACACGCTGTTCCTCTATTAGCCGGCTCGGCTCAGGTCGCGGTCTACTCGCCCACAATCGAGCCCCTCACCCAGCTCATGGATCTCTATTCCACGCCGAGGAAGACGGCCTTCCTCAATAAGAGACAGGATCTGAAAGAGAACCAGCAGCAGCAGCAGTCAGATGACCAGACGGCAGAGGGCAGCGCAGAGTCCCAGAGCATCGAGTTCCCTGAACTTATTGAAGAATTCTTCCTCGATCCTTCGCTTCTATTGGCGCCGACACTTGAGACCTCTCGAGTACGCCACTGGCAAGTTCTACCGGGCCGCACGCATCCGCTAATGTCCGGACGCGGTGGTGCCGAGGGCTATGTATTCCATGCTGTGCGAGTGGTTCCCACCCAGGCAGCCGTTCACGCGGCCGGAAACTCAAGTCGCAAGAAGAGGAAAATCACCCAGGAGACGCCTACCGCCACGGCCGACAGTGCCAGCGGTATGGATGTTGACACGAAATGATCTGGACTCGGGGAATTGAACTTCTTGCATACCTCCTTCCTTGTAGAATAGAGTGCATTCTTATCCATTATGACTAAAAGTACATCATACATTATTACGTTTTCATGATTAAAATGAGTAACTTTACTTATTGAGTGTTCGAACTCATGGGAGAAGCATAACATATTTACGGTCGAGATCGCGTGAGGGAACGGTTAGCACGTCGTCGGGCAATATATAACCACCACCTCATACTGCTAGCGGGAACGTCGTTGCCTAGAGACAACAGCCTTTACAGATCACAATGGCTGTATTGCCCTCCCCATATATAATATAACACATACGAATATATCACAGTAAAGGTAACAGTTGTATCGAAGTCAGATATAAGGAGTAGGTTTGAAGATTTTCATAAGTTGAACTGTACGCTGAATCTGAATGGCGACCAAACAAAAGGAAATATCTCAACCTAGAAGCTCTTGCCCATGAACTTTCTCTTCGCGAAGCTAAGCCACCACTGTTTATTTATTAGCACGAATCAAGGTAACCCACATACGGGGACGGTGTTTACCTTCGAAGGACCAACTCCGCCGGGGTATAATCTAGCGTGTAGGCGAATGGCGATTTCCTGTCGGACTTGAGAGAGGTACCTGGAGACGAGGATTATTAGTATGCAGCCATCGAAAATGATCACATAACTTGATAGGTGTAGGTTGGGACGGGACATACGCTCTGAGACCCTCGGCATCCTGACGATCCCGGGGCGGCTCGAAGGCCTGGTTCAGGGGGAACGACGCATCACCGGGAATGGCGAACTGATCCAGGGCGACGTTGTTCAGGGCCTAGAAAGCAAACCAAATCAGCCTGTATGTTCCCTAGAAGCCTGTTCTCATGTTTATAATGTACCTTGCTAGCTTCCAGACTCGACATCGATGGCCGGACCTTTCCCAAACATTCACTGATAAACAAGGTTCCGTAGATGAGCATCCGGTCGGCAGGGCCGTTGATCTCGAAGTTCCGGAAGAGAACATTGGCGCGGAATAGAGACAGGATCTCATCGACGCAGTCGTAGGACTCGTGGTCTGGGGGAACATCGGCATCGGAGGTATTGGGCGGTAGCGGGGGGAGGGTGTATGCGGGGCCGCGAGTGCGAGTGCGGAGGGGGAGGACAGGAAAGTTGCCTGTTGCGACGTAGCATAGGACCAGTAAGTAAATAGATGCATTTCGCGAATAAGTTTCAATGAGGTATGACTTCTTTCAGGGGATGCGCAGGCCGAGGGGAAGAGGGAGCTCTGGTCGTACCGATTACGGGGACATCCCGGTCCTCGAGGAAGATGGAGTGGTATGCCTAGATTCTAGTCAGACACCGATATATCATCAGTAGAGCTGTGCCATGGCACATACAGGCATGTTGTGTAATTCCAATGGGTCAAATAATCCTTCTAGAGCCGGTCTAAAGGGGATTGTTGGGGGGAAGCGCAAGGCAGGTGGTCGCGGAAGGCAGTGCTGCTAGACGGCGGGAGTTGCATGTCATCACCGGTAGGGCTGACCGACCCAGGATTTTCCGGCGCCGAACCTCTTTACGCGCGGGCGGCCTGCGACGCGTCTGCTTTCCCCAGTCCTCTGTCGAACTGAAACCTACCATTTATTCCTAGTTATTACTGATTTTGGGTATTGAAACCGTCGTGTGATTTTGCCTTTCGCGAAGAACCCGAAAATAATGTCAGATTTCGAGGACGAAATGGACGTGGATGCTCCTTCCAAAGGTGCTCTCCAGTTCAGCTCCGATAACACCGCTGGCAAAGCGAAGAGAACTGCGGCGGATTTGCCGGTGGAAGCTCTAGATAACCTCCCATGGTAAGCATATGGAATCATATCCCAATATTTGTGCTTGTGTTTAAAATTAACTGACTTGGTCTAGGGTAGAAAAGTATCGTCCCGTATCACTCGACGATGTCTCCGGACACCAGGACATCCTAGCTACGATCGACAAATTTGTCGATGCCAACGTACGAAAATACATCCTAGACGAGTTCTTTGAATAACCATAATTGCTAACCCCGATCAGCGACTCCCTCATCTTCTCCTCTACGGACCTCCCGGTACCGGTAAAACATCTACAATTCTCGCGCTCGCAAGACGGATATACGGGGAGAAGAACATGCGCCAAATGGTGCTCGAACTCAATGCTAGTGATGATCGAGGCATTGACGTGGTCAGAGAGCAAATCAAAACTTTCGCTAGTTCGTTCATTCAAGTCAACATTTGTTTACTGGACCGCAGGCTAACCAGACACTACATAGGCACGAAGCAGATCTTCTCCATGGCACCTAAGTCGACTTCCAACGAATCATCCCTCGCCTCGTATAAACTGATTGTCCTTGACGAAGCCGACGCGATGACCTCGACCGCGCAGATGGCACTCCGTCGGATTATGGAGAAGTACACCGCCAACACACGGTTCTGTATTATTGCAAACTATACGCACAAACTCTCGCCGGCGCTTCTATCCCGATGCACTCGCTTTCGTTTCAGTCCGTTGAAGGAGCAAGATATCAGGTCCATAGTCGATCTGGTGGTCGAGAAGGAACAAGTAAACATTCAGTCAGAAGCTGTTGATAGTCTGGTCACGTTGAGTAAGGGTGACATGCGTCGCGCATTGAACGTGCTGCAGGCCTGCCACGCAAGCAGTAAGCTCCTAAGCTTCTCTTCTCTCAAATACGATACTAATGTCACACAGGCAAACCCCTCCCGATGAAGAACGCACCTAAAGATCAACCGCTCCCCGAACCGGAGCTGATTACGAACGAGACGATTTACGACTGCATTGCCGCCCCGCATCCATCTGACATCCAGAAAATCCTGACGACTCTCCTTGCAACCAGCGACGTCACTTCATGTCTCAACACGGTAAATACGCTCAAGTCTAACAAGGGACTTGCCTTGGCCGACATCCTCGCGGCTCTAGGTGATCAGCTGCAGCGACTGGAGGTTCCCGCGCAGACGAGAATCACCTGGTTAGAGGGTCTTGCCGAAATTGAATGGCGGCTTGCCAGCGGCGGTTCAGAAAGCATGCAAACAGGTGGCTTAGTCGGGGTTGTACGAAACGGGTGCGAGTTGATGGGGGATAAGAGTGTCTCTGTCTGAACGGTATCTTATGTCGGAAATAGCAAAATAATAGATTCGAATACCCTTTCAGGAAATGGACTTGCCATGATATGATGTCTTGCACGCCAAAACACCGATGATCCGTAGATCGACCAGATGGGCAGACGTGGTATGACTAAGTTGACTCGCGACGTACGGACTTCCCATCCTCCCAGGGATCATCCATATCATATCTATAGATAGGAGTTATCAATGCCTTTTCATCCTGCCAAAAAGTGCTTTTCGTGTTGAGCAACTAAATCAGGAGAGAAAAAAATAAAGACTCAAAATAAGAAAGGAATTCCGGTGCGGGGAATCGAACCCCGATCTCCCGTGTGAAAGACGGGTATGATAGCCGTTACACTACACCGGATGTGACTTAGTGAGTTCTGGCATCTTTGACAATATCAAGGACCAGCAATTGACCTGCTAAATTCCCCACTTCTCAGATGCCTAGAAGAAAATCCGGAAGGTCTACTATCAGCCTACTAGATATGGTGATCTCGTGCCTTTAAGTAGTAAATCCCTTTTTTCATGCCATGGATATATGTCCCATTTCCCCGGATGGTATTGTTCAATCTAGTTAAACCATTTTGGATAGATGGTAGTACCTATCTTTGTTTCCCTTCCCCTTTGCATATGGTTTCAACCCGGATGGCCGTATGATTTATTCCTGCAGCCTATCTGGTCGTATTACTGTTTCTCCCTCATATATTATCGTAAATTTAAGATAATAGGCATTCAAGCAAATGTGACCATTCATTAGACGCATCATAGAATCCTTATGGAAATGAGCTACGCTTTTGGGAAAATACCATCAAGGACCAAGCTATGGAGCAACGCCTCTTATCGATGCTTTATAGTGTTTACTTATGCTATACATATCTTATCCACTTCCGGTGTAGTGTAACGGCTATCATACCCGTCTTTCACACGGGAGATCGGGGTTCGATTCCCCGCACCGGAATTCATTTTTTATTTTGAGTCTATATTTTTTAATATATTGATTTTGCTACGGAGCACTTCACTTACTCCTTCACCAAACAAGACTGGGTCGGCGATGAATTCTTTGATTTAAGTGGGTAAATAGACATTATCTAAAAGCAACCCGTGCCTTGAATTTCAACTATATCCTTCCGCGGAGAACATTTCATCTGGCTTCCAGTCGGATAGGAGTTTACAGAATGTTAATTGTAAAGCCAACAGTTATCGATGATCCAGGCACTGGTTGCCGACCAGTCGCTTCAACCCTCGTTCGACCTGACCTCTGAGACGCTATACTCCACCATACTTGGCTTTTCCCTATGTTAAGCCAAGATTTTGTGGCACCGGCTGTTATTCACAGTTCAATGATGAGACCCATAAGATCGGACGAATCCTCGTGCGGTTATCTACTTTTGACCGCAGATAATACTTAATCAGAATTGACCTGCCACGAAATCTATGGTAAAACGCCTCTCCAACCTTCTCGATTGTGATCATCTCGGCCAATTCCGGGTAGGTCGTAGTAGACTAGTTAGTGGTCATTCTGCTTTGCCGTATCGAGAATAGTTTTTCACCTTACGAGAAGCAAAAAGTCACTGCATGATTAGGGCAATGTAATGTTGTTGGTATATTATCTTGACTCAGGCGCAGTGCCTTTAATTTTAATGGGCTAGTTCGGAATATATTATTTGTGCTCGCCACCATGGCACGATCAGATACTACACTGTATGCGACGATCATCCTTTGGGCAAGTAACACCTTTGCAGTTTATATCAAGAGTGGGGGGCTTCAACCCATGGTCCTCAACCTCCAGTGCCGGGGTTCGGCGCAGGTGGGGTGGGCTGACATTTTCGACCTGACTATTGATCAACGCCTGTGTATATTTTTCCACCGATGGGAATTGGGGAGCATCACGAAATGAGAAAAAAGCAAATCAGCCAGACCGGAACCTTGGCTTGCTGGGGAGTGTTTTCGACCCGCATTATCTGATCTTATCCGATGCGATCTCATCTCATCTTATCTACTGTTCCTGTCCTGGAGGTATACCGATGTAACCACTAACCAGACTCCCACCGTCACTGATGCCGATTCTACAGGGCTGGTCTCTACCCCGATCGTCCATTAACCGAGCTAACGGACCTCACCGATGCTGCCAAGAGCCTTAGATGAATTAATTCGGTGCCAAGGTCGGGAGGCTAGACTGCCTTCCACCGGCACTAATCCAATGGCAGCATGCAGGGCATCGTATTCACAGCTGATAGGATGCAATTAGCTAATGAATTGAATTCTCCTGCCCATCCTTTTCTCCTCGGACAAATCCTTCCCTGTCACTGGGTGGTTCCCCGCATGACCCTGGTCGATGTTGCCAGTCGGGATATCTCAAGCTTCTGCAGGCCCTGGGTCCGACCGCGGAAATGTCCCCTCAGTCCGACAGGGCCGCTAGTCGCATTCCTCTATCTGCGGACCCCGCCGTGAGTCAAGAGTCATGATGATAACACCAGACCATTCCTTTCTCCGCGGCTGTTCCGCTGTCGCATATAATCTCTTTCCTCCCGTCCCTCCATCTTCTTTGAGAAGAGCCAACCATTGATCTGCTGGTACTGCTGGTGTCCTTGCTGCCTCCCATCCTTCACGATGCGGTCTTCCTCGCAACAATCGGGCCTAGTGCTGGCCCTCTTGGCCACGCCCTTTGTTCCCTTCGCTTCGGCTGAACGAGTCCTCGGAGCCTATATCTTTGCTCGCCACGGTGACCGCACTCCTAAGGTTCTGGGAAGCACCAAACTTACCGACTTGGGATACAGCCAGGTCTATCAGACTGGAAGCTATTACCATGACCGATACATCGATTCTGACTCGTCAACTCACATTGAGGGCATCAGCGACGGCGTCGTCACGCTCAGCCAGCTCGACGCTTCTACTCCTTCCGACAACGTGCTCCAGAGCTCTGCCCTCGGATTCATGCAGGGCGTCTACCCTCCCGCAGGCTCATCTGCCAACCAAACCCTCAGCAACGGCACCACCATCGAGTCGCCCTTGAATGGCTACCAGATTATTCCCCTGTCTCTCATTTCCCAGGGCACTGACAGCGAAGACAACACCTGGCTGCAAGACGCCACCGGCTGCGATAATGCCAAGGTCAGCAGCAACAACTACTACAGCTCGGAGCTGTACAACGGTATCCTTAAATCTAGCGCTTCCTTCTACAAGTCCCTCTCCTCCATGCTCTCTGGCGCCTTCTCGGACTCCGAAATGAGCTTCAAGAACGCCTATACTATCTTCGACTACCTCAACGTCGCCTCCATCCACAACGACACCAACACGCCCTCAGACAGCCAACTCCGCCGCCTCTTCCAACTCGCCAACGTCGAGCAATACAACCTCGCCTACAACTCCACTGACACGGCGCGGGCCGTCGCAGGCTCTCAACTCGCCGGCGAGATGCTCTCAGCCCTAAACGCGACCATCGCCACGAAGGCCAAAAAAAAGAAACTCAACATCCAATTCGGCGCCTACGGTACCTTCCTCTCCTACTTCGGCCTGGCGCAACTCCCCGACGTGAACGTCAACTTCACTGGAGTGCCGGATTACGCGTCCTCGATGGCCTGGGAACTCGTAACCGACGCCCCGGGTGACGAATTCCCCGCGACCTCTGAGATCAGCGTGCGCTTCGTCTTCCACAACGGCACGATCGAGGATGGCAGCACACCATCCGAGTACTCTCTCTACGGGGAATCCAACGCCACGATCCCATGGGACAAGTTCGTCGAGAAGACAAAGAAGATCGCCATCACCTCCGACGCCGAGTGGTGTGAGGTATGTGGCAACGCGGATAGCAAGTGCTCCTCGTCTGGCTCCGGATCGGGCTCGGACTCCGGCTCAAGCTCTGCGAGCGCCTCGTCGAAGGGTGACGGTGGCGTTTCTCGGCCTGTTGCTGGTGTCATTGGAGCGATGGTGACCTTGGCTGTTATTCTGGGTCTGGAGGCCCTAATTCTGGCGGTGGGAGGGTTCCGAATTGCAAAGAAGCAGAAGCAGGGAGCTGTCGAGGCACCGGCCGAGGCTGTGACGGAGCATAAGAAGGCAGGTGTTTAAGGAATGGTATTCTATTGAGTTAGTAATGATGATGGAATGATGGGATGGTGGAAGATAATAATTTGAAGATGAAGATACGTTAGTATGAACGTTTATTTTACGAGATAAAATAGGGTCATGTTTATAAGTGACTAATTGAGACAATTCATGTATTTGGAACCTGACCCTGTAATCCAGATCAATTGCCTACATAACTAGTAAGAATATTCCGTTCCTCCTAGGTAATCATCATCCTAGATCGCTTTCCTTATACAACTGCAGAAAACACAATGTTTGAAACATAAGCATAACCATCAATAAGCTATGAACAAAACCACAGGCAATAAACATACCCACATTCCCATATTCACAGTCGGCTCTTCCCCTTGATCTCTCTCAACTTCCCATCGGCCAAATCCACCGCATCCTTCGCCATCCCCAACCCAGCCTGAAACCCTGTCCCTCCAGCGCCATAATTATGCACCACGATCTTTCCTCCATCCTTCATCTGCTCCAATTCCACTCTCGCTCCACCTTCCCTTGACGGCCGAAATCCCACCGCCTCTCCCAGGATCTGCGTCTCCCCATTCTTCAGCACCGGCAGTAACTCCCCAGTCCTCTTCAGAATCGACTCCGTCTCATGCGACCTGACCTGACTATCCGAGTTGCCTTTCTGCAGGTATCCACCCAGAACGACCGTGCTATCAGAGAGCGGCCTTGGAATGACATACGTCTCGTAATCCTTTCCATGACGCATGATATTCTGCCTGACAGAAGGCGCCTTGACCAGGACGATCTGTCCGCGGGTCGGATAACATTTGGAGTCCATCACGCCGGGAAACGAGGCAGCCGCGTTGCCGATACAGTTGAAGACGATTTTTGTCGCCGGCGAGAGGAATGCGTCGGCTAGGGAGGCGATTTTGCGGCGCTCGAAGCGCACGCCTCCGGATTGCGGCTTGGACAAGAGGTTCTGGAGGTGCTGGCAGTGGGCTGGTGCGTTGATTGTGATTGTGGTGAATCGGATGCCGAAGGACACTCCGTCTGGGAGCTCGCTCTTGGGAATTTGAACGGGCTGGAGCATGCTTAGCAATTTTTCTTTTCTTTTATCACCAAGAAGACGCGCCAGAGAAGAAAGATATGATCGATCGGTCATCACTTACATCACGCAGATACTCCACAATACTCTGAATCTTATCCTTCGAGGGCATCTCATCCCAATACTCTGTCGACGCCGTCTTCGAGAGATATTTCGCCTCTTCGGCACCTCTATCCCCCAAGTCCATCATGGTCAAATAACCTAGTCGATCCCAATGCAGGGCATTTTTATCGCTGCCGGAGATACCAGAGAAGTTTCCGCCAGCCCTAGCATGAACGTCAGTTACATGCCCAGACTACATGATAGACTCAATTGCGCGATGTACCAAGGCGACGTGTAATGAATAGTTTTATCGCCTGGAAGATGCTCCGCTACCACCGTGACATGTGGGCCGTAGCCACGTTTGGATAATTCCACAGCGACGCTTAAGCCGATGATACCTGCGCTGGAAGTGCATATGAGTCAGATACAGTAAGTGTGGTTCATTGCTGAAGGGGAGGTACCCGAGAACGACAATATCGTCGTGAGCCATTTTGACTGAGTATTGAAGCCAATTTAATCCGTCCGATTCGTATGAATCACCGAAGGAGATGTAAGAGGGAAAGTTGTTGGATCCACTACCTACCTAGTAGTTACTAGTTACCCGACGACGGACCGAGACGGCCACGATTAATTCCATTGATAACAGCGATGATAAGGGCTGATAGGAATCCTTGGCCTATTTATTTGGAACTCGCATTCTGGATTTGAATGTAAGTGTTCTGGGAAAAATTAACTTCGGAATCTGAAGCTAGAAATAAAGTGCGTCATCCGTCATCAAAGCCAACCTCGACGTGACATCATGTATATTTGCCCGTGCTGCCAAAAGCATCGGAGAACATGATAAAAGGGCATTTCAGATAAAAAAGTCAGCTCTGCCAATTGAGTTGTCTAAAATAAGATTCAAGCTCGGCAAAGCTCTAATGGTTTGAGAACTTTGTCTGCATAACCCTGCCACACTCCAAGTTCGCTTGCAGCCCCAAACTCATTTACCGTGAGACAGGCCCGTACCACTTCTCGATATATGTCTCCCACCTGGTACCCGAGTTCATCGACCAAGCGAGGGAGAATCTCAGAATAGTTTGATGAAAGTCATACAAGCTCGCCGCGTCCCAGGTCTTTTTTGCGCAGCTCCACCTCCCAATCTCTACGAGTATTACTCCCAGGCCGTAGATGTCTGCGGCCGCACTCCAGCGTGTCCGCTTCGAAGGATCAGTCTCCTCCATCGCCATAACCGTCTCCCAAGGCACGTACAGCTCTCGATCCTCGATCACATCTGAGAGGAGAGACGAATGTTGGGAAATGATCACCGGCCGGGACTCCGCGCATCCAACGATATACGGGTCGAGCGTATCGTTAAAGAAGAAGACGTTATGACTGTGCAAACCTCTGTGGAAATACCCGACGGAGATGAAGCTGGCGTAATAGTGAGCCAAGCGGAGCGCTAGCTTGAATCGAGCGCTGAGGGAGGGACGATCGCTTGATTGTAGGCGCTGGAGGAGCGTGTGAAGGGAGACGGGACGTTGCGTTGTGGCCTGTGGGTATTCGTAGACCAGCTCGATCACGTCTAGCTCAGAGCTTTCCGGAGCTATCCACCCCAGACACCGAGGTACTCCAAATCCCACGGGATTCGACGCAACGGTGCTATCAACCTGAGTTTGCTTCGTTCCAGGCAATTGCATGGACTGTACAGCACCGACCAGATGGTTGAGACGTCTTTCGGCTGCCTCGATGGAATCCACCGTGGTAAACGCCTCTCTACGCTCGAGAAGAACCCCCCGCTTATCACCTCACTTCCAGGATAGATCATTAGCGGCAGCTACAAAGTACTTCCGACTGGCTAATGTACCAGACGAAATCATCCCAAGCGAATCCGACTTGAAGGAGAAATCACGACAACAGATCGCCATTCCACCGGCCTTTGCTAGTCTCAGGAAACAAGCGGCCGATTTCGAGGTGGAGCAATTCTACGCCAGAGTTAAGACAAAACTGGGCGAACAGAACGTGAAGATCGTCGATGAGGACTTGGCCCGATGCCCGGATGCCCCCCTCGCGGAGAGACTGGCTCGAACCTAGTTACGACTAAGCCAGTACAATACCGAGGATGACAGGGATTATAAGAATATGTTCCGGGTCATCAACCGATGAATGAAAACGGTTGCTGTACCTGAGGAGAAAAAGGATGTGAGAAACGTGTATACTGCAACCTTTTCGGGATCCGACAATCGTGGCTTCCTAACTGGGGCAGAATCCGGGTACAATCAAGGGGTTATCTTTTGTCAACGGATAGTTGACGGTGTACTTCTCCAAGGACTAGATAGTAGAAAACTTGCATTCAGTGTGTACTGCGTGGTGTCTTGTTAAATCTGCCTTAGGATTCAGGCGGCGAGGGGCGCAACGGACAAAACACTTTTCCCGACTGACGACTTTGGAAGAGTTCATCCGACATTGCCATGATCTCCTCGGGCGACCGCTAAGAGCAGCGTCCCCTTCTCGCTCCACAACGGGCAATCCCGTCCACATATTGCTCAATTTTACAACCAACGGTGCCTTCTAGGACTACAGCAAGGCGGCATTCTTGACCATGATTACCCAAACGCGGAACTGCACATAGCCGGCAGATCTGACGACCGCCACCCAATCAGTGCAAAAGACCTCATCAAGAAGCTTAAGGTACAACTTGATCAAGATCTAGATCTCAATTGCACTCCAATAGGCCCTTGTAGCTCTTACGGCGCGCCATTTAAGATCACTTATACCGCGTACGGGTATACAATTGTCGGGAAAGGGGTGTCGCGCGAAGCGGGAATTTATCATCGTACCCAAGGCTCGGCAGTTCCAGTTTTCCTCGGAGCGCTCGATATACCTATAATCTACTTCCTACACGGCGCCGGACAAATTCGTCATATGCTTCTTATGAGCTAGGGCGGCCAGAGCATGAGAAATTTGAACCAAAAGACCTTCCAGCGTGCAATTTCACGGTCGGTAAAGGAAATCCGCTCTCTAGGTATCCTTCACCAAGATCTCCAATCAGAGAACATCTTATGGAACACTGAGCTGAAACGGGCGTTTATCATTAACTTCCACCGATGTAACTTGGATGATCGACCAATGCACAAGCGATCGAGCTCTCTTAGACGATCACGACATGCGCCTCAAGAACATGGAATACAAACGAGTTCGTGTGAGATGAGTAACGGCTACTTGAAATAATGACTAAAGGATTAATGATGAAAACGGAAATTATCTTATAAATGTACTCACTCTATATAGCGTTGAAGTTTTAGGTATCTCATCAAGCTTTGATGTTAAGGGAGTAGCTACAAAACAGAAACAACAGCATTAACCGCCAAAAGTGACAAAGGTCACATGGATATGATATCGATGACAGTATGAGGTTCGATGAACCATGGAACGGGTTGCTCTCGGGTTCCACTATGGGGAATGCGGCCCGTATCAACTCGATGTTCCTATCAGCGTGACATCACGACTCCACCGTTCGTCGGAACCAGAAGAGCGAGACAGGAACCATCCACTATGTCCACCCCCGTTCCAGAAGGGACCGTTTCATCCATGAGGCAATCATTCAGTCAGCGTGACAAAAATGGCTGAAAATTCCATATACCTAACAAACCGGTGCCCCTTGACGCGTGATGGAAGAATTTACAACGTAAATTGAAAGGTCCCAGGACCTTGATGCGATGTTGAAAATTGATCTGTGTCTCGTGCGATTTGGTGTCGGTACAAAATGCGGTCAATCGAGCGTCTGGGCGCCGCAATTTGCGTTCTTCTGACGATGTTATGGATCATGAGCGAGTTGAGGACAATACAGATTCGATGGCAGGACTATCTATCCAGTCGTGGGCCAAGTCTCGTGCCTTCTAAGGGGACTCCCACACGATTACATACCTCTTCCACTGGTCATAGACGTCCCTCGATATCTGATCTTTCGCCGTCGCGCGGAGAAAAAATTGGTTCATTACAAATAACCATTGACGAGGTGGCCAGCACGGATATTATGGCAATGGATCGCATCATCGTCGTTGGGAAAATGAAACACGAACAGACGGAATGGATTGCAAAAGAGCTGCCCGAGTGAGCACTATATCTTTATATCTCTTTCATCTTCAGTGACAACAGAGACTGTCGATCTAACACCGCCAACATCTAGATGGCGACGTGCAGTCTACACCGTCGACGATCCCACAGCACCCCTCCGAGTAACCAAAAACAAAGGAAAAGAAGCCAATGTATATCTCCGATACATCATCGACCACTACCACAACCTCCCATCGATCATCGTATTCCTCCACAGCCACCGCGACGGCTGGCCCGAAGCATGGCATACCGAGTTCGAAGAACACAGCAACGTGAACACCATCCAGCTCCTCCAAACAGATTTCGTCCAACAGAACGGCTACACCAACTTACGCTGTAACCACAATCCCGGCTGTCCGGATGAAATCCGCCCATTCCGTGAACCCAGAGACGAGTCGCGATTATCCGAGATCGCATTCGCCGATGCATGGAAGGCACTTTTTAATAGCACTGATGTTCCGGGAATCGTCGCTTCGCCGTGCTGTGCGCAGTTCGCCGTGTCGAGGGACCAGGTGCTAAAGCGTCCGCTTGCTAGTTATGTGCGCTATCACCGGTGGCTCATGGATACGAATTTACCGGATGATATCAGTGGGAGGGTGATGGAGTATATGTGGCATGTCATCTTCGGGCAGGATCCCGTTCAGTAAGTTTTGCTCATTCTATCCTATTGAATCTGGCTAACGTTTATTTAGTTGTCCAGATATGGATCAATGCTTTCAAGATGTATATGGAATTTAATTTAATCGACGTGCTGTTCGGAACAGTTGGAACTAATCTATCAATTCAATAATTTGTAAACATTGCTCGAGATCGGAAGCTCTTGATAGAATGCTGTGCTTGTATGTATTCTGGAATCAATTATGAGATCCTTTTATATGATAAACTTTCACGGGGACACCATAACGAAGTTGAAAGATGGTAATGATATTTCCCAAATACATAGTCCCCAATAGTGAAGGTCTCACTTCAGGCAGATAGTCACAACCCGCCGGTGGACTGACAGCCGAAACAACTCAGTCGACGCGGCTAAGCCATTGACCGACAAATAATGGACGGCCATTTTGCTGACGACCATCTGAATCACTATCATCGATGCGGTCTTCATCATCCGAGCATTCAAGATCAATCCAGGAGTGCTGATACGAAGCCCTTTCATTTGCCGGGTATCCTGTGGACCTAAGCCAGCCGAATATACCACGAGTCGCAAGCTCTGAAACTTCCTGGCAGAACTATTTTGAGTCATGCTGTCTGGGGTATGTTTCATGTTCGCTTTCGGTTGAAGGACCATTCTCATCAAGGTCGATTGCAGGTATGCCTGGATCTTTGAGCATGTCTCCATTCGCTAGATTCCAATACCAGGTGTCATAACTCAAACAATGACAGCGACAAGCGGCATGTTGCTGTACCCCTGGTTCTGTATCAAGAAGTCGCGTTGTCCCAAATGGTTTCTATGGATGAACAGGAGGTCTTGTATGTCCATCGCAGGCCGTGATAAATAGCAAATGACACTCGACTTCCTTGCTGATCATTTGACCATCATTAACACCTGACTCCCTGATAATGAACGATTGGCGCGTTCCTGTCCAAGCAGCTGCATTTAACTCTGTAGCTGCAGCCCCGGCTCGGATATCTCGCAATATAGGGCTTGCCACTCCCGTGATAATAGTACTGAGCCAAAGGCCAGCAAATTTAGGCTGTCGGTATGCCAATACTTTAGCGAGAGTAAGGCAATCTTCGGCCTGGACTAAGGGATTGATTAATGCGAATATAGGATTGAGCCAGGCGCTGACAAGATTGCATTCGACATCTCCGTTGAAGAAGGTACTAGAAAAGTAAAGATCGCATACCCCGTGTGACAAGTCAGCGTCATATAATGGGACAGAAATTTTGAGTGTTCTTTCACTAGATTTGCTGATTCTTGTGACGGCGGAAACGACCCATGCTGCGAACTAGATCTTGGGAGAGGAAGCGAAACCGACTTTCCGCTAAGATATGGAATAAAAAGCGCGGCGGCTAGGGCCGCGCAACACTAGGTAGGTACCCGTAGAGCCAGTGACGAGAGCAAAGAAAGGATGTCGAATTTTCATCAGGGCACGCATCTAGCCCCGACGCCATCCAAAACCAGCAATTTGAAATAAAACAGCCTCTTGAGCAACAACTCGAGATGCTCCAAGCCCAGAAAAATCTACTCAGCATGCAGATAGATCTCAGATTAACACTAGAAGATCAAAGGAATAAGTCGAGAGGGTGAAGACCCGAATCGAAGAAGTGGAAGCCGAAAGACGGGAAGCTGAGAAGAAAATGGAAGAACAGAAGTGGTGCCTCTTTCTGTAGGTAGCATCTACAATATCCACCTTCAATCACGGGTTTGGCATTCTATAGACGGTTTGCTGGCAATTAGTGTATCAAATACCTGAGCCAACCATTATTTATGGACATTAGAATCCAGTATTTAACAATCAAATATGTCTTTCAATCAATTCCTGGTCTCACCGACCCAAGTAAAAAATAGTATGAGAAATCGGTTACCTAGAGACGCTCCGCCGCACCTTCGGGCCAACATGACGTGACCCCAGCAAAAAGTTTCCCCGATCAGCTTCACTCTTCAACTTCCGTCTTTCCACCTCCGCCTATCCTTCCCAACCACAATTGAACCAAGCAACCCCTCCTTCCTTGGAATCATGAATATACTTTAATTCACCAGCGGCCGCTATATTCGAATTCCACTACACATCTCCACCCATTACTCCGCGACAACACCTACGAAAATCCAGTCCGACCCTTCCTCACGCGTCGGTCCCCAAACGAAACCATCCCAACCTCCAAACCTGCTCTATAACCCCCCAAACCCCTCAAGATGTCATCGCATTACACCACCGAACCCCCAGCGACCGCCTCCGCGACTCTGCACACAACTTTCGGCCCCCTCCACATCGCCCTCTTCGCGAACCAAACCCCACTAACATGCAGAAACTTCCTCCAACACTGCAAAGACAACTACTACGCGGGGACAATCTTCCACCGCATCGAACCAGACTTCATCATCCAGGGCGGTGATCCAACAGGCACCGGCTCCGGCGGGACATCGATCTACGAAGACCGCGAATTCGAATACGACCCAGACGCGCGCGATCCGAATGAGAAAGTCGTGTTACGCGATGAGCTACACAGTCGATTACGGTTCAATCGGCGCGGACTGGTTGGGATGGCGAAGAGCGAGGATGGGACGTACGGGAGCCAGTTCTTCATTACTTTGGCGAATACGGAGCGTGAGTTGAACGGCCAGTGTACGATGTTCGGGCGCATCGAGGGCGACAGCATCTATAATGTGGTGAAGATTGCGGAGGCCGAGAGGGTCGAGGGCACGGATCGGCCGGTGTATCCGGTTAAAGTGACGTCTTGCGAAGTTGGGGAGCTGGGTCCGTTGGAGGGGAAGGTCAAGACGCGACAGATCACGGCGACGGCGACGGCGACGAAGACGGATGAGAAGCCCGCGCCGAAAAAGAAGAAGAAGGCTCCGAAGGGCGGGAAGACGCTGCTGAGCTTTGGTGACGACGAAGGGGATGTGGATATGCCGGTGCGACCTGCAAAGCCCAAATACAACGCTGCTCTGGTCACGGACACGAACCCCCCGGCGACGAAGACGAGCGATGACTCCTCGAAGACAGCTTCGTCTACAAAACAGCAATCAACAACCCAGACTCGCAAACGACCACGATCCCCATCCCCCGAAAAAGAGCGCAAAGAGCGAGTCAAGACGCCCGAACCAGCCTCTCAACTCCCTCTACCAGACCCAGAATCTCCGCCCTCGCGAACCAGATCCGAATCCCCCTCCGACGCGGAGAAAGAGAAGCCGTCCAAACTGTCCCGCACCAATGCCGCCATAGAGGACCTCAAAGCATCTATGCGCCGCAACGTGCACACAGGGCCCTCAGACAGCGGACGCAAGAAATCCGCCCTCGAGGCCATGATCCCCGAGACGGCGATCCGGGGCCGCAAACGCGGAGCCGGCGGCAACAATACTCGCAGCAACGCCAACGGCCTCACAGGATTCAGCAGTTCCGCAGAAGCCGAGACGTTGAAAATCTTCAACGCATTCAAAGCCAAACTCGAGAATGCAGACTCCTCCACCGCCGCCCCTGAAGCCTCGTCCTCACACCCTAAACACACATCCTCCTCCACCAACACGAACACCAACACCGACACCACCGCCCAAAATCAAGACGACGAAGAAGCCCAACTCTGCGACCTGCATTTCATCGCGAACTGCCAATCCTGCCAAACATGGGACACCGAAGCCGGCGGTGAAGACGCCGGTCCCACCGGCGGTGCAACCGCGGACGACGACAAGGGATGGTTAACGCACCAACTACGCTTCGGGAAAGACATGCTCGGCAAGGACCTGAACTGGAAGCGCGAGCATCAACCCGACGCAGACTCATTGATGGTGATTGATCCGCGAGAGCGCGAGAAGGAGTTTTCCACAGGAGGTCGGAAGAAGGGGCTTCAGCGGGATCGGGAACGGGAGAGGAAGCGCGAGCAGGCGGGGAGTTTGGAGTGGGATCAGGGGAAGGGGAAATGATCGAATTGAATGGTTTGTTTGTTTGTCTTTGGTAGAATATTGACGGCATGGAGGAAGATGGATGGAAACTGGGTATATACGTACGAGCGTACTTACTTACTGGCTGTGGTTTTGAACATGTAAGCCAGTATAACGTTACAGCGTTTTGGAAGAATATTCAACCGTTAGCATGCATGCATGTACCTATACAGGTAGGATACAGAATCAATCTTCCAAAGATAATCCATCTATCCAAAGGATGCACAGGAGAAAGTTAAAACCACGATTGACTCGATAATATGATATAATCTGGACAGACCGGACAGGTCCAAAGAACAGCATACATACGGCAATGAATCATCCAAAATCTTCACAGGCACATGATAAAGCTCTCTTCTTTCATCATACAACACATTCTACACCAACCCGAGTCATGACTCAGAACACGAACCAGGACGAGAAGACAACAGAAGGGTAGAGGGGAGGAGAGAGGGCAGGCTAATAAGACGAAGAATCCCCAACCCACAAATCAAGTTAACATCATCTCAAAAAGAATTTTTATTCCTTTAAACTCCCCAACTAAACAGATCTCAGGTGAGAGGAACGCTTCAAGCCTAAACCTATAAAGTAGTAGTATAGTTTCAAAAAACAATAAAAACCCCCAACCAACCTCGTCGATGAATAGTGAGTGATAAGATATCATGGAATAGAAGGAAGAAGAAGAAGAAGAGAAAAAAAGGAGGTTTTGAAATATCAGGCCTTCCGTCGCCGCTTCGCGCTTCCAGTATTCCCCTTTCCGTCGCCATTCCACTGCCCATCGTCGATGGTGTTGGCAGGACTGGTTGCTTCGCTGTCCGTCAATGTCTCGACGATGCGACCGGAGTCGTTGCCGACGCCGAGATACGAGTCGGGAGCAACAGCGCCGGGATTACCGCCGTAGCCACTGCCGTCGAACCCGGTATAGAAGGCGGGGTTTTGCTGCGGCGGCGGCGGCGGTTGGTTATGGCCCTCGAAGAGATCCCCGTCTTCGGGGATATGATCGAAGTCAAACAAGTCGCTGCCGTCTTTGATGACATTATCGTCGGCGGCCGTTGTGGTGGGCGGGTCTGCGGGCGCGGGCATGGAGGTAGACGTGTTGCCGAAGTCGAGGTTGTTCTTGTTATGTTCGAGTTCTGCG